CGAAAAATTTTTTTTGACTATGTCATGAAATTCTCTGTAAAAAAGTGTCCATATAATGTCGTAGTTATAATACTCCACCTATAATAATAACCAAGATAATTGCACTCATTGGTTTTACGATATTTTCAATTTTGGCCTCTAGGGGAAAAACAAAAGACGATAGCGCTATGAGGTTTTCGGCATTAGCAGTTTCTCGAAAAACGAGATCATGACATGTAAGCTACTTTTTTTCTAACTCTTATAGTTTCCGAGTTAGCCTATTCGGACATCGAATTTGAACCACCCTGTACATCAGTGGATTCAGAAAAACAATCCCTATCCAATGACGTAAAGAAAAATATATAGAGCAATTTGTAAAGCAAAAGTTAATAATCGCTTAAAATTGAATATGGCCTTGGAAAAATTTATTTGTAGCATGAATCATAGTATTCATGAAACCATTTCATTTGATACCCCGCTCATGAAAATCGGAATGTAAATGACAGAGTTACAGCTTGGGGCGTTTTTTGTGTGACACCTGTATAAAAAGTGATTTAACCACAAAACCTAAATTAAGGTGTAAAAACGAATGAGGTATGAAGATAATTGGAAGAAAAATATACGAAAAGTTAGGAGACAACGAGGTGAATTATATTTTGTCTACTAAAACCAAATTCATACTAAATTAAAAAAAAATTCGGGTTTAATGTTTTTTATTCTAACTTTTTTGAGATAAATGCATCATGTTTGGACTCATTTTAAAGGTCTTTTAAATACCATGTACCAATAAAGAATACCATGAAGTTGTCTATTTGTCTATTATATGATAACTAACTTCAGATTTAAAATGTCAACCTCAATTTTGACATATTTGTCATCTTCATTAACAATCCTTTAAAATGAGTACAAACACGACATATTTATCATCAATATTAATGAAGTTGCGGTCAACTTCCGGTTAGGAATGTCAACGTCAATCTTGACATATTCTTAATTTTAAGAAAATGTGTTAAAATTTGTCACAAAAACGAAAATATAATAAAAAAATCAAAAATTAAGGTTGGTGTTAATATTCAAAAATTAAATTGCTATCTTCATTGTTGCCAACTTCGGGTTTAATGTTTTTTATTCAAACTTTTTTGTTTTTTGAGATAAGTGCGTCATGTTTGGACTCATTTTAAAGGTCTTTTAATAAAGAATACCATGAGGTTGTCTATTTGTCTATTATACGATAACTAACTTCAGATTTAAAATGTCAACCTCAATTTTGACATATTTATCATCTTCATTAACAATCCTTTAAAATGAGTACAAACACGACATATTTATCATCAATATTAATGAAGTTACGGTCAACTTCCGGTTAGGAATGCCAACGTCAATCTTGACATATTCTTAATTTTAATAAAATGTCTTAAAATTTGTCACAAAAACGAAAATATAATAAAAAAATCAAAAATTAAGGTTGGTGTTAATAATATTGCTATCTTCATTGTTGCCAACTTCGGGTTTAATGTTTTTTATTCTAGCTTTTTTGTTTTTTGAGATAAGTGCGTCATGTTTGGACTCATTTTAAAGGTCTTTTAATAAAGAATACCATGAGATTGTCTATTTGTCTATTATATGATAACTAACTTCAGATTTAAAATGTCAACATATTAAATTTCTTTGACCATACTAAAAAAAAGTTTATTTTTAACTTTATTCTAAAACAATAAGAAATAGACCTATACAAAAATATGGGGTTATATTTTTGTAATAACGAATTTAATAAGCGAATAATCAGTGGTTGTTTCCATTTACAAACTGAAAAATTTGCTATACAGGGTGTTCCGGTGACTCGGGGCATAAAATTAACCTCATATACTAGAGCAAAAATGATGATGATTCGTGAAAAAAAATTACTATAAAAGTCTTCAAATGGCCAAGATATGGGCCATCAAAGTTCAGAAATTTTAACACATTTTTCTAAATATTTTCAATACCATTTATGGTAGAGCGTTGAAATTTGGTACAGGGTAAACAAATATCAAGCAAAATCATTGAACTAATTTTGACTTTGATCGGGCGGCGGCAACCATGCTATACAGGCTGTCCCTAAAATTTGTTTGCTCAGAACTTTTTTGTTCGCTCGTAACCCTACATTTATTTTTGTACTTTTTAATAGAAAATTTATTTTAGAAACTTTTATCACTCTTTGAAAATTTTGATAACATTGACCGTTTTCGAGTTATACGCGAAAATATTAAGCTTTGATTTCAATCGTAACAAACAAAAAAAGGAAACATATTCCGCAAGATCTGAGTTGGCGATGACAATTGAAAAACGAACTGAGCTAATAACCATTATTTGCATAAATTTCTAAGTGCAGATTTAGTTAAATCCAGCGTTAATTTATTTTAGTTGAATAAAAGAATGTAATTTCCAAAACAATAAATTTAATTTTCACGGTAACAACAAACAAGAACATAACAAAAATTCTAACAAAAATATTAACAAGAACAATAAAATTATAAACAAATAGTAATAAATAAAAAAGAAGAAAAAAATACTAAAGCAGATGTTCAAAAACACTGCCTGATATCGCCGTCTTAAATTAAAGCGCACTCTGCGGAGAACATTGATCTCAGTTCGAAGTTGATCAAATGAATCAACAATTCGCAACCTCAGTTGATCAACTGAAGTTATTTCAACGCAGTAAACTAGCGATTTAACGCGTCCCCATAAATAAAAATCTACAGGTGTAAGATCCGGCGATCGGGGGGCCAACTTATCGGTGCACCTACTCCTAGTCCAATCCACCGTCCCGGAAAACGTTCCCTCAGAAATTCTTGGACAGCCTGTGTGCTATGCGCAGGAGCACCATCATGCATATACCACATTGCTTGCCTTGTGTTTAAAGGAACGTCATCTAAAAAATCATCTAATTCCTCTAAATGTCGCCTGTATGTATGTCCATCCAGCCTTGATGGCAAGAAAACGGGTCCAATAATTACATCGCCCACAATGCCAGCCCAAACGTTAAGAGAAAATCTCCATTGTGATTTCCAAGTTTTCTTAAATCTTGGATTTTCGTCCGCCCAACTATGTAAATTTCTCAAATTGAAGATTCCATCTTTAGAAAAAGTGGATTCATCTGTAAAAAGCACTTTTTCTAAAAACTGATCATCAATTTGGATTTTGTGCTGCATTATTTGGCAATATTGCAGTCGCAGTGGGTAATCAGCCAGTCGAACTTCCTGAACTTTGTAACAATGAAATGGATAAAGCTGTTGCTCGTGAAGAACACTCCAGACAGTTGTTTTTGAAGTTAAAAAGTGCCTCGCCATATCCAAAGTACTAGCTGTAGTATTTTCTTCTACGTAGTCTAGAATATCTTCTTCTAGTTCGGGTGTTCGGACTGATCTTACGTTACCGTTGTTAGTAAATTTCGGCTTAAACGTCCCATTTTCCCTTAAACGGGTTTCAATCCTTAAAAATGTTTTTCGATTGGGCGCTCTGCGGTTCGGAAATTTCTCCCGATAACGGTTAGCGGCTGCTACGGCGTTTCCATGACATTCCCCTAATGTCAAAATCATGTCAGTTTGTTCACTAAATGTGTAACTCTCCATTTTGAACACTTAAAATTAATAAAAACTTAACTAACAAAAAACTATCATTTGTGTTTAAACGACATAAGCAAGTTGACAGCTCAATTTGTTTTTTTAATTGCCATGGCCAACCTTGACTTTTTCGAAGATTTTTATTTTTTAGTGTTACCATTGAAATCGAAGCTTAATATTTTCGCGTATAACTCGAAAACGGTCAATGTTATCAAAATTTTCAAAGAGTGATAAAAGTTTCTAAAATAAATTTTCTATTAAAAAGTACAAAAATAAATGTAGGGTTACGAGCGAACAAAAAAGTTCTGAGCAAACAAATTTTAGGGACAGCCTGTATAGCATGGTTGCCGCCGCCCGATCAAAGTCAAAATTGGTTCAATGATTTTGCTTGATATTTGTTTACCCTCTACCAAATTTCAACGCTCTACCATAAATGGTATTAAAAATATTTAGAAAAATGTGTTAAAATTTCTGAACTTTGATGGCCCATATCTTGGCCATTTGAAGACTTTTATAATAATTTTTTTTCACGAATCATCATCATTTTTGCTCTACTATATGAGGTTAATTTTATACCCCGAGTCACCGGAACACCCTGTATATGCTATTGCTAATATTAACAAACTATTAATATTAAAAAATACCGATATTTCCGAGCTTTATTTGTGAGGTAAGAGCATGAGAATTATTAATTATTTCAATTTAATCTTATTTGAAGTTAAAAATCAGATATTTTCGGCTATTCTACGATTAAATCATTTTGGACTTATGTCCCTTTAGCTCTCAGGTACAGAAATAAATTATGATAATAAAAATAAATATTTACCCAAATATCGGCTTTTGGGCCATCATAATTTAATCCTTGGAATAATTCTGGTGCGGCGTACGGTGGAGATCCACAAAATGTGGAAAGTAAGCACCCATCAGTGAATTGGTTGCTAAAACCAAAATCGGCAATTTTTATATTCATGTTATGATCTAAAAGCAAATTTTCCGCTTTTAAATCGCGGTGAACAACGCCCTGCAGATGACAGTAGGATAAGGCGGAAACGATTTGCGAAAAGATCCTCTTCGCTTCCGGTTCGGGCATCCTCCCTTTCGAAGCGACCAAATCTAAAAAGAAAATTTTATTATTATCAATTTAGTGAGGTTAAAAATTTTTTTTATTCCGCAATTTCCACGAACCGGTATTTACCAGATTATGAGAACATCTAATCGCCTTACCAAACAGCAACAAACTATTACCCTTGTAGTATCTATATGTAAAGTAGTTGTTTTTGAATTTAACTGGTTCGCGCTGGTTAAAACGAATTCTTCTAGTTTTTGATTTATTAGATGTTTATTACTGATTTACTTCAGACGGTGAAATGCCAGCGAAACTAAATTTTTGCTACTAACTCATTTTTTTTATTTGTTTGTATGGTACGTAGAAAATAGCTTCGTAAAAATGTATTCTCTAAAAAAAAAAATCTTGAACTAAAAATTGTACGCATGTGGCGCCATCTCTTGGGGATATTTTGAAATTATTTAGCTAAGAACCGAACCAATAGAATACAGGTGGATTAAATTTATTTATATATAAAAGCTCCAACCACAAAATAACTGTTTGGAAAATAATTGATAATAGGTTGAGCATAATTTTATACTTGTCTAAATGATTAACAACTAGTTTTTAAACAATCCATGTTGCTCAAAATGACTGAAAACTAGTTGATAATCATTAAAAACTTGTCTAAATGTATAAGGACTAGTTTATAGCAAGTTTAGGTTGCCCAGAATGACTGAAGACTGCACCAACATTGTCTAAAATTGGTTTATAAGGTAGCAAAATTGTTCAAAATAATTGGAAATAAGTTGATGCCATCTCATGTTATTCCAAATCATTGAAAACTGGTTGAGCATAATTTTATACTTGTCTAAATGATTAACAACTGGTTTTTAGACAATCCATGTTGCTCAAAATGACTAAAAATGGGACGTGCGGCTAAGCCGGTATGTTTCTAGCTCTAGGTCTAACGTTAGTTCTAGAGATAGTGGTAAGTAGCGCTAGTTAGCATAAGATATCACTATGTTGTATATTTTTATTGAACTAAAACTAGAACTAACACTAGACCTAGAACTAGAATAATTCGGGTTTAGCCGTCTTGAAAGATGTGCGGCTAAATCCGAATGTTTCTAGTTCTAGATCTATGTGATCTCTTTGTAAAAATGTTTAATATTGGGTTTGAAACAACACAAACGGACAAAATATCTTGAATTAGAAGAAAAAATAAAGAAAGAAACAGACAAAATTAAAAAGACTGCATTTTTAACGGAAAAAACGATCCATAAGCTTCGTGCGAAGCCTATTGAAGGAAAAAAGAGGAATTATTCGCTGACTTACTTTTGAAATTTTAACAGAACTCTCAGTGAAATAATTAATAATATTATCTTACTTGTAGTTAATACGTAGTAGTTAAATTAACCAGTTTTAATAATTGAATTACACCTACGTAATGAAATTGTAATAACATAACCAAACAAAATAATAACTCAATTAATCGTATTTAAGGTAAGTGAAATTTGAAATGAATATAAAAATAAAAACAACGAATAATAATAAAATTGAAAATTATAACTTAGCTTAATCTTGTAGATTAATGAAGTTCTCGGACTCTTCAAAAGGAATTCTTCTGGATGATTTTCTTGATTAATTGGATCAGGAACTAGTTAATTTTCTTGTTTATTATTATAGGTGAATAATTTTCATTCAAATAATCTTCTTATTTAACTTATTAAATAATAAGTTAATTAATTTTGAGGTTATGTCACAACGGTGATTGACAGGTAACCCAACTTTTTTTTGTTTTTTTAAATGATTGCGAACAAAATTTGCGTGCACTCATCTTCACGTTCAAAATCATACTAAAATCTACCAGTTTCGTTTGTTTAATGCAAGAACGTTTTAAATAACGTCTTCTGATTGGTTAAATTCTTCAACTTGAAATTCGTAATTTAAATTTCTCCGGTATTACCAACTTCGAAATGTCAAATGTCACCAAATAAATTTTATCAAAAATTATTTAAATTTCTATTTTAACAATATTTATGTACTAAATGTTATAGTTTTGTTGAATTAGCTTTGTTTGTGGTGATTTCGTAATATTTTCTTTTAGATTTCAACGTCCGGCTTCAAAAATATATTCAAATATTTAATGTACGGATTTTCGTCCAATTTTTCATCAAAACTCTCATATGATGGATGGTTTTCGTTCTTGACATGTTAATATCATCGTTTTGAATAGTTTCAACCGGACAAACATGGATTACAATAAGAAATTAATGAAAAATGAAATTTGAGGTTATGTTACTGTCAAAATTTTACAAAATTACTTCGTGTTGGTTTTATATGGATTAAATACAATAAAAAAACGTAAACGGCCGACAATACATGAAGAATTCTAATATATTTACAACATTTTATTAATATGAAATGAAATTTCTATAAATTATTATTCGTAACTTCACCTAGGATCAATACGATAAATAATGAATTATATGGTTTGGTTATATTATTACAGTACTTTCCCAACCTGAGGAATTTTACACAATTTTGCAAAGCTATAGCCAAATATTTCACTTGGGAAGTTAATGCAGTTTCAAGAGTTTTTTTTAGAACACAGCGAGATTCGCAATATTTTTCCTCCGTTTTTAGATGAAACAAAGATCACGGTTTCTCGTGGTGTAATTAATATTTCGCTATGTCTAAAGACGACGAAGATATCGGCTTGTAAAGTGGATAGAAAAGCAATTGTAATAGTTTGTTGCCGTCGTAGTCGCCTTATATAATAAAATCTTATCGGCGATTGTCACTTGTTGCGTTATTCGCTCGTTTCCGGATGACGTGACGTTTCAAACAACAACAATTGACGAAAGCTTTGACATTTTAAAAGGCGTTAATTGAAATGACGCGATTTCGATTAAAAAAATAAAAAAAAAACTTTTGTGCTACTCTGTATACAGAGTGGGACAAAATTACCGAAAATTTCTCCTTTACTGGCGTATTCCGTGACCATATAGATAGTTTGGTCCGTTTCCATTAATTGATAGAGCCGGGTGATGTGCGGGTGGCGGAGTTTCTTTAAAATTGCGGTCTCCCGAAAGATTTTGGTTAAGTTCTCTTCGTCTAAAGCAGTCTTGTCGATTATTTTAATAGCCACCTGAAAATTAATAAAATTTGCGTAAGTTCCAACTCGTTAAACGTCAATTTGACAAGGGTAAAACAATTGAGTATCGGAAAATCACTCCATCTATGAAACATATGTCTCTAACATTGTATGTAATCGAAACTTACTTAAATTTGTTAAAAACTTTATATTGTTTATTTAAATGGGCAAATTAAAATAAAAAAAAATATAACCTTTAAACCGTCTTTTTTGTTTTTTTTTTCGACAGTTGATAGCTATCGCGGTTGACCTTGACATGTAAACCCCGTTCAAAAAGTGCGAAATATAAAAAAGGGAATAATTATTATTATTTAAATTAATCTCGAAACGCAGACGAAAAAAATTTCAGACCGCATTGTTGTAAAACGTTTTTTGGGGAAAAACACCGAGACAGATAAGAAAAATCAAGGTTAAATAATAAAAAAAATAGTTAAAATTGTTAAAAGTGAGGTTATGTCAACATGAGAAACGTCATAATTGACAGGTAAATAACCAAAAAAAAATATTTTTCTTATTAATTTTAATAACAATTCAAAAAATGAATCAGGTGTAAACGCGAGTTTTTTAAAAGATGACCTACATCGAAATTGATCGATATTCATGCCTTAAATAAAATTGATTTAGTAAAAAATTATAAATATAAAAAAAAAATTTTATCGAATTCGGCCTTGACGGAAACATAACCTCTAAATTAATTGATTAAAATTTATTTGTTTTTTTAATAAATAAAATCACAAAAAAATGAATTAAACGAAATAAAATTAAATAAATAAATAAATAAAGTATTGAGTGTTTTATTATGAGAGAGAGAGGGATTGTTTTCGAGTAGGCTGCGATGATCGTTTTTTTTTTTGTTGTTGTTGTTGCTTACCTTCGTTCTGGTAACTATGTGCGTGGCCAACTTAACGACGGCGAAATTTCCTTTTCCGATTGTCTTCTCTAACTCGTAATAACCGACTCGCACTAATTTTTCCATCGGAAACACCGAAGACGATGATTTTCCGGATGACATCGTGTAAAAGGTGAGATCGCGACGAACGCATTCGTAACACGCCTTCGGCCCGACTGAACGTTTCCGTCTATTCGCCGTCAGACGGCGACGCCGAGATAAAACGTCGACGTGACGTCACGATTCGTCGAGTGTCACTAACTTCATTCGATTCAAACTTAAATTCGATAAAAATAAATAAATATTCAAGAAATTAATTCTATAACAAGCTTCAAAATAAAAAAATTTTGTAAATCTTATGTAAATATAAAAAAAAATATTTTTAAGGTTTAAAATAGGCAACCAAATTAACACAATTGTAAAAATGGTTGCATCTACAACTTAATTTGATTGTTTTAAAATTATTTATAATTTCTCGAATAACTTTAATTAAATAATGTAACGATTACATTAATCAATGATAATTTTAAAAATTACCTTATAATATCAATTTTCCATATTATTACATTCCCACCAATATTTCAAAATTTGAAATTCTCCCTTATGAGACGATTTTGATATTTTGAGAATTTAGTTATTAAGGATACTTGCGCTGCTTTATTTTATGTTCTTCGAGATTATCACCTTAAAATATATATTTAAAGTAAATAATTAATCTTTAAATATTTCTTTTAAAAATATTTGAAGTTAAAGTAGGCAACCCAATTAACACATTGTAAAAATAGTTGCCTATACACAATATTTTTTTTTATTATTATTTATAATTTTACTTAATTAACTTAAATTACGTTAATTAATAACGATATTGCAAATTACATTTTATAATGAAGACAAAAATTTCTATTTTCCTTACTCTTATAACCCATTGAGTTTTAAAATTTGAAATTCTCCGTTATAAGATGATTTTGAGAAATGATTCAGGTATTAAGGATACTTGTGCTGCTTTGCTTTATATTTTTCGAGATTATCACCTTAAAATTAATATTTAAAGTAAATAATTAATGTTTAAACATTAAAAAGGATATAATATTAAAGGTAAAAATAGGCAACCCAATTAATACCATGTAAAAATAGTTGCATACACATTAATTTAATTTTTTTTACATAATTTTTTAAAAATTTTACTTACTCTATTTTAGATTTCATTAATTAATAATAATATTAGAAATTACCTTTCTCAATGAAGACAAAAATATCCACTTTTCATATTCTTACAAACCAACGATAATTTAAAATTTGAAATTCTTCGTTATAAGATGATTTTGAGAAATATTTCAGTTATTATAGATACTTGTGCTGCTTTAATTTATGTTTTGCGAGATTATCACCTGAAAATGAATGTTTGAAGTAAATAATTAATGTTTAAACATTAAAAAAGTAAATAATATTAGTCATAAATATAGGCAATCCAATAAACACCTTGTTAAAATGGTTGCATATGCATCAATATAATTTATTTATAATTTTACTTAAAGAACGTAAGTAAACACCTTAATTAATAATAAATTTAGAAATTGCTTTAAATTGAGGATTAAATTAATTATTGTCCATATTGTAGGGTAACGTTTAAGCACTAAAAAAGGATGAAACTTTTTTTTAGGTTTAAATAGGCAACCCAAGTAGTAACAAGTAGTAAAAATTGTTGCCTACACATTATAATTTAATTTTTTTAAATTATTTATAATTTTTCGAATAATTTTACTAAATTACATAAATTTGTAATGATATTGCAAATTACCTTTTATAATGAAGACAAAAATATTTATTTTCCTTACTCTTATAACCCATTGGGGTTTTAAAATTTGAAATTTTCTGTTATAAGACGACTTTGAGAAAAGATTCAGGTATTAAGGATATTTGTGCTGCTTTGCTTTATATTCTTCGAGATTATCACCTTAAAATTAATATTTAAAGTAAATAATTAATGTTCAAGCATTAAAAAAAGGTAAAAATAGGCAACCCAATTAACATGTTGTAAAAACGGTTGCATACAAACTAATATTATTTATTTATAATTTTACTTAAAGAACTTACGTAATTACGTTAATTAATAACAAATTTAGAAATTACCTTAAATTGAGAATTAAATTATTTATTGTCCATATTATAGAGTAATGTCTACACACTAAAAAAGAAATAAAATATTATGAAGATTCAAATAGGCAACCCAATTAACACCTTGTAAAAAAGGTTGCATAAACACAAATTAAATAATTTTTTTTTTAATTATTTATAATTAATGATTTTAAAAATTACCTTAGATTGAAGATCATAATCTACTTCTTGTGGATATCTATAGCGGCGTTAAAGATGAAAATGTATTCCTCTGATTCCTATAAGTTAATGATAAACTCAATTAAATTAAAAATTAATTAAGGATTTAATAAATACCTGATTACACAATGTCTTGATTTCTCCTAATAAAATTCCAAACTACTTGGGGCAGAGGAACAAGGAATTTCATAATGATTAATCGGAGATAGGAACATCAAAGGGGTTCTTAAAAAAAAATAATTGAAACAATTAATTAAATGGATAATAATAATATCAACCCTTTTTAGGTTAAAATAATTTATTATAATAATAATAACTAAACCTAAAAATACACAACGGAATTCGATTGAAATGAAATAATCGAAACACTACAAAAATGGAACAAAAACACATCCTTAAAGTTTTTTTTTCTTTTAGGGTTAGGGGCCCAACCTTTTCGCACACAATCACAGACTTGTGGGGGGATTGGGGATATTAAACGGCAACGACGATGACGACGACGACGGCGAAAGGGGTTTGAAAAATAAAATGGGAGCCGCGAGGAACAAGAACCGAGAGGGGCCCCCGAATATGACTAGAATCTTGCTTAATTCCTTAAATAGTACGACATTCTCTCCTTAAATAACTAAAAGTAATGCTTAGTTTTATCTTTAAATATTGTTATTTTCTTGGTAATGTTTAAATTAGTAATACCGAGTGTTATCGAAATTTTTTATATTAATTCATTTAAATTAAGTGTATAAAAAAAATGAGATATCAAAAAAGTTTGTGTTTCATTCAGATCAATTTCATTGAGTATTTTATATAAAAAATTTCGATTATTTTTTAATTAAAAAGTGAATAAGTCATAAAATGGAACTAAAGAGAGGTTTTTTTCCACGACGGAGCAAGTTTTTAAGTTCCCCTTTATTAATTTTTTTTTTAATTCATTTTTTTGATCGATTTTCTTCATAAAGAGATACTTAAAACTTGCTCCTTATAGCTACTTTTTAACCTCATCGACGTACATTTTCGAATTTACCACCGAAACGATACATTTATTAATAAAACACCTAATAATAATAATACGACGACGTTTTTTTAAACGAGGTACACTTACAACCATCATAATCATCATTGAAAACAACAAAATCACTCCGATTAACAACATTTTAACTCCAAACATTTTTTTCTCCAATTCAATGACAAAAACGATGATCATTATAAGAAGAACCAACAATAATTGTTGTTGTTGTTACGGAGTATGACCCTTTTTCGATTTTCTCAACGAAACGTCGTCGACATCTTCGCCTTTTTTCACTTCGGTGTATCTCTCACCTTTTAGACTAACGATTTTGTTGTCTCGGTAACGAACCAGCTTTTTTGGTTCAACTTTTGGAGCAACCGGTCGATGCTCGCGCAAAAATGAATCTTTATCGACGTACGAATACCTTTCGATGATACGATTTTTTAATTCAGCATCGTCGATGGCTTTCGTTTGATTTTGTAAATGAAAACTTAACGAACTATTCGGATTTAAACTTTGCCCATTCTCTTGGCGGTGCAATAATATTTGAGTGGCGCGCTCCAAATCGCCGCAAGCAATCGCCAAACAATACCTTAACTCTAAATTACATACGTGAGGAAACATCTCCGATAAAGCGTCGATTTCTTCAGTGTAATCGCCGCAAGTTGAGGAATCCGTCGAGGCGTCGCTCATCTCGGAGATTTTATGCACGCGTTTTGGCGGCTCAGACTCGGAGTTGGTGTGGGAACGGGGCGGTTTTGATTTTGGAAGAATCTCCGGTAATGATATATCGAGATCTGCGATCCCCTTTTCGATCGCGTCTTCATCTTCGACTTCGCGAAGCTTCGCTTCTAACTCAAACATCCATTGGCAAACCGTCGCGTGATTTATCGACTCAAATTCCGGGAAATAAGCACTCATCATTTCACAAAAACCTTTAAAAAAGACATCAAAATTAAACTTAACCTCAAATTTTTTTTTGACACATCCTTAAAAATATTTTTTTTAAATTAATTTAAACCGTTATTTCATTATTATTAACAATCGCGTGATTTATCGACCCAAAATCGGGGAAATAAGCACTCATCATTGCACAAAAACCTTTAAAAAAGAAATCAAAATCAAATTTTTTTTTTGACATAACCTCAAAATATTTTTCTTTACTTTTTTTTATTAATTAAACCGTTATTTCATTATTATTAACCATCGCGTGATTTATCGACTCAAATTCCGGGAAATAAGCACTCATCATTTCTCAAAAACCTCTAAAAAATAAATCAAAATTAAACTTAACCTCAAATTTTTTTTTAACATAACCTCAAAATATTTTTTTTAATTAATTTAAACCGTTATATCATTATTATTAACAACCGCGTGATTTATCGACTCAAATTCGCGAAAATAAACACAAAAATCCGAATCAAAATCAAACTTAACCTCAAATTCTGTTCGTTTTTTTAACCAAACATAACCTCAAACCAATTTTTTTTACATTAATTATTATTTTAATCAAAATTCTCACCTTCAACATCAAAAACAGGATCAGAACTAACATCCTCTAAAATCGAAACGACATAACTAAGCACGATCTCGTCGATTAAAGTGAGATCAGCGTCCGGAATGTGTTTATTAACGAATTCAAACAGCGACTCCTTAATTGTGGCTTCTTGTTCTTGTTCGGTTGCGATTTTCTTCGCGGACATCATCCTAATGAGACGATAATTTGTTTAAAATTAATTTTGAAATTAATTAATTTTTTTTTTTTGGGTTGGGTTAGGAAAAATCTTCATTTCTAACTAAAAACTCACCTCGCGAACGATTTTCGGATCGTGTTTGAGGATTTCGAAGCGATTTTCGGCGGAGTTTCGGCAAAATATTCGATTGGGAGGTGTTAATTTGGCCCGAAAAAACTGGGTCTCGGCTCGAAACCCCTTCGAATCAATAAACACAACAAAGACGAAAATATTTTGGGTACGAATACGACGGGGGCGTTTTCACCAAAGTATTTTTGACCCAATCGTTAATTCTAAACTATAATTATAACCATTTCAACCCAATTTTACTTAATTAATCAATTTTTATTAAAATTATTTATATTAATTGTTTATAAACAATTTAAAACATGATTAGAAATCTAACTTACCGACATCTTGACTTGTAGTTGCCTATAACCTAAAAAAATTTTTTTTAATTAATTTTTTAATCAAATTTTTATGTACTTACACTATCAGAAGTGAATAATCAAACATTCAACATACTTTTTTTTTTGTTAATTTAGGCCAAAATCGTTCACGTTCTTCCCATTTCTTTCTTATCATTGTTTACCGTTGTTTCGTCTCGTGTTACGCGAATTAATAAATTGTTATCGCCGAGGTCACACGTTTTATCGTGCAACTTATCGTGTTACACGAAATGAAATCACCAAGTAACTTTAATTTGTAAATCGAACTTGAATTAAAACGATTCAAAAAAGTTATAATTTGACGTGTCACCTAATTTTACCTTAATTACAGGTAACTGTTTTATATCATTAATTTTATATCATTAATTTTATTAAATCCAACTTATTTATTTATAAATAAATTAAAATTATTTGAGATTTAGTTGGCTGTTAATAAGAGTAAAATTAATATTAATAAATTTAAAATTAAAAAAAAATTTGCTAAATATAGAAACCTGTTTTATCAAACGTCAAAAAATGTGTAAACGTCAAAGGTGCTAATAACATAATCGCTTTGTTTCGCTTTGTTTAAATAAAAAACGCACAAAAGATTCATTTAATCGCGATGACGATTAAATTAAGCGACACCTACTAATTAACAAAACGATTCTCAATGTATTTATTGTTATTGTGACCATCCAAGTATTGTTTTAAGGTTAAAATCATCATCATAAAAATTAACATATTGTATTTATGATTTTTAGGATCATTTCAGTATTAAACTAACTACAAAACAAGTTTTATTTATCCATATTAATGAGTTACAACATGGATAACATTCCAATTGGTGTTAAAGCTTTTCAAAACTTGGCGAATTGTTGCTGTCCAAGATTGCATTTTAACAGAGAATTTTAGTAAGTATCAACAAGTTCTAATCAACTAATTTTATTCATTTCCTTTTTAGTTATAGATCAAGTGTTTTAATATTAACTTATTTCGCGTATATGTGTTACCATTTAACTCGGAAGCCAATTTCTGTGGTAAAAGCGGTTTTGCATCAAAATTGTACAGCTTTAACACCATCTAGTGAAGTTCCAGCTGATCATATTACGAATTGGTGTGATTGGGCCCCTTTCGGTAAAGAAATAATTCAAAAATAACCTAATTTTAATTAATTTTTTTGTAGATGGTAGCGATGCGGAAGCCACTGCAATGCTTGGGACGTTAGATTCCGCATTTTTAGTAACCTACGCTATAGCAATGTTTATTTCTGGATTTATAGCTGAAAGAATAAATTTGAGATACTTCCTATCGTTAGGAATGTTATTATCGGGGCTTTTTTGCTATTTATTTGGAGTTGCAAAAAGTTACAACATCCACAGTTTTGTGTATTTGCTTGTTGTACAGGTGCAAGACCCCAAAATCGTCTTAACCTCATATTAATTTAAATTAAATTAAAATTTTAGGCTCTTGCTGGGATTGCACAAACAACAGGATGGCCTGGAGTTGTCACAGTTGTTGGAAATTGGTTTGGAAAAAGTAAAAGGGGATTAATTTATGGTGTTTGGAACTCTCATACGAGTATTGGAAACATTTTGGGGACTTTAATCGCCGCGAAATACGTCGAAACTGATTGGTCATTGAGTTTTATTATTCCTGGGTTGATTATTGGGGTGTTTGGGTTTGTGATTTTTTTATTTTTGGTTGTGCATCCTACTGATGTGGGTTGTTTGCCACCGGATTCGCAAAGATTACGAAATGCTAACTCTGTGAGTTAATTAATTTATAAAAAAAATTAGGTTATATCATTTTTTTTTGTTTAGAAACGATATAAACCTTTGGAAAATCGTGTAGCGAATGTTGAGACGAATTCGAGCGATTCAGAAGTTGATGATACAGCTATTTTAATTGGTGAACAGGTACATTTTTATTTTTACCTTTTAAAGCAGTAGTTATCCAACCCAACCCAACAACAACTTATAAGACATATATTATAAAGTTGCATAGATATAAAAACAGCAATTTATTGCGTCTTCATGACCTTTTGCTTTATTTAAAAAATTTATTGTTGCCAGAAAAATTATTAACTTGAATTAAAACGACTCAAAAAAGTTATGATTTGACGTCTCACCTTAATTACAGGTAACTGTAATTAATACCAATTTATTTATTTATAAATAAATTTATAAATTCAATCTTGTAATCTATTAATTAGATTAAAATTAATATTTATATTAATTTAAAATAAATAGGAATACATTTTTACTGGATACAGAAACCTGTATTAATAAACGTCTAAAAATATGTAAATGTCAAAGGGACAATCAATTTAAAAGACGAAATTTGACGAATATCTTAAGAACGAAAGAAAATAGAATAAAATATAACTCTTTATTTTTGATTTTAAATTTATTTTTATTATTTATATTAATTAATTTAAAATAAATAAAAATAAATTTTTACTGAATACAGAAACCTGTATTATTAAACGTCAAAAAATTTGTAACTAACCTAAATGGCTAAGTTTTTTCATATTTTTAAATGTAACATAGTAATGATCAAATTTGAAGAGAAAGTTATGAGTTGATTGTGTAGAAAAATGATTTTTAAATCCAAAAAGAAGAGTAACATTTTTTCACAACAACCTTTATTCTTGAGATATTTGCCTTGAAAGTCTGTGTTTTTACAATTTTGAATTTAAATGACGAAATTTGACGAATATCTCAAAAACGAAAGGAAATAGAATAAAATATCACCCTTTATTTTTGATTTTATTATTTATATTAAATAATTTAAAATAGAAATAAATTTTTAATGAATACAGAAACCTGTATTAATAAACGTCAAAAAATTTGTAAATGTCAAAAGAACAAAGCTAACCTAAATGGCTAAATTTTTTCGAATGTAACATATTAATGATCAAATTTGAAGAGAAAGTTATGAGTTGATTGTGTAGAAACATGATTTTCAAATCGAAAAAGAAGAATAACATTTTTTAATATTTATATTAATTAATTTAAAATAAATAAAAATAAATTTTTATTGAATACAGAAATCTGTATTATTAAACGTCAAAAAATGTAAGCTAACCTAAATGGCTATTTTTCCATATTTTCGAATGTAACATATTAATTATCAAATTTGAAGGGATAGTTATGAGTTGATTGTGTAGAAAAATAATTTTTAAATCGAAAAATAAGAATAACATTTTTTCATAACAACCTTTGTTCTTGAGATATTTGCCTTGAAAATCTTTGTTCTTACAAAATTTGTTTCTTCTTTATCTGATATTATTTGGCTGCAAAAGCTTGCACATTTAGTTTAGTTGGGAAACACTGTTTTAAAGTAATAAATTTGTAACGAGACTTTTTTTGATTAAAATTCTAATCCCCCCGATTATTTTTTTTGTAGGATATTGTTAAGTATCCGACGTACAGATCGGGAAATGGCTTTGTAAGTGTCTTTTTTTTGTATTAAAATTCGTCTTCGTTACAAATCATAACCTAAAAAAAAATTTTTATTCAAAAAACAACCTAACCTAACTTTTTTTAATTTATTTATATTAATTTTCTTTTTTTATGGTTTCAGGAAATACAAAGGAGGGTTTCAGAGCGGAGTTATTTATTAAATGAAGCCGTTATTTCCCGGCCGGAAACGGCGATCGGATTTTTTGGAGCTTGCAAGATCCCGGGAGTCATCGAATTTTCACTTTCGCTGTTCTTTTCGAAGCTCGTTAGTTATACTTTTATGTATTGGCTCCCTCTTTATATGAATTCGTACAGTGAGTATTAATAGAATACTATATTTTGTCCACGATTACTATTGAAATTGATTCCATAAATTTATTTTTTTTTTAATAAATTTTTGAATAAAGTTTAAACGTCAATGTGACACAAATTCAATGTTACCAACTGACGTCGGTCGCCCACAAGATACGAAATATCCAATCAACCCAACCTAACCTCACTTTTCTAAGTGACATTTTTTGATGTTGCGTTAAAAAAAATTATTTTACTCACTCAGTGCGTCCTCGAAGATTTTCTTCAATATTAGCGATCTCGCTTGAAACAGCCACAAAAAATAAACTCACAAGATACGAAATATCCATTCAAACCAACATAACCTCACTTTTTCAAGTGACATTTTTCACAACCGTTACTGTCGATGGAATAAGAAATAAAACTAAAACTAGAAATTTTAGGGTTATGCCGTGCGTCTTTGACACACAATTTCTAGTTTTAGTTTTATTTCTAACGCAAAATGAGTTAAATCAATTTCTTTGAATGAAACGTCAAAAATGTCACTTTAAGACGCATAAGAGATAGCGCCACCTGCCGAAAAAAGTTTAAAATATACATTTGCAACTATCTTCTCATCACGTCAAATATTTTAATATAATTTAGAACCACGATAAACACGAATTATTATTTGATTTTCTTTATAACGTAAAACGTGTACTAGTGACTAAAACGAGCTTTTATGACGCAATAGTATATTACAGTACTATGTTTTTTCATTATATCCAACTTCACAACGACTTGTCAAAATTAAATGTCAATTTTATGAAACGTCAAGATTTTTTTACGAAAATTAATTAATTTATGCTTAAATCATACGAAAAAAGGAGTTTGTTATTATAAGGTAGTCGTGGACAAAATTAATAATTAAAATTATAAATAAAATCATAAATTTTTTTATTTAGCGGCATTAAGTGCGAAATTAAGTGCTGATTATTCAACGATGTTCGACGTTGGGGCGATTTTAGGTGCAATTTTGGCTGGATTTATAAGCGATTGGTCCGGAATGCCTGCTGTGACTTGCGTTATTATGTTAACAGCGGCGGCTCCAATGGTATTAATTAATTTTTCCTTATTTTTCAAATTCAAATTAATTTTTTTTTGTAGATGTTCGTTTATCAATTTATGTCTTCTTTAAATTTCGAAATAAACATGCTACAACTATTCCTCGTTGGTGCTTTGGTGAACGGTCCTTATGCGTTAATAACGACCTCGGTTTCTGCGGAACTTGGTACCCATTCGTGTTTGGAGGGAAATTCGAAAGCGTTGGCTACCGTCACGGCTATTATCGATGGGACGGGTTCGATAGGTGCAGCGGTTGGGCCATTTTTGGCTGGGTATTTGACTCAGTATGGTTGGAATAGTGTCTTTTACATGTTGATGGCTTCAGATGCGCTTGCTTTAATCTTATTGATACGGTTGGTGAAGCGGGAAGTGATTAATTGGAGGTTAAGGAGACAACAGCAAGTTCGGAGAGAATAAAAATTAGATAAATTTATTTAATTATAAGTGAAAATAAGGTTTCTATTCTTATTTTTATTGATAAAATAAATTAATTTGTAAGATTTTTGGGTCTAGATTTATCTTATTTAATCCTAAACTCTCCTAACTCGAGGCATTACCTTTATCACCATTGTATTAAACAAGTAGTAATAATAATATAAGCCGAGGCCGCTTGCGGCCGAGGCTTTAGTTCATTAAAGCTTTGTATTTAACAGTCACCATTACAAAGCTGCAAGCGATTTCGGTTTATATTCTCGATTGCTAAGAAGTATTTAAGCCGAGGTCGCTTGCGGCCGAGGCAGTACTTCGATCATTCGTTACCTATAACAGTCACTACTGTAGTTATCCAATAACAGAAAGAATATGAGCCGAGGTCGCTTGCGGCCGAGGCTGAAGTTCGGTCATTCGTTATTTGTAGCAGTCAGCACTGTGGTAATCTAGTCACAGAACGAATATAAGCCGAGGTCGCTTGCGGCCGAGGCAGTACTTCGATTATTCGCTATCTGTAACAGTCTTCGCTGTAGTAATCCAATAACAGAAAGAGTATAAGCCGAGGTCGCTTGCGGCCGAGGCAGTATTTCGATCAATCCTTGTCGTTAATATTCGCCACTGGAGTAGCCCAGTAACAGAAAGAATATAAGCCGAGGTTGCTTGCGGACGAGGCATCCTTCGATCATTTCATATCTTTAACAATCAACAGTGGAGTAACCCGGGAAGAAAAAGAATATAAACCGAGGTTGCTCACGGCCGAGGTAATTGTTCAATAACGGCCGACACTCTATAATGATGACCATTCTATTTCTTGTTTTAGAATAAAGCTAAAAATAAACTTTTCTTCTTAGTGTCTCAAAGAAATTAAATTTACAGTTTCCTGTATATTATAACTAAAAATTAAATAATATATTTCTGATATTTGAAACAAATACATTTGTTGAACTATTTAATTTATATTTATTTTACACAAAAGCTGGAATAGATTGCATTATTTCACATTTTTTATTAATATTTAATATTATTATTAAATGACTTAATAAATTATTGATAGATGGCGCTCATATATTTTTTATATAAAGTCCCTAGATTTACTAAGTACCGCGGTTCATGACACCTATTTTCGAGTCAAAATGGCGGTTTGACAACTTGTCACTGCATCTCACCACTTATTTACAAAAATATTGCCGCTTTGTTGCCTTTGGAGTTGAAAAAATAGCAGTAAGAAGGGCTTTCAACTCTTCAAAGTATCACGAGAAAAAGGGAAGAAATTTTGGCGTAATGTTATCAATAGAACGACATAGTTTTAAATTTCCCGCTTGATATTCGAGCCAAAATGGCGGCAAACCGTGGTAATTTGTAAACCTAGGGACTTTATTTTTATAATTGAAATAAACATAGCAACATTTGTTTGTATTCAAAAATTTTCTGAAGTGTCAAATTAAAAATCCTGTTTTTAAGATGTATTATGAAAATTACCAAAAATTTAACATCTTAGAATGTTACATATTAGAAAATAAAGTAAATTTTATATAAATTTTTAGTAGAATTATTTTTAGTTATAGTACCGTAATGTACAGGAAACTGTAAATTTTATTTCTTTGACGACACTAAAAAAAAGTTTATTAAGAAAAATTAAGATTAAAAAAAAATAAAATTAAGATGAAAAGTCTTAATATACATGGAATCGCAAATGCCTCCTTAACGAGATATAGTAGGCCATAGTTTCTTTAAAATTAAACATTATCTGCCATAAAAAGCACTTTTTTAAAAATATTTTCAACGCCACTGCTAATTTTGTCAAACGGGCAGTATTTTCGTGTAAAGTGATCAATTATCTTGATTAAAGCAACATTTTTGATTGGATTAACAAATTTTCTACAAACGTGTTTTTATAAAAACTATTACGAGAAGATAGTTACGTATGTACATTTTTAGACTTTTTCCGACAGATGGCGCTATCTCCTATGTATGTATGCGGATTTTTAAGTGACATTTTTGACGTTTCATTAAAAAAATGTATTTAACTCATTTTGCGTTAGAAATAAAACTAAAACTAGAAATTTTGAGGCTATGCCGTGCGTCAAAGACGGTTTGACATTTGACAGTTTCTAACCTAACTTTATTACTTTCTAACACAAATATATCACGTTTGATATCAAATGAAAGCTTATTTGATTCTTATTAAGATCATTTCAATATTTATCAAAAAATCGTTATATTTATTTTTGACATTTGACAGTTTCTAACCTAACTTTCTGATTTTCTAACCTAAATATATCACGTTTGATATTAAATGAAAGCTTATTCGATTCTTATTAAGATCATTTGACAGTTTGTAACCCAAATATATCATGTTTAGTTTAAAATGTTACTAAAAATCAGGAAAACAACACAAATTTTATAAGGGTCCTAGATAATACCCGAAAAAACAGAAACCCTAAAAAATTTACATTGACAAGTATTATAGAAAAAAACGAACTATATGTGTCTTTTTCAAGTGACATTTTTTGACGTTTCAATAGAAAGAATTTGTATTTAACTAATTTTGTGTTAGAAATTTCTTATTACATTGGCAGAAAAGTACGAAAATTTTGCGACTAAAATAATTCTTTTTTTAAACGTTGTCAACCTGCCGTTACCATGGTGATTTATAACCAATCTAACTTCATTTCGATTTGTATCAATCTTAATCCATTCTAACCTCACTTTATCAAGTGACATTTTTGACGTTTCACCTAAATGAAGTTGGCGCTATCTCCATGCGTCTTTTTCAAGTGACATTTTTTGACGTTTCAGTGTTTAACTAATTTTGTGTTATTCAATTTTCGCCGGTTTCTTTCTTCAAGGTAATTCTCCACGTACGTTCCATAATATTGATAAAAATCATCCGTTTATAATAAACCTTTCTTATTTCCAGGATTTTAGGAACGGTTTGTATGGTTTTAGGATCTTTGCTTCGTTTTAGGTGAATCAAAAATATCTTTTTTGATGGAATTTATATTTATTTATACAATTACACATATGGCTAAAAAATATTAATTCTCAACGATCGCCCGAAGCCTTAAAGAAAAAACGAACGGCAACGTAACAGATTTATCACACAACGGAGTAAAGTGGGTGGGCTCTCGGGCGGTGCGTCGATGCGATCGGGGGGAGAATTTCAAAATTTCCTTTTTTTTTTACTTCTTCCTTTTCATTAAACGAGAGTACCCTAAATATTCTTAAAACCTTACCATCTACGTTTTTTTTTTTTCATTTTCTTTTTACCGACGAAAAATGAGTATTATATACCGTTTCTTTTTGATCTTACTTATTTTTTTCTTCATTTTCCTCATTTATAATTAATTTCACCATTTTTTTTTTTTGTTTATTTACCAAAGACAAAGCATTTTTAAGTTTTTGTGTACAACTACGATTCTTCTCATTTTTAATTTTTTTTTTATTTATTTTTTTCGAAAATGCGCAAGCGAATAAAATTTTTCTTTTTAGTTTAGTTTCATATTAAATTTCATTATTTTTTTTTTGTAACCTCGGGAAACCTCGTTTTTTACTTCGTATTGCTTCGTGTTATTTCGTGTTTACTTCGTTTAACTTCGTCATAACATCGTTAAACGTCGTTTCAACACCGATTTAACCTCCTCTTTTCATTTTCTTCGTCTTTAATTTCATCCTCACCTCTAATTTTAATCCTCATCTTTCATTTTAATCCTCGTTTTTCATTTTTTCATTCATTTTTTTTTTAATAATTATCACAGACAGGCGTAGCAAATAAAAAATAAAAAAATGACACCACACGAACATACAGGGTGGGTAACAATTCGTCAATTTTTACATCATACTTTATACTTTTTTTTTTCTCAAAAAATTGACAGCAACTATTATAAAAGTATTTACACAGGTGTTTTCTTTTTTGCTTTCATCGATTTTTATCGTTTTTTATAATTAGTAGTTATTAATATTATTAATAATTAATTAATAATCGTAATAATAATAATTTTTCAAGAATTTTTTACGTATACGTGCAGTTTATGGCCTTTTTTCAACCACCGAATGTGTTTTTTTGTATACTCGTTTAATTTCGCGGCGATAATCGCCGCTTTTTTTTGGATGGAATCCTTAAATATCTTAATAATTAAATTTATTTAATTATTGTTTATCAATTTTTAAGTAAATTTCGTTTTTTTTTCATCAATTACGTATATCTGTTGCGGTAATAGTATACAGTACGGACTTTTTAAATCCAAAAAATTTTTTCTTAATCTATTTCTACCAAAAAAAAAACAATATTCATCTATTTTCAAAAAATCCTTTAAAATAAGTCCAAACCTCAACCTAAATCGATATATCTCAGAAACCATAACAAATAGAAAATAATTCTATTAATAAAAAAGATTCCTCTTCAATTAAAGGTACTTTTTTGATTAAAAAGTTTTCCCCTATTTGCAATTTTTGAAAAAACCTAACCTCACTTTTTTTTTAATCGGACCAATTTTAAAGCGTTTTTTAATCTAGATCACAAATTGAAACGATTTGCGTCTTTTATTTTCTATTTTTTGTTAATACTGCACTTAATATTCAAAGATAACGCGAAAAATTCGATTTTTTTGAAAATTTTAACTCAATTTTCTAACAACTAATAATTATAATAAATGTACTCCTTTTTAAATTAAATTTACTTTATCATTTAATTTAAATTTGTTTATAGTTAATATTAGTAATAATACTGGAATGAGCGTTTGACCTCGTTTTTTTACTTTTTTTTCGTTTTTAGTTATTTAATTATTTAATAATTAATAATACAGCGTATACATATTCTTTTCTTCATTCTTTTTCTTTTAATAATAATTATTTAGGAATCAACCGATTTGTTTCTCCAAAATCGGTTAAAAAGGTAAAAGTTACGATTACTTCTTTGAGGTATATTTTACGTATACTTTCATTGCGGTTTCTTTATTTATTCAAATTTAAAAATAAAAAAGTAATCAGTCATCAGCCTTTAAAAGAAACGTTTTTTCTTAAATCATTTTGTTTCCACTAATAATAATCGTATACTCGGTTGCATCGTATTTCGTTTAAAAATAAGTGTAATAACGTAAAAAATCGGTAACATGACTTACTATTTCGGTTTACAATCCTTTTTTTCGGGGATTAACGATCGTTATTACCGTTTGAATTCGTCGCAAACGATAAAGGATCCATTTGATGGCCGTTTTGGTTTATTTCGTTGTTCGAGTCTATTACCAAATTTGATTCTTCGCCATCACTACTATACGAATCACCTTCATCGTCCGATGATGATAACATTCCTAATTAACAAAAAAAATAAATAAAAATTCAATTTTAAAAATTCCCTCCTAATTTAGTTCAACTACTCAATCATAGATGTCGCTTTTACGCGTCATACACCACTTGACTAAGTGGCATTTTATCGTTTTTAGAGATTTTTATGCTGTCTAGTAGGTAAAGGTGTAACTTAAAGATGGACCATGAAATAACTTTAATATAAGATAACCTAAAATAACTTGCAATTGTCAATGTCAACTTTAAAATAACCTTTAAAGTAAGTACGAACTTTCATCTTTTAATTTTGACATATCTGTCAACTTCATAAAAAATCCTTTAAAATGAGCCCAAACTCGACCTATTTAACTCTAATATTAATGGAGATACAATCACTTCCGGTTTGAAACGTCAATTTTGACATATTTGTCATCTTCATTAAAAAACCTTTAAAATGAGTCCAAACACGACGCACTTATCTCAAAAAACAAAAAAGTTAGAATAAAAAACATTAAACCCGAAGTNTGTTATCTTCCATTCTAATTATGTGGGCCTGCCCAACCCACATAATTAGAACCAACCCATCCTAATTATGTGGTTGCATTCTCTCTATTTTGCTTGATCTACTCCCAGTGTTATTTCCTCATTCCTTATCCTATCCCACTTCGCCTTCCCCACTATTTTCTGTAATAATTTCATTTCCATTGCTGTGATCTTTTCTACTTGTTTATCTTGGAGTGCCTATGATTAGGTTTATATCGGTGTACATCTTAGTATAGAGATAAGTCACGTTAAATCATCTTAATTTATTGTCCTCTACATGTCCCTGCTCTGTGTCAGTTCTTATGTGAATCACCTGTATAAAGTATTTTTAATGTAGATTAGAAACATGTCAAAATCGAGGTTGTCATTTTAAACCTGAAGTTAGTTCCCAACTATTCCCAACATATTTTAAAAAATTTTCCAGCAATTTGTAATTACTTTAAGTACGAGTGAAGATGAAACATTTGTTTCGAAACATGTTTACTTTTCCTACTTTAATATTCATAAAATAACCTTTAAAGTGAGTGCAAACATATAACTAACTATACTATAACGAACTTTTAACTTTAATTTTGACATATCTGTCGACTTCATAAAAAATCCTTTAAAATGAGCCCAAACTCGACCTATTTAACTCTAATATTAATGGAGATACAATCACTTCCGGGTTGAAACGTCAACGTCAATTTTGACATATTTGTCATCTTCATTAAAAAACCTTTAAAATGAGTCCAAACACGACGCACTTATCTCAAAAAACAAAAAAGTTAGAATAAAAAACATTAAACCCGAAGTTAGCAACAAATAAATATTAATACCAACCTTAATTTTTTAGTTTTTTTTTATTATATTTTTGTTTTTGTGACAAATTTTAACACATTTTACAAAAATTAAGAATATGTCAAAATGACATTGACATTTCTAACCGGAAGTTGCTTATATCTCGAGTAATATTGGAATTAAACGTATCATGTTTGGACTCATTTTAAAGGATTTTTCACGACGATTACAAATATGTCAAAATTTACGTTGACATTTTTAACCGGAAGTTGACCATAACTTCATTAATATTGAAGATAAATATGTCGTGTTTGTACTCATTTTAAAGGATTTTTAATGAGGATTACAAATATGGCAAAATTGAGGTTGTCATTTTAAACCTGAAGTTAGTTATCATATAATAGAAGTTTTATAACGGAAGTTAATCAAGTGTTAGTCATTTTTTCGCACTTTCTTTTTACTTTTAACGTGTTTTTTGAGTCATTTTGTCTTTAGTTTCATTTTACAACGTTTTAAACTTTAATTTTTTAAATTAGTAACTAATAATCTGATTTCGACTTTGATATTTGATCTTTTTTAACAAAAGAAAAAGAAATATTAAGAAACTTCTTTGTAAAATGGATAAGATGAGTGATATTAATCTATTTGTAGCTCTGAAGATAAAATAAAAACCGGTTTAAAAGTACAAAATCAAACTCTAGATTATTTACTCATCATTTTGACTCTAGTAAACAATTTTTAAAAGTTTGAACCTGTCTATTCAGAGAAGTTTTAAATTTTTAGAGAGATGAAAACGAAAATTTCGTTTTTCTCAACATTGTTCATCATAGAAAATTAAACTATAAAACTTCGTACTTAAAATTGAACGCATGTGGCGCCATCTGTTGGTGATATTTTGGAATTATTCAGCTATGAACCGAACCCCTAGAATACAGGTTGGATTGGGTTTACATATAAAAGCTCCAACTACAGAATAACTGTTTGGAAAGTATGAATTAACGTTCCGACTTGTTGATAATAAAATTGTTAGTTTAATTAAATTATTTCAGTATAGACGCTAATGCCATCTTACGGTCGAATTTTGACATAAAATCAATCCCAAGTTTTCCTATTAAAGATCCCTGGGGCTGTTGTTCATTTGTGCTTAGTCAAGTGATGCATAACCAAGGCTTATATATTAAAGGTTGTCTAAATTCCTATGCTGCAATACTTAGATTTGAATTTGTGGGCGAGGGGCAAGAGTGTTTCGTGACGGATTGCGTGCGCAACCTCAAGGTCATGCTCAGTGAGAGTTGAAGTGTCTTCTCTAATGTAACATAAATCAATTACTACTTTAGTTTTGAATTATTTTCCGTTTTACTATCGCTGTTAATTATATACCACACTAAATATATTAAAGTAATTATATAGGTGGTCCAATTAACATCTGTCAATAAAACCATCAAAATTTAACACTAAAACCTGACCAGGTAGACAACCACACATACACTTAACCTAAAAATTTGAAAATATATTTTTTTAAATTTTACCTCCATCAATTTGAGGCTGCATATTCGAAAAATCTTGATTCCAAAACCGCCTATTATTATTTTGTCCCTTCTTTTTTTTATGCGCGGGCGAACCGGCGGTGCTAGAATTTTCTTGCGGTGTACTCGCGTCCAACATCGGCTGAAGAATCCTTCTCCGAGCGTTTATAAACCAATTGTTCACCTGGAGCAGCGTCAAATTCGTTTGGGCCGCTATATGCCTCTTCTCATCTTCCGTCGGGTAAGGATGCTTAATTTATAACAAATTTTTAATTAATTCATTATTTTTAGGTTAATAAATCAAAAAAATCTTACAACTAAATGTTGAAATAACCACGAACGCATAACGCTCGTCGCCTGTTTTGGTAAAACCCCCCGTTTTTGTTTCCTTCCGATCCTCGAGGTGAAATCGCTGTCGCAATCGTCGGCGGATCCCCCTGGAGTTGTTGGTGCGGGCGAAAGCGGCCCCGAAGAGTGATCACTAGGTGCTACGGAACATAAATTAGCGCCGATTTGACTAAGAGGCGTCGATCCGTGCACCACGAGGCTCTCACAGCTCGTTGTTTGAGGTGGAATTGGAGGATTTGTCGTATATTGAGGGATATAACTTGGAGGAGTCTCCACAGGTCTCTCAATATTAGGAACACTCTGATTAAAAAAAAATCGTTAATTAATTAATTAATCAAACAATAAAATATTTACTGATTGTGATGGACTAATTGAATATTGCACTGGACTGTTTGAATCAGAACTTTCTGAGTTTCCATGAGATAACATGTTGTTGTTGTTTTCGAGGTTATTTAGAATATTGCCTGATGAGATATCTAAAATTAATTCAAATTAATAAAAGAAACGACTCGATTCAATTATACCTTGTGGATAATCCGATCGTAAAAGATTCTCCGATTGCATTTTTCCTTTTAAACATGTTATATAACGATTACAGAAATCCTTGCATAATTCTTGCACTTTTTCTAGTTCTAATAAATGTATCCTAAGCACTTGTATTGCTTTAACCATCTAAAACATAAACAAATAACATTAAATTAAAAAAAATTAAATTAATTAATTAAAATTTATATACCAATCCATCGATTTCGGGTTCGTTCGCCAAAAACGGTTTTCGATCGCGTTCCTGATGCTGTACGAAAGCTTGAATGTCCATGTTGAAAGCGTCGCTGCTTTGGGGATCGGAACTTTGAGTGGCTAATTCGCATCGTTCGAAGAGGAGCGCCAAAAGGGGGAATAAAGGATGCCTGGAAAAGATCGGAAATCGTCAAAAAATGAATGAGTATGATGTGAGAATTAATTTACTTATAAACGGCCCGTTTATCGGCTTCGAATTGGGCTTGATCGGTATCGGGGGGCGCAAAAACCGCCGCCGATAGGGGTTGTTGGGGGACCGAGTCCCCACTGGGCGGTACACTCAGCATTGTGCTTTGTACACCGCAATCCATAACATTTTACCTGCAAAAAGAATTACATAGTTATATTTTTAATCTTAACATAACCTCATTTAAATCAAATTTGACAACTGTCATTGTCATTAAGAAGATTATTAATTATGAAGCGATACATAAAAGAAGAACGAGTTATTATTGTGAAAATCTGTTGGTTTTAGTTTATATATTTTCGTTTTAGTTGAAAACTAGTTTAATTAATTAAAAACAACTTGTTTTAACAAACTAAAAACTCGGAGAAATAATAATTTTAACTAACTTCATGTTGGAGAAAAATTATTGTTTTAACCACTAGATGGCAGAATCCTTTTATTTATTTTATTTTTTTCAACAAAAGCATAAAAATTATTTATTCTAAAACCGCCGATAAAGATAGTTAAGGGATCGAATCCCCACTCAGTCAGAAGTGTCGGTTTTAATATAAACTATTTTGTGTTAATTGAAAACCAGTTTAATTAGTTGAGAATAACCTGTTTTAACAAACTAAAAACTCGGAACGTTCTATAAATAATAAATACCTTCAAAATCGCCGTCGATTGGAGTAGTTGGGGGGCCGAGTCCCCACTTACATTGTGGTTTGTATTTATAACATTTTACCTACAAAAAGAGTTACAAATTCACATCACACGGCAGCTGTCAAATTTGACAATAAAATTGTCACTATTATTATGAAGATTGTTAATTATGAAGCGCCACATTGTGAAAAAGTGTTGGTTTTAATATAAACAATTTTGTTTTAGTTGAAAACCGGTTTAATTAGTTGATAACAACTTGTTTTAACAAACTAAAAACTCGTTGAAATAATAAATAACTTCAAGTTAAAGAAAAAATTATTTTTTTAGCCGCTAGATGGCGCTATCGTATTATTTATTTTATTTTTTCCAATAAAAATCATAAAAATTGTTTATTCTAAAATCGCCGACGTTAAAGGTAGTTAAGGGGCAGAGTCCCCACTCAAAGTGTACTTTGTACATCGCAATTTATAATATTTTACTTGCAAAAACGATTACAGATTTCATCATACAGCAGCTGTCAAATTTGACAACTGTCATTATTATTATGAAGCGCTACGTAAAGAATCAGTTATCATTATCATTGTGACAAAGTGTTGGTTTTAATATAAACAATTTTATTTTAGTTAAAAACCAGTTTAATCAGTTGAGAACAACCTGTTTTAACGAACTAAAAACTCGGAACGAATCTAAAAATAATAAGTAACTTCAAGTAGAAGAAAAAATTGTTTTTTAACCGATAGATGGCGCAATCCTTTTATTTATTTTATTTTTTCCAATAAAAATCATAAAAATTGTTTATTCTAAAATCGTTGACATAATATGTAGTTGAGGGGCCGAGTCCCCATTTAGATTGTGCTTTGTACATCGCAATTTATAACATTTTACTTTGCAAAAAGGATTACAGATTTCATCATATGGCAGCTTGTCAAGTTTGAGAACTGTCATTATTATTACGAAGCGCTACGTAAAGAACCAGTTATCATTGTGAAAAAGTGTTGGTTTTAATATAAACAATTTTGTTTTAGTTAAAAACTAGTTTTATTAGTTGAGAACAACTTGTTTTAACAAACTAAAGTTGAAGAAAACATTATTTTTTTAGCCGCTAGATGGCGCAATCCTTTTATTTATTTTATTTTTCTAATAAAAATCATAAAAATTGTTTATTCTAAAACCGCCGACGTTAAAGATAGTTGAGGGGATAACTCCCCACTCAGATTGTGCTTTGTACATCGCAATTTATAACATTTTACTTTGCAAAAAGAATTACAGATTTCCATCATATGTATAGCAGCTGTCAAATTTAACAACTGTCATTATTATAATGAAAATTGTTAATTATGAAGTGCTACATAAAGAACGAGTTATTGTGAAAAAGTGTTGGTTTTAATATAAACAATTTTGTTTTAGTTGAAAACCAGTTTAATTAGTTGAGAACAAACTGAAAACTCGGAACGATCTAGAAATAATAAGTAAGTACCTTCAAAACTGCCGTCGATAGGGGTAGTTGGGGGGCCGAATCCTCACTCACATTGTGCTTTATACATCGCAATTTATAACATTTTATCTACAAAAAGCTATCGAATTTGACAACTGTAATTTCAAAATTATTAACCTCTTCGTAATCCTAACCTAACTTTATTTAAATCAAGTGGAAGCTGTCAAATTTGACAACTGTCATCTATGATTATTCCGATTGAATTTAAACTATTTTTTTAACCGCTAGATGGTGCAATCCTTTTATTTATTTTATTCTTCCAACAAAAAACGTAAAAATTAACGACGCTAAAACGATTTGGGGGACCGAGTCGCAATTAGGAATTACACTCAACATTGTGCTTTGTTTGCGATTACAAAGTTACATTTTGAAATCATTAACCCCTTCCTATCCTAAGCTAACTTCATTTAAATCAAGTGTCAAATTTGACAGGTGTCATTATTACGCTTATTAATTAATAATTATGTATGTAATTAAAATAAAATTTTTGTAAGAAAAATCTTAATGGTTGGTAAAGAGCAATTATAATGTAGTTAGGGGACGTTGAAAATTAATTAAATTAAATTTGGAAACTCGGAAGTGCCATCGGTCGCCCCTCCCCCTTCATCTCTCCTTCCGCTTTATTATTATTGGAGTTATTAAAGTCGGATTACGAATGCAAATCGTCTTAATTGACCGGGGGAGAGAAACTTTGTAATTCTTTTAAATCTGCCCGCGTGACTCGAATAACTGATCACTTTTTATATTTCTATAAGAATTCCTCATAAATTCCAAATCGAGTTAAAAAAATTCGTACAAAAAATAAAAGCAACGTTACAATAAGGTTACAGTTGGCGGTTTCTAAAATCGAAAACATCCCCCGATCGTAAATCGTAACGGAACTTGTTATTTTTTCCGGAATCCGAGAGATAGTAAGCCGGGGGTTGAGGGTTGGTTTGAGAAGGAACCACGAGGAGGCGGAAAAGTCGGCGTCGGTGGAGGGGGTTGCGCCACAATTTACAAGGATAACCTCAAAAAGCGCGGACTACAGACTTCCTGGCGACGGCGCGCTGTATAAAACAGATGACGACCACTATGCAAAAGAGAAAAGAAAAACGATACGATAGGCGAAGAAACGAACAAAGATCGAAATAGAAAAAGACGAAAAAAATTTTTTTTCTTGTTAAGGAAGGGTTAGAAGCGGCGGGGGTTGATTTTGGTGCAAAAATTAAAAAGAGACACCAAAACTGCAAGGTTTCTTCTCTCTTTTTAAATATCGTTGAAAAGAGACGGATATAGGAAAAGTCATTTTCTGCAAGTGTCACCCGCGGGTAGCGTTCCGGGGGTTCGAAATAATTGTATTTCGAAGGAGCGAGAAAGCGGAGTCCCGGACGTCGGGATGAATTAAACATAACCTCTCCTCCCTTAATAGAAAGAGATGGCGAAAAAATGAATCCCACCAAAAGAGAAAGAAAGACGATATGCAAAAAAGGATCCTCTTTCTCTTCTAACAACCTTTTGCATCCCCTCCAACCAGCTCTTCACCCATCCTCCGCCTCCCATCCCTTTATTAATTTCGGGGCCGGCGGACACGTGTTTTTTATGATCCGTGCCGCGGGATATTGTTTTAAGGTCGTTGAATTTTTCCTTTAAGCGACGTAGATTAACTTGGGTTAAGTTAATGTTTGTTAGGGAAGAAGATCCAAAATCGATTTGCTTGTTACAATCTAAAAAAAAAGATATTTCAGAAGGAAATCCGATCCGTTTTGTATCGAAATCCGAATTTTGCAAATAGGCGTTTTATCGGCAATTTATATTCAACCTTCGACACCCCCAGTAAACATATGTTTTCGACGCATATATTGGATATATACAGTAAAGAAGGGAGATCTTTTATATTTCTAGTACACATTTAGAAAAAGTTTTTTGACAACATCGCCATTAGATGGAGCAAGGAGTTAAGTTAAAGACCTAAATCAATCCGTGAAAGCACCTAAATAAGATAAGGATGAAGCCAGAACCGAAAATGGCATTAAAAAAGTCCGGATGGATATTTGACGACCAAATGAAAACAACACTTGACAATATCTCGAAGAATCAAAGAAAAGCATCTAGAATGGTTCGGTATCCCAAAAAAAGGCATTCCCAAAAATGCAACTATTTTAAGAATTTGCTAGAGCGACTTCAAGAAGAAGGAGAGAAGAAAAGACTTCTCCAGAAGAATTAATTTGGATTTAGAGAAAGACCGCTTTCCACTCAACTATATACTTGTACGTGGTAACCGAGTATGATAGAGAAATAAAAGATAGAAACTGATGCAAAAGTAAAAAAAGCAAAGAAAAGCTTCCTAGACATGCTTAAGAAGATAGGGATCAAAACAGAAATCAGATACCTACTTCACTTTCAATTTTTTGGTTATAAAGATGTTCTTTTTTTAACATAAATGGATAGAAAATTAAAAATCCTTTAAAATGAACCCAAACTCGACCTATTTATCTTTAACCGTTATCGAGATATCTTAATTTTTAGTAAAAAAAAATGGCGATTATTTGACATTTGACAGTTTGTAACCTAACTTTTTTATTTTTTAACCCAAATATATCATGTTTGGTATCAAATGAAAGCATTTTTGATTCTTATTAAAATCACGTCAATATTTATCAAAAAATCGTTATATTTCATTTTGACATTTGACAGTTTATAACCTAACTTTTTTATATTTTAACCCAAATATACCGAGTTTAGTATCAAATCACTGCACTTTTGATTAGTATTAAGTTCATTTCAATATTTATCAAAAAATCGTTATATTTCATTTTGACATTTGACAGTTTCTAACCTAACTTTTTTATTTTTTAACCCAAACATATCGAGTTTGTTATCAAATTAAAGCATTTTTGATTCTTATTAAGATCATATCAATATTTATCAAAAAATTATTAATTCAATTTTGACATTTGTCAGTTTCCAACCTAACTTTTTTATTTTCTAACCCAAATATATCATGTTTGGTATCAAATTAAAGCATTTTTGATCCATTTCAATATTTATCAAAAAAAAACGTTACATTTATACGTTACTTTTTTATTTTTTAACCCAAATTTGACATATTTGGGCTTTATATCGCCTTCATAAAACTTCTGAAACGCTTCACACCGGCGGAGCTCAAAGAGATTCTTTTCACCGATGAGAAGTTATTTCAAATTCTGGCAAGAACGATTCAGGAAGCGAATCCTTTGGTTTAATGATGAGATAAAAATGATGAGAGACAGACTCCGTTTATTGTCGGACATTCATCATATTGCTCCTGGTTTGGTTACCAAAGAATATTTAAATAATAAAAAGAGAGCTTATAGGCAGCTTATCTTAATAACAAAAAATCAGCTAATGCGTCCCGTCTAAAACACTCTAAGAATAAGCAAGCTGGAATATTCCGCCCAAAGTGGCTTCTGAGAAGTTAAATCACCTATGATATTAAAAAAAAACAAATAACACTACGAATTTTAATTTCAATTTTAGGTTATATTCTGCCTTATGCCTTTCAGTTTGGGTTTAGTCTTCAACAATACACTCCCTAATTCAACATACACAAAATGGCTTTGTTTAACTTGCTGGCTGAGATATTTCTTTTCGATTTAACCACCATTTCTCACTATTTTAAGCTTAAGAGTCATGATTGATTTGCGCTTTACCAAATGCTGCAGAACCAAATTCTCTGCATTGAATATTCTAACTCTTCCGTCTATATAAATTCTAGCATATTATGAATATTACTGTGAGAGCTAAAATAAGGTTTTATCTTGGATTGTTTCCACATCAAATGAACGACGATCCTAACTCGTCATTTCATGTCAAAGGGTTAAAATCGTCTTTATCTTATCTCAACATCGTTCTTATCATACCACAACATCATCTTTGACAGTTCTTAGGATGTATTATCATTTCTGACATTAATAACTCCAAAATCGTCTCTACAACTTATTAAAATCATCGTACTTAACTTATCTCAACATCATTCACTCGAAAACATCGTTCTTAGCCTTCCTAAATACAATTTAATCTTCTCCTCGCAAATTTTAAGTCAGATTAAAACCAAACTATGATAAATTGGTAAGTTATTAATGGATTTTGAGGAAAAAATGTTTAAAATTGACAAGAAATTAATTTGACGTTTCAATGAATCATTGGTGCCAACCCTAAATAGTTTAATGACATTTTTAATATAATGAAGTTGCATGATGGGGAGCTACCACCCCAAATCAAAAAAAAAATTAAAAAAACTAAGCAGCTTTTAAAAATAAGTTAAAGTTTGCATGTCGTCGTTGTCGCAGCCGTTGTCGTCGTACTCGGCAAGTCAATATTATAATAACCGTTTTATTCCTATTTGTACAAGCAATCGAAGTTAGTTTATCTTTTATTACACTTTACCAACCCAGGTTGTTACAATAAAACCCACCGCCGCGCTACCGTTTCAAATCATTGCCGTGATATTTACCCAAAAAAAAAGAGATAAGCTAAATCCTTTAAAGATAACGAGAAAAAATTAAAATAAAAATAATAAACATCTTTAGAAAAAAAAAATCTAACCTAAAAACTTAAGAAAAAAAAAATAAATAAAAATATATCTTAGAAGGCCATATTAATTTACGTTTATTAACGCCACAACGTTAAATACACGAGAAGCAAAGAAAATTTTTAGTTTTTACATAAAAATAGGAGATACTTACATATTACGCCTCCTTCGATTTGGTATCAAACAAATCCTTTTTTACGGATAAAAAAAAGAAGATCGTTCAATGTCCCCGTTGGTGTTAACAAAAACAATTGGGAATAATTAAAACAACGAACGTTTTTTCTTCTTAATAAAAAAAACAAACTCGAAACCGAAAAACTTGTACCCGACGCGTGATTTTTCGGTTCTTAAAACGGAGTTAAACAAAAATTTTTCTCCAACAAACCACGAACGGATTTTTTTTTGAAAAGAACTTAACCTGAACGAGCCATGTGACGATTTCGAGCCGAGAACTTTGTTATTTCAATGTTTACATGTCACTTTTGCCTTAACAAATGACTATCTGTCTAGACTTGGCCGACGTATGTCAATATTCGTCAAAGGCAAAATGGCTACGCCTTTGAAATACAAGAATTAACCTCAATCTTTAACGTCATCTCTTTCTATCGCCCCAACGAATCTTACGGAACGTAACACAACGTGCGTCGGTGCTTATTTTCACTAAAACACGCCCTAAACGGACGAGAAAATAATTAATTGTCGCTTTTATAACGAATTTTTTGTTTAAAAAAGTTAATTAGGGATTTAATCGGGGCGAGATTTACGTTTTTGTGGGTTTTTTTTGGTATTTGTTGTTAAATTTTGGGAGAAAACAACAATTTTTGATATCACATAACAACGCGCATGCGCAAAATGCAGTACGGCCTATGATGGTTTATTTTATTTTTCTTTATTTTTACTGCCAAAAATCGTTTCTAAACAAATTCGACTCGAAAGAAATTTATTTAAACAATCCGATTTATATTTCTAAGTTATTTTAATTAATATAAACAGGTTGTTTCGGGATTTAATAACCTACAAGCTCCGCCTTCAACAATCAGCGCCATCTAACGCCAAATTAAAGTAATACATTTAAAAATTTCCTTCGAAACACCAATAATAGAGGGCGCATTTAAATTAATTTTTGTAATTAAATTACAAATTTAAATTTTTTCCACATTTATTAATCACAACATTTAATTAATTACATCAATTTTATTTTTTTTAACGCGTTTCTAAAATAACCTGCAAATTATCGCCGTCTCCGTTAGGTAAATAAGCGAATCTCCAAAAATTCGTAAAAATAAGCACTTCCCCTTTAATTAGGTTGATTTTAAGCGTTGGACAATCGTTTTCGCACGTTTCCGGGTGCAACATAACCTCAACCCCACCTTCTAATTGCCCCACAATTATAATCGAATCATCAAAAAACAATTCCTTGTATTTTTCGATTTTGTAATTCTTCGATTTCACCAACCAGCTGTATTGGGTCGGATATATTTCTGGAACCAAGAAATTAGGCCTTGGAAAGTATTTTCTCATCGCTTTGACGGCATCGTATTGGCAATTTTGGAAATGCATGAAATAAATTCGATGATTTTTGTAGTTTTTTAACGATTCCGATAAAGTATCGTCTTTAAAATACAAATTCGACGAAAACTTACAAGGATAACTCTTCGCGATCACTTTATCGCTTAAAATCCGATCAAACAGCGTCGAATTAAGGTTAGGAATGTTCCAATTCTCCAATCCGTTCTCTAAAATAACCGGTTTATTCAATTTTATGTAATTCTCATAAATTAAATCGATTTCAAACGAATCAATCACATCAATCGTTTCTAGATATTCACAAAATGAGCAATCTTTCGTGTTTTTTTGATTTTGTGGTTTCGAATTTGAAATTAAACATTTTTCCGATTGCAAAACTTGCCAATTCCAATACGGTAATAATTCGATCAAAAAAAGGCGCCCAATCGCCGAATAAATCCATGAGAATAACTCCAAATACGATAATAAATAAAGAATTAATAAGATTAAGGTTATTTTAAGAACATAACCTTTAAATGGGAAATTATTAACTCGTTCCGAAAGCGGTTTACATATTTGCGCTATTTCTTTCTCGCTTAAACGATTTTCTTTGCAAAATTGATAAAATTCGTTCAAATCTTTCTCGATTTGTTGTAAATTATCCTCCGATGGCATCTAAAAGCAATAAAAATTATTTTTTGTTGTTTTTTGCCCCAAATTTTATCATTTTACACAACAACACTTTAATTTCGATAATTCTTCGGTTATTTTCGTTAATTTTGAATTAATTTCTTGCAATAATTTGTTTTGATCCATTTTTAGGTTATTTTTTTTTAGGTTATGTTGCCAAATGTGGGTTTTACAACAATTTTGATGGTTTTATTAAGAAAACTTACCGTGGGTGTTTAAATTTTGTTCGAAATCGCCGGGTTTATAGCAAATGAGGCCCAATTTGGCTTACAACAGGTGTTAAAATCGATTTTTCTGGTGGAATTGGAATCGTTTGATTTGAGCAAACTCGGAATTATTGATTGGTTTGTAATAAAACGGGAAAATGGGTAAGAAATGAAATTTGGTTATTATTAATAAGTCGGTTTTAATTAAATCGTTTTAATTCTTAAATTGTTTATAATTAAAATTAAATTAAAATAATGTTTTTTTGATTTTTTATTAGATGGCGCCACTAAATCAATTTAAATGTCAATTTACATTTTAATTTTTAATATATAAAACAATATAATATAGATAAATAATAATAATAGATAAATTAATTTATAAACAAATGATTTTTTTATATATTTAAAAATAATTTAAGAAAATAAATTAGAATTAATTTTTTTATTAAAAGATGTCGCTATAAAATGAAACGTCTCGATCGGTAATAGCGCTTGCGCATCAAACGTCAATTTGACATTATTGTTAACCATTGAACGTTTGCAAATTAAGGCAATTTATTGCCATTTCGAGTGGATTCGTTAGGAAAACGAACGTTGGGAAATCGTCGAAACGAAGATATCCCTTGATCCCGTTAAAAAATTCGCGTGCGATTCACGCTGTCACCCGAGAAAAAATCAACCCAAAACTTGCGCCCGACAAATATTGATTACGTCATTAGGCCATTTTGTGTTTTTGTGTGTTTTCTTCGACTGGCAGTGGCTTTAAATCGGCGTGGATTTCGACCATTCATAATCAATAAATAAAAAAGAACCTGGCGTAGGTGTATTATCACGGAGTACCGTGTTATCGTTTTTGATTATCATCGTTAGAAGAAAGTCGTCCAAAATTCCGGTACCCACAAGAAAACCTACCAATACCGATTTCGGTAGCGGAGATATGAATAATCGTAGAAAAAACCGCGGAGGTGCTGCGAGGAATGCGCGAGTACGCAACGTGCCCGTCGAAGGTGTTTACAACAACGCCCATTTTATGCACACCGCTACATCCCTCGTCGGAAACGTGGTACAATTACAAACGACCTCGGGAATACTTTGGGAAGGTGTTTTTCGTACATTTTCCCATCATTTTGATGTCGTACTTGAGATGGCTACTAAATTAGAGAATCCGGACACCAATCCGACCGTTATCACCAATTCGTTAGTTGATAAGTTAATTTTCAAGGCGTGCGACATCGTTTTTATGGTCGCAAAGGAAGTTGACCTTGAGTTCGCCACCAGGGACACCTTCCAAACAGACACTGCCATTACAGCCGCTCGATTAAATGGTAAAAATAAAGCATAACCTAACTTTTTCGCTTTTGACAGCTCTCATTTTTATTTATTTTTTAATTTTTATTTCATTTTAATTCAATTCAGGGCAACAAAGGATAGAAGAAAAAGAATTAGAGCCATGGGATGCGAGTAGTGGGGTAAATGGGGGCGATACAAGTTTGGAATTGGAGCCTGGAGCGAACGGTTGGGACGCGAACGATATGTTCAAGAAAAACGAGCAGGTGTACGGCGTTCAAAGCACTTACGATAGTGCTTTAACGCAGTATACGGTGCCGCTTCAAGCTACCGATTCCGCTGACTACCGGGAGGCTCAAATGAAAGCGGAACAAATCGCCAATGAGATCGAGAATAACCCAACGTGTATGGCCCGGTCGGAATTGGAGAATGGCGATGAAGAGGAACGGTTTGCTGCCGTACACAGACCATCCAATGAATACAATGTAAGGTTAAATTCACTTTTATTCATGTTGAAAAAAATATTTAAAAAACGTCTTATCTTGCTTACTGTTTGGGGTAGTTTTCTCCATCATCAGTCAGAACTAAAAATTTATTAAAAATAAGCAAAAAACAGACAATTTTCTTAACAATAATGTCAAATTGACATTTGATGCGCAAGCGCTTTTACCGATTTCGTCGTAAGCGACATCTGTTAACAAAAAAATTAACTTAATTTTTTTTTAAATCGCCCAAATTAAATTAAAAAAATTATTTGTTTACAAAAAAATAGTTTTTCTATTATTATTAATAGATTTATCTCATCATTATGTCATATTACATCTTTTTATACGTTAAAAATTAAAATCTAAATTGACATTTAGATTGGTTTAGTAGCGCCATCTAATAAAAAATCAACGAAACACATTTTATAATTTAATTTTAATTATAAACAAGTTAATTAAAAAAAATCTTACAATAAAAGTTTCTTATAGAAATCGAACCGAAAAGGTTTCCTAAATTACATTGACAGTTTTAATAAGAACCTTGAGGTTGATGATTTTTTGAAACGTCAAAATTTCAAAAAACGACAATAAATTTTATTTTTTTGCACTTGCTAAAGGTTTCACATTAAAAAAGCGTAAACAAATTCTTTTTTGCGTATGATTTAAGCATAAATTAATTAATTTTTGTAAAAAAAGCATGACGTTTCATAAAATTTGACAAATTGGTGTGAAGTTGGTTACAGTTGGTAATGTTGAATTTGTGTCACATTGACGTATAAACTTTATTCAAAAATTAAAGCCATTCAGTACTTTCATCTAATTGTATTGTGAATTTTCGTGTTTGAAGATCCACAATTAATTAATTTTCAACGTCATTGGCCATTTCATTAATCCTTCTTGATATAATGTCATTAGTAAAAGGAATCATCGACATAATATTATCTGGATCAGCTGGTCATCCTAACAACTTCCTTTATAGCGAGTTTTAATTAACTTGTTTTAATTGTTTATAATTTATTTAAAAATCTTCTTATCTTGCTTACTGTTTGGGGTAGTTTTCTCCATCATCAGTTAGAACTATAAATTTATTAAAAAGTAAGCAAAAAGACGGAACATTTAAAATTTGGTTAACAATAATGTCAAATTGACATTTGATGCGCAAGCGCTATTACCGATTTCGTCGTAAGCGACATCTTTTAACAAAAAAATTAACTTAATTTTTTTTTTAAATCGCCCAAATTAAAATAAAAAAATTATTTGTTTACAAAGAAATAGTTTATCTAGTATTGTTAATAGATTTATTTCGTCATTAAGTCATATTATATCTTTTTACACGTTAAAAATTAAAATCTAAATTGACGTTTAGATTGACTTAGTAGCGCCATCTAAGAAATCATCAACGAAACACTTTTTAATTTAATTTTAATTATAAACAATTTAACAATTAAAACAAGTTAATTAAAAAAAAATCACCGTAATATAGATATGCGGTTTTCGCCATTAAGTTTCTTATAAAAATCGAACCTCAGACACTGATATCATTTTTCCACTACCTCTTAGTTACTTTCTGAGTTGACTGCACATATAGAGTTAGTGTCAAAAAAATTAAGTTTAAAACCAACAAAAATATATCTTTATTCTACTTTTACCATAAAAATATAAAAAAGGATACCTGAATTACATTGAATGTTTTAATAAGAACCTTGAGGTTGATGATTTTTTGAAACGTCAAAATTTCAAAAAACGACAATTTAATTTAATTTTTTTTAGACTTTTTAAAAGTTTGACATTAAAAAAATGTAAATAAATTCCTTTTTTCGTATGATTTAAGCATAAATTAATTAATTTTCGTAAAAAAAGCATGACGTTTCATAAAATTTGACAAATTGGTGTGAAGTTGGTAATATTGAATTTGTGTCACATTGACGTTTAAACTTTATTCAATAATTAAAGCCACTCAATACTTTCATCTAATTGTATTGTGAATTCTCGTGTATGAAGATCCATAATTAATTGATTTTCAACGTCATTGGCCATTTCATTAATCCTTCTTGATATAGTGTCATTACTAAAAGGAATCATCGACATAATATTATCTGGAATTAACTTTTAATTGTTAAATTGTTTGTAATTATAATTTATTTAAAAAACTTCTTATTTTGCTTACTGTTTGGAGTATTTTTCTCCATCATCAAAGAGAACAGTTAAAATTTGGTTAAAATAAAGTCAAATTTACGTTTGATGCTCAATATTATCGATTTCGTCTTAAGCGACATCTTTTAACAAAAAAATTAATTAAAAATTTTTTTTAAATCATCAGAAATTAAATAAAACAAATTATTTGTTTATAAAAAAATAATTTATCTATTATTAATAGATTTATCTCACCATTAAGTCATATTATATCGTTATATACATTCAAAATTAAAATCTAAATTGACGTTTAGATTGAGTTAATGGCGCCATCTAATAAAAAATCAACGAAACACTTTTTTAATTTAATTTTAATTATAAACAATTTAACAATTAAAACAAGTTAAAAAAAATCTTATAATAGAAGTTTCTTATAAAAATCGAACCTCAGGCACTGATATCATTTTTTTTTAACAAAAAATAAAATAAATTTTAACAATGTAGGGAAATAGGTATGTCACTTCTTCAAATGACATTTTTTTGATGTTTCTTTAACAAAATTAAAACTCACTCAGTTTTCGAAATAAAACGAAAAAGAAATTTGCGTGATAGAAGCTCGTTTTAGTCACTCGTACACGTTTTAGAAAATCAAATAGTAATTCGTGTTTATCGTGGTTCTAAATTAGGTTAAAATATGTGACATGATGAGAAGATAGTTTCAAACATATATTTTAAGGATTTTTTCGACAGGTGGCGCTTTTTCTTAAAATGACATTTTTTGTCGTTTCATTAAAAGAAATTGATTTAATTCATTTTGCTTTAGAAATAAAACTAAAACTTGAAATTTTGAGGTTATGCCGTGCGTCAAAGACGAATTTTAATTAACTTGTTTTAATTGTTAAATTGTTTATAATTAAAATTAAATTAAAAAATGCTTCGTTGATTTTTTATTAGATGGCGCCACTAAGTCAATCTAAATGTTAATTTAGATTTTAATTTTTAATGTGTAAAGAAATATAATATGACTTAATGATGAAATAAATCTATTAATAATAGATAAATTATTTTTTTATAAACAAATAATTTTTTTAATTTAATTTGTGTGATTTAAAAAAAAAATAAATTAATTTTTTTGTTAAAAGATGTCGCTTTAGTCGAAACGATCGGTAATAGCGCTCGCATATCAAACGTCAATTTGACATTATTGTTAACCAAATTTTAATTGGTGTGTTTTTTGCTTATTTTTAATAAATAACTCGAAACTCTCCGTAAAAATAAATGATTTGCAAGATAAGGAGTTTCTTAAATATTTTTAAACACTCCGATTCTTAACAATGTAAGTACATAAATGTTATCAAAATGAATTTTTGTTTTGTAGAAATCAGATTCTTCGCAAAAATACGTCCCCCCAGCGAAACGAAAGACCATCACCACAGGAAAATTAATGCGTAGTACGCCACCACCACAAAATAACAACAATACCTGCAGCGGTAGTAGTAGCGCTCAAACGACACCATCTCCAAAAGGACCCGGTCCCCAAATGACTTATCCTTCAGTAGCAATCCCTAATAGCATCCCCCCACATATTCGCGATAACCACCATCACCAACAACAACAAATTCGCGGGGGAGGAAATAATCCCCAACAACAACAACAACCCCCACCACCATCAATTCAAGATCACCAACAAAATCAAGGACCTCAAAACGTCCCCCCACCCATATCACACGTTCCACCCACAGCTATGGGACATCCTATTCATCCAAATCATAATCACGGTGGGGGGAGTAATCACGGAGGAGGGAGTAATCATGGTGGAAGTAATCAAGGGGGTCGATCAAGTTCTCATACTCCATATCAAACTGGTGGTGTACCAAGGGGTCAATTAAATAATGGTAATAAAGGACAAATGAATGGTGATGTAAAACGAGGGGGGCCAAGATATGGGGTTCCGCCGCCTAATGGTGGGGGGATGCAAGGTGGTGGTTTAATGGGAGCGGGGCCTCCCCAAAATTTAGTAAACGTCGGCGGTGGGTATCAAGATGGAGGTGGTAACAAGCAATTACAACAACAAATGCAGCAAGATGGAAACGTTCGAATGCGCGACGATATGAAAGAGTTGCAAAAATTTTCGCAGGAATTTAAATTATCGCAACATCCGCCCCCGTCCGAACCACACCAACAACACAATTTACAACAACCCCAATCGGGGGTAATCCCAGCGGAAATGGGGGTCCCCCCACCGGGGGTTGTAACGCAAGGGAAACAACAACAACAACATCCAGGTCCGCAAGCAACCCCGCCCCAACAATCACAACAACAAGTAATGCAACAACAGAATGTAGCGCAACCGCAACAATCAGTATCGCCGCCTGATGAAAGAGGGGGAGACGCAGAGAAGATTTCGAATAAATTGAAGGATTTTAAATTAAACCCGAATGCGAAGGAGTTTGTTTTGAATCCAACTGCTAAACCGTTTACTCCAAGGTAATAAAATAATTATATAACTCCTTTTGTCCTAAATTATGGTATATAATATATTTTTTTTATAATTTATCCCAAATTATGATATACAAAGCTTTGAAAACTAGTTTATTATATTTGTAAAGTTAGTAATTCAATTTGTAACATAATTTAAACATACAATGTGTTAATTATCCTATTCGTCAAAATCGAAAGTATGCAACCAATATTACAGTATTGTGATATTGGTTGCATACTCACATAAAACTTAATTTTATAGTTATTGCCTCCTGAGGGCATCATGGTTATCTAATTTTTCTTTAGTTAATGCGTCGATGGCACTTTCAACACATTCTATTAATTTATCCATAGTTTTTGGCGATGTTTGCGAGCCATTGCAGCCATAAGCATAACTTTAGTTATGAACTGTTTGCTTTTACACTGCCTTTTTTCTGCTTCGTCCAGCGTGATGTAGCATGACCTTTTAAATTGACATTTCTGTTTTTAAACATAGTTGCCTAATACTTTAGTAGAAACACCGCATGTATATTGTACTAAATGGATAGAAACTTGTTAATTCTCCAACTTAATCCATAAATTTAGAGAAATGTATATCATAATTTCGGACATAGGGAGAAAATTTATTGAAACTTGACTACAAATATCGTTTTTAAGACCCTTTTGATGATCATTTAAGTATTTAAACTGAATTGATGATAGTAATATATCATATAATAGTATAATATAGAAACTGGAAGCCTATCATTTGGACTGCCTTTGAGAAAAATGCTAACTTTAAAGCATTTGGAAAAGTATTTTCTCTCATGCATTTCGCTCATCTTTTATCGCTTTAATATTACAGCATTTATTTAAGAACAGATTTTATTAAGAACCTTAATTGAACCAATTAAAGTGATATTCTATATCATTATATTATGGTACAGTGGTATCTAGGGAATCATTTACTTCGTTTGGGTCAAACATTGTTTATTAAACATTACTTTTCTTGATTATTTCATGAATGTTAAATTTTGTTTGCTGTCATCTTAATTGAGCCTTCTTTCAGTTTGCTATTGTTACTCAATTCCAGTAACGCATGATAAAGCCGTTTACCATGCCTTGTGTTGAGACTTAAGTTTTAGATCGTTTCTTGTCAAAATGCGTTTTTTTGTCTCTCCCATTATCTTCTTAAATGGGATGTTTATGTGAGATCTTAAAAAGTCGCGTTTTTTGGATTAAAAAGTGCAACTTAACGTTTAATAAGTATTTCTTAACTTTCTCTTGATGTAACGGCTGATGTTTTTAAAGATGTCAGTGACTATTGATAAATCACCATGGTAACGGCAGGTTGAAAACTTAACAAAAAATTATTTTATTCACAACATTTTCGTAATTTTTCTGCCGATGCAATACGAAATAAAACTAAAACTAGAAAATTTCGGGTTTTAGTTTTTTTAACGCAAAATGAGTTAAATACATTTTTTTAATAAAATGTTAAAAATGCTACTTAAAAAATCGCATAGGAGATAGCGCCATCTGTCGGAAAAAGTCTAAAAATATACGTATCTTCTCATCATGACAAATATTTCAATGTAATTTAAAACCACGAGAAACATGAATTATTATTTATTTTTTTTTATAACGTAAAATGTATGACTAAAACGAGGTCTATTACGCAAATTTCATTTTAGTTTTATTTCTAAAGCTCAGTCAGTTTTAATTTTTTTTTAATGAAACGTCAAAAAAAATGTCATTTGAAAAAGTGAGGTTAGGTTGTGTTGAAAAAGTGAGATTAGAAATCCTCATCATCATTTTCTAGCACAGTTTTAAACTAACACGGCCGTTTTCGAAGACATCGGCCGCTAAAACATTGAAATCAAGGTTTGATCTCTACACTTATTTGTGAAAATGAACATTCGTGCTTTCGGGGGCGGCCGTGTCAGTTTAAAATTGTGTTGGGAAATGTGTTATTTTTGTTAATTTATGGTTCGTCCCAACCTCACTTTTTCAAACCAACATAATCTCACTTGTCTAAGTGACATTATTTGACGTTTTGTTAAAAAAAATTATTTTACTCACTCAGTACGTTTTCGAAGGTTTTCTTTCATATTAGCGATTCATAAGAAGCGATCTCGCTTGAAATAGCCACAAAAAGTAAGCTCACAAGATACGAAATATCCATTCAACCCAACCTAAGACCTCGAAGACTTCTTATTTTGCAAATCTTATTATAAGACTGAGACTAGTTTCGAGTTATTTATTAAAAATAAGGAAAAAACAGAACAATTAAAATTTGGTTAACAATAATGTCAAATTGACGTTTGACGTGCAAGCGCTATTACCGACCGTTTCGACTTGAACGACATCTTTTAACAAAAAAATTAATTTCAATTTTTTTTTAAATTACACACAAATTAAATTGAAAAAATTATTTATTTATAAAAAAATAATTTATCTATTATTAATAGATTTCTCTCATTATTAATTCATATTATATTACTTTATACATGAAAAATTAAAATCTAAATTGACATTTAGATTGACTTAGTGGCGCCATCTAATAAAAAATCAACGAAACACATTTTTTTAAATTTAATTTTAATTATAAACAATTAAAACAAGTTAATTATAGTTCGTCTTTGACGCACGGCATAACCTCAAAATTTCTAGTTTTAGTTTTATTTCTAACGCAAAATGAGTTAAATCAATTTCTTTTAATAAAACGTCAAAAATGTCATTTTAAGACGTTTAGGAAGTAGCGCCACCTGCCGAAAAAAGTCTTAAAATATACGTTCATAACTACCTTCTCATCATGTCAAATATTTTAACGTCATTTAAAACCATGAAAAACGCGAATCAATATTTAATTTTTTTTCTAACGTACTTAAAACGTGTACTAGTGACTAAAACGAGCTTTTATGACGCAAATGTCTGTTTAGTTTTATTTCTAAAGCTGAGTGACTAAATTTTTTTTAATGAAACGTCAAAAGAAGCGTCATTTGAAAAAGTGAGGTTAGGTTGTGTTGGAAAAGTGAGATAAGTCATTTTCAACTAACACGGCCGTTTTCGAAGACATCGGCCGCCCCCAGCGCCTTCGCGGCCGATAAAACATTGAAATCAAGGTTTGATTGAGGTTCGTGCTTAAAATTGCTAAAAAATGTGTTATTTTTGTTTATCTATCTTAGGTTCGTCCCAACCTCACTTTTCCAAGTGACATTTTTTGACGTTTCATAAAAAAAAATTTATTTTACTCACTCAGTGCGTCTTCGACGATTTTCTTTCATATTAGCGATTCATAAGAAGTGATCTCGTTTGAAACAGCCACAAAAAGTAAACTCACAAGATACGAAATATCTATTTAACCCAACCTAACCTTACTTTTTCAAGTGACATTTTTTACAACCGTTATTGCAGATGGAATAAGAAATAAATTAAAACGTCATTTTTACGTTTTTTTATGAAACGTCAAAAATGTCACTTACAAGAACGTATACATAGGAGATAACGCCATCTGTCGGAAAAAGTCTAAAAATGTATCTTCGTAACTATCTTCTCATCATGTCTAATATTTTAGCTTAATTTAGAACCACGGAAACGCGAATCACTATTTATTTATTTTTTTTACAACGTAAAATGTGTATTAGTGACTAAAATCAACCTCTATGAGGCAAATATCTTTTTAGTTTTATTTCTAAAGCTGAGTGAGTATTAATTTTTTTAATGAAACGTCAAAAAAATGTCATTTGAAAAAGTGACATCCCATTTCCCTACATTGTTAAAATTTATTTTATTTTTGTTAAAAAAAAGGATAAAAAACACGTTTCATACGACTTAAAGCACTTATTTATTAAAAAAAACTTGAATCCGTCCATTTCAAGTGTGTTTTACGAATTTTTGAATAAAGTTAAATAATCCAACTGTAACCAACTTCACAACAATGTGTCAAAATTTAATGTCAATTTTCTGAAACGTCATAAAACGTAAATAATAAATATTTTTTGTCTTTTAGGAGATCGCCAAGTACCCCAACGGCGAGTAGACCTCATACGCCACAAACACCAAGCAATAATCATTATATGCAACAGATTGGGGGCCCGCAACAAACCCAAAATTTGATGTTAATGCCGATGCCCTACATGTTAAATCAACCGCAATATCAACCACAAACTCAACGTGGGTATAGGAAAGGTAAAAAGCGATTAATTATAAAAATTAGGGTTATTAATGATATCTTTTTAGTTCCAATTCGCGCTGATATGGCGTCTCAAATGCAAGTAGCAGCCGCAACTGGTCAACCGCTCCTTGCCCCCGCCCCAATGCAACCGTTCCAAATGTATCAACCGGGATTAAACGCCCCTGGTTATCCGACAATGCCCGCCACAGTGCGCATGTATGAATCACCCCCGCAACTTCCTTATTTACAATCAAACCCATCAAACGCCCCCAGTCCAGGTCACCCACCCCCATATGCTGCTGCAGCTGCGGCCGCCGCTGCAGCAGCGGCGGCTGCCGCAGCTGGTGTGGGGCAAGGACAACCACCTCAACAACCACCACCACCACAACAATATCAAGCAGCAGCCCCGCAAGGACACCCCCAATTCCCTGTAATGTACCCCATTTTGCAAACGCAACCTCATGTTGTTCCAACAGCCGCGGGGGTGCATTATTTGAATCAAGGACCCCCACCGGCGCCGATTCAAGTTATTGTACAACAACCTCAAGGGGGGCATGCTGCGGGACCGTAACGAAGGGCGGCCCGTTGGCCATAAGATAAAGAGTTGTAGGTGGGTTTTAAAAAATTCTTTTTATTATTATTTTTTTTTTCCTTCAAAATTTAAACCTTTCAATTTTTTGCTTTAGAAACATTAAGAAATAATTGAGGATTCTTTTAATAAGTAGAAATTTCAATTATTTCTAAAAAGAAATTTTTTCTAAATTTAATCCCTTTATTATTTTATTAATTATTATTTTTCCCCCAAAAAATAGAATATTGTAATTAATAATTATTACTCGATAATTGGCGTATTCGATTGTTACGAATACGGAAATAAGTAAAAAAGAAGTGATTTTTTTGGGCTTATCCGATTTTTGACTCGAATTAAACGAATTTAAATCGGATAAGACCCCGTTTAATTAAAAAAAAATGAGAATAAGATGAAGATTCTAAAAAAAAGATGATTGAGAGAGGTGAAAATAAGAAAAAGAAAACGAAAACCAACACAAATTAATTAAAATTGAATAAAAAAGAAAAAAACGATTTGATTGTTTTCTTGAAGATTGTTGAATTGAATTTTTTTTGGAATAAAACGGTGAGTTTTTGTTGAGATAAATTAAGAAGAAAAACTATAAGCAATGTTTTTACAATCATTATTTATCATATTATTTCCGAAATTATTCTTTTAATTTAAATAAATTAAAAAAAAAATCGTGTTAATCGAATAAATCGTTTATTTAAAAACTCTTTTTGGTATTATTGTTGTTCTTAAATAAATTGTTTATTAAATTAACGTTTAGGTAAAGTTAAATTCAAAAAAAAACTTTGTTATTTTTTTACATTAATTTATAAATTATTTTCAATTAATCAAACGAAAAAAAATATTCATAATTTATAATTTCCTTCCATTCCATTTTCAATATCAATATTAAGCTAGCTCCAAAACAAAAAAAAAAAATAAATAAACAGAATATCACAGGAAATTAATAATTAATTAAAAAAAGAGAAAAAGAAAAAGCCGCAGATACACAAAGGTGCCTTAAGAGTGTGTAATTTCCCCCGAAAATCTCGATTTATTAATTTACGTTCCATCATAATCATTGAAAAATGCGTTTTTTCGGCACCGAATCAAGAAGAAAAAGAATTGGTAATGTTTGGTTGTTAAATTAAGATTGAAATTAAAACAAAAAAACGGTTTAATATAGAAATAAATGAAATTAAAAAAAAAATACCGCAAACCACTACCTAATGTTGTTGTTATTATACGAAAATTTTGTTAAATTAAAGGACAAAACATGCAAAAGAAAATTAATGTATTACGACCATTATTATTTACAAAAAAATAATACAGGTTTTTGTTCCTTTCTAAATTTGTGTTTTATTTATTCACCCCATTACATTACATTAATCATCTTGTGTTAGTTCTAGTAAATTAAAACTAACACTATACCTAGAACTAGAATCATTAAAAACCCATAATTTAAGATAAATGGGAATCACCCTAATTATTATTAATTAAAGATAGATTGAAAAAATTACAAGCAGATATTTCGTATTAATATTTCCCGCCAAATTACTCCTGGTATTTTAATTTACCTCCTCGGATTGATGTGCTCCTAATACAAAAATCCATCTTTTCGTTTTCGAAGAGGTAAAATTACGATTTGTATCAGGATCACATAATATCGAGGAGGTATTTCTCAAAGTATTAGGAGGTATAATTATTTTGGCGGGAAAAGAATTTTTACCTCCTCGATTTGAATTTCCCGCCAAATTACTCCTGATATTTTAATTTACCTCCTCGGTTTGATGGGCTCCTAATACAAAATCGAAAATTTCGTTTTCAAGGAGGTAAAATTACATTTTCTATCAGGATCGCATAATACCGAGGAGGTATTTCTCGAAGTATTAGGAGGTATAATTATTTGGGCGGGAAAAGAACTTTTACCTCCTCGATTTGAATTTCCCGCCAAATTACTCCTGATATTTTAATTTACCTCCTCAGTTTGATGTGCTCCTAATACAAAATCGAAAATTTCATTTTCAAGGAGGTAAAATTACATTGTGTATCAGGATCGCATAATACCGAGGAGGTATTTCTTGAACTATTAGGAGGTATAATTATTTGGGCGGGAAAAAACGTTTACCTCCTCGGTTTGATGTGCTCCTAATACAAAAATCCAACTTTTCGTTATCGAAGAGGTAATTACGATTTGTATCAAGATCGCATAATGTCGAGGAGGTATATTTGAAAGTATTAGGAGGTATAATTATTTGGCGGGAAATGATAGTTTGTTTACCTCCTCACTTTGATATAATACTCTTAATACAAAATCCAACTTTCCGTTTTCGAGGAGGTAAAATTACGATTTGTATCAGGATCACATAATACCGAGGAGGTATTTCTCAAAGTATTAGGAGGTATAATTTTAGGCGATTTATCCAGCGACATCTGTGATTCAGTAGCTCAACTAACCATAAAGAGAGAAAAGAAATCTATATAAAGATGGAGTTGTTCGATAATAGATGTCGCTTCTTTCTCTGTTAATTTATTTAATTTGATTTTGCTTAATTAAAACAACAATTAAGAATAGATTTTTTATATTTATTTAATATTTAACAATAAATTTTATTTTATTATTATAAATTTAATTTTTGCCAAAAATATTAATTTTATATTTACCACTTAAGAAATAGGCAACCAAACATACACAATCGTATATTGTGTTGCTGATTGCAAAATTAAATTGATTAAATTTAACAATTTACAACATATATGTCGTACATCATATATAAATCACAGCATGAAATCCTCTTGTTTGAAATGGTCTGCATACAATATACATCGTTTTAAGCACTTGGGGGTCAATTGGACTAACTGCCAATTTCCTGTAAAAGTATTATTGTGACAAAATTAATATAATATTTTATATTTATTATTAATATTTTATTTAAATTGAATCCAATTCTTACTTCTTTTACAAGATTTAAACAAATAACGTAACTTTCTTAAAGATAACACGACATCGTCAAATTGACACATTATTTTGACAAATCGTTCTGAAGTTGGTGACGATAAAATTGATCGGTAAGGTAGAAATCAATTTGACGTTCCTACTTTAATCAAAAAATAATTTTTTTTTACTTTTATATTTATTTAAAACAAAAATTTTGTGACTAAAAGCGTTGCTCTACCTTGTTTATTAACTAAAAGAAACATTTTAAATTTGAAATCATTCGTAGGCTTCATTTTTGACAGCTTTTTAAATTTCTAGGTTAAGTTGTAACTTTTTATGTTTTAAAGTTTTTTATAAACAAAATTACAATTAATCGAGTGACTTTAGTTCTTGTTGTAAATGGGTAAGTATTCTTAAGCGATCACAACAAGTTTTATCTCAAAAAAAGCGGAAAGATTTTTTAGAACTTAAACTTCACCAGAAAATAAGTAAAAGATTCTAAAACCTAGATATTTGATACAAAAAAGATTTTTAACTCACCATCGAATAAAATTTCATCCACTTCTTACTTCTTTTATAAGATTTTAAGCAAAAAACGTCTTGAAGAAAACACGACATCGTCAAATTGACAGATTATTTTGACAAATCGTTCTGAAGTTGGTTACCTTAAAAGTGGTCGGTAAGGTAGAAATCAATTAGACGTTTCTACTTTAATCAAAAAATATTTTTTTTTACTTTTATATTTATTTCAAACAAAAATTTTACTTTACTTTAACTTACCATCGAATAAAATTTACTCCACTTCTTACTTTTTTTATAAAATTTAAGCAAAAACAACTTTTATAGTGGAAACACATCGTCAAATTGATTCGCCGGCCAAAAGATGGCGTTAGTATTATTATTATTATTATTATTCGTCAATATTACTAAAGTTTGCAATGTGGGGATTTGAGTTAACAATTAATAAGTTAAATAAAATAAATTACTATTACAAATTAATATTTGTATTAGAATTATTATTGCCTGTCGACCTGGAATATTTGTGCTGGGATAATGTCCAACAAAAGATGGCGCTGGTGCAAAAATTTCATTTTAAAATTAAATATATAAATTGAATAATCTTTTTACGTTATTAAATTGAAATCAATTTAAACCATAATTAAAAACGTGAAATAAATCATGACAACGACATCAATGTTAGTTACAATCTTTGATTATATATAATCAAAGGTTACAATTAAAAAAATGAAGTTGGTACGATTGAATGAATGTATCACATTGACGTTTCAATTTTCGTAATTTTCTAGTTTAATGAAGCACAAATAAACTCAAATAACTCCTTTTTATCGCCTCCATAACGCAATCGAACGTATTAACGTTAAATAAATAAATAAGAATTAATAAACAAATAAAGCGACATCTATCATTAAGTAGCGAAAGTTGATCTAACCTCAAATAAATTCATAACCTAAAAATGTCAACCTCGAAAACGCGCATAAGATGGTCCGAATTAGATATTAATTTATCAAAGAACCTGCAAGAAGCAATAAAAACGTTCAATTTCGAAACAACAACACCAGTACAAGCCGCAGTAATCCCTTTATTATTAAAAAATAAAGATGTGGCCGCTGAAGCAGTGACAGGTTCAGGAAAAACGTTATCGTTCTTAATCCCTCTTTTAGAAATCTTATTAAAGAAGTCCCAAACGCAAGTATTTAAACCAAAAGAAGTCTTTGCGATCGTAATATCGCCTACGCGGGAATTAGCGACGCAAACGTACCAAGTTTTGGAACAACTCTTAAAACGAATTGAAGGAATCACACAAATTCTATTAGTGGGGGGAAACAACGTCGAAGAAGACATCAATCGATTCAAAATAAACGGAGGAAACATCATCGTTTGTACTCCTGGGCGTTTAGAAGACTTATTAACGACGAAAAAACAAATTAATTTATCCTTATCAGTGAAAAACCTCGAAATTTTAATTCTAGACGAAGCCGATCGCCTCTTAGATCTCGGATTTAAACAAACAATAAATACGATTTTAAGTTACCTTCCGAAACAACGCCGAACCGGATTATTTTCAGCCACGCAAACCAAAGAAGTCGAAAATTTGATTCGCGCCGGCCTTCGTAACCCCGTTTTAGTCAACGTAACCGAAAAAGCGTCGCAAAGTACCCCGATTTCATTAAATAATTATTTTACAATCGCCCCAAATAACGGAAAATTAACCTCATTGATAAGTTTTTTAGAAAAGTATCATAAAAAACCTTCGAAAACGATTATTTTTTTACCAACATGTGCTTGTGTTGATTATTTTTCATCGATTTTTAAGGAATTATTAAGTTTTGAGGTGGAAATTTTTGCATTGCATGGAAAATTAAAAGAGAAGCGATCTAAAGTTTTGGAAAATTTTAAAAATGAAGTTAATGGGGTACTTTTATGCACGGATGTTATGTCGAGGGGAATCGATATCCCCTTGGTGGATTGGGTGGTGCAATTTGACCCCCCATCAAGCGCCAGCGCGTTTGTACACCGCGTTGGAAGAACTGCGAGGCAAGGAAATTCGGGAAATTCAATCATTTTTCTCTTAGAAAGTGAAGAGGCTTATGTGGCGTTTATTGAAAAGAATCAAAGAGTGATTTTGAAAGAAATTGAGAGATGTAATTGCGAAGATAAGGTAATTATATATTAAAAAATAAGTTTAAAAAGAAAATAAATTTTGACAATGTAGGAAAATGGATATGTCACTTTTTCAAATGACATTTTTTTGACGTTTCATTAAAAAAATTAATAAAATTAAAACTTACTCAGGTTTAGAAATAAAACTAAAAAGAAATTTGCTAGTTTTAGTCACTAGTACACGTTTTGTTATAAAAAAAATGTCTCTTGGTTTTAAATTAATAATCTTAAAATATTTGACATGATGAGAAAATAGTTACAAATGTATATTTTAAGGCTTTTTTCGACAGGTGGCGCTTTCTCTTAAAATGACATTTTTTGACGTTTCATTAAAAGAAATTGATTTAACTCATTTTGCTTTAGAAATAACCCTAAAATTTCTAGTTTTAGTTTTATTTCTTATTCCATCGGCAGAAACGGTAGCAAGATCGATTCTTATGAATCGCTTATATGAAAGAAAATCTTCGAGGACGCACTGAGTGAGTAATAAAAATTTTTTTAATGAAACGTCAAAAAATGTCACTTGGAAAAGTGAACCTAAGATAGATAAACAAAAATAACACATTTTCTAACAATTTTAAACTAACACGGCCGTTTTCGAAGACATCGGCCGCCCTCGAAAGCACGAAATGTTCATTCTTACAAATGCGAGTAGAGATCAAACCTTGATTTCAATGTTTTGGCGTCCGCGAAGGCGCCGGGGGCGGCCGATGTCTTCGAAAACGGCCGTGTTAGTTTAAAACTATGCTAGAAAATGACGATTTCTTATCTCACTTTTCCAACACAACCTAACCTCACTTTTTTAAATGACTTTTTTTGACGTTTCATTAAAAAATGTACTTAACTCATAGAAGCTCGTTTTACTCACTTGTATACGTTTTACATTATAAAGAAAATCAAATAGTAATTCATCTTTATCGTGGTTTTTTTTGACGTTTAAAAAAAAAATTAACTCACTCAGTTTTAGAACTAAAACTAAAGAGAAATTTGCGTCATAGAAGCTTATTTTAGTCGCTAGTACACGTTTTAAATACGTTAGAAAAAAAATTAAATATTGATTCTTGTTTCTCATGGTTCTAAATTAGGTTAAAATATTTGACATGATGAGAAGATAGTTGCAAACGTATATTTTAAAACTTTTTTCGGTAGGTGGCGCTACTTCCTAAACGTCTTAAAGTGACATTTTTGACGTTTTGTTAAAAAATTTATTTAACTCATTTTACGTTAGAAATAAAACTAAAATTAGTTTTATTTCTTATTCCATCGGCAGTAACGATTGTGAAAAATGTCACTTGAAAAACTGAGGTTAGGTTGGGTTGAAGGGATATTTCGTATCTTGTGGGCGAATTTATTTTTTGTAGCTGTTTCAAGCGAAATCGCTTCTTATGAATCGCTAATATGAAAGAAAATCTTCGAGGACGCACTGCGTGAGTAAAATAAATTTTTTTTAATGAAACGTCAAAAAATGTCATTTGGAAAAGTGAGGTTGGGACGAACCTAAGATAGATAAACAAAAATAACACATTTCCCAACACATTTTTAAACAGACACGGCCGTTTTCGAAGACATCGGCCGCCCCCGAAAGCACGAAATGTTCATTCTTACAAATGCGAGTAGAGATCAAACCTTGATTTCAATGTTTTAGCGGCCGCGAAGGCGCCGGGGGCGGCCGATGTCTTCGGAAACGGCCGTGTTAGTTTAAAACTGCTAGAAAATGACGATGAGTATCTCACTTTTCTCACTAATCTCACTTTTCCAACACAACCTAACCTAACTTTTTCAAATGACATTTTTTTGACGTTTCATTAAAAAAAATTTAACTCGCTCAGTTTTAGAAATAAAACTAAAAAGAAATTTGCTTCATAGAAGTTCGTTTTAGTCACTATAGTCTGTTTCTAAACCAGGAGTGAATCCGAAAGTTAGATTTACACTAGGAAAATATCACTAGATATTTTAGCGGTAAATTTAAATTAGTAATTATTATTATTTATTTTATTACTTATTAGTGTATTTATTTTCGTTTGTTATCGTCAACACTAAACATACAAATTAACATTGAAGTTATGAATGTATTTATTTTAGAATATCATTTTTATTACTGTCGAATGATCAATAACCTAAACGTCAAATTCAAAAGCAAAATTGCCTGTGTGTGAATCTTCCTCGCATTCAACCAATCTCGTGCAAGGTCAATCTGGTGAGAAATTTAAAATGCTCCTCCTGGTTTAAAAACTGACTATAGTATATGTTATAAGTATGTTAGAAAAAAAAATAAATATTGATTCGCGTTTCTCGTGGTTTTAAATTACGTTAAAATATTTGACATGATGAGAAGATAGTCACGAACGTACATTTCTAGAGTTTTTCCGATAGATGGCGCTATCTCCTATTATGTATGCGTTCTTTTAAGTGACATTTTTGACGTTTCATTAAAAAAATGTATTTAATTCATTTAGCGTTAGAAATAAAACTAAAACTAGAAATTTTGAGGTTATGCCGTGTGTCAAAGCCGAACTTTAATTAACTTGTTTTAATTGTTAAATTGTTTATAATTAAAATTAAATAAAAAAAAAATGTTTCGTTGATTTTTTATTAGATGGCACCACTAAGTTAATCTAAATGTCAATTTAGATTTTAATTTTTTATGCAAAAATTTTTTGAAATTTTTGAAAATTTTTTATTTTTATTTCTTATTCCATCAGTAGAAAAGCTTACGAAAATAATTTTTTGTTTAAACGTTTTCAACCTGCCGTTACCATGGTGATTTATAACCAACCTAACCTCATCGACATTTTTTGACATTTCGTCGAATTACAAACAAATTTAAATATCACCTAAATTAAATTATAAATTAATAATATAAAATTTGTTTTAGATAATTAAAGTTAGGGATAAATTGAGAGAGCTTCAAATAAAGGATAGAGGTGTAATGGAGAAAGCAACGAGGGCTTTCGTCTCCCATATTCGAGCTTATTCAAAACACGAATGTTCGTTGTTACTACGAGTTAAAGTAAGTTAATTAAAGCTGATTAATGTATAAAATAGAAGTAATTAATAAAAAAAAAAATAGGATTTAGATCTTGCAGCGATGGCGACTTCTTACGGTTTATTACAACTCCCGAAAATGCCAGAATTGAAAAATCGAGACACCTCCTATTTTAATCCCGTCGATGATATCGATTTAAATTTGATTCCGTATAAAGATAAACAAAAAGAAAGTGTTCGGTTAAAGAAATTGGAGCAGTTTAAATCCACAGGTGAGTTTTTATTTAATTGACATAACCTCACTTTTAAAAAATTTTATTTTTAATTAAGTAAATCTAATTAAACTTACCATTTGATGCCCCATCGCGTTAATGAAGTGATTTTCTCGATTTTTTTTTGTTTAAAACTTGATCTAATTCACTTTAAAACGCACTTTTATCTTTAAAATTGGAAATTTTTTTTTAGAAGAGAAATGACACAATGAAGTGAAGTTGGTTAATTTGACCAACTTTAAAAAAAAAAATAAATAAAAATGTTAGTGAATTAAAAAAATAAGATATTAATTAATTAATAAATAATGATGAGGTGTTTAAGTTTAAAATAAATTTGGTTTCATTTTTAAACTTTTTCACCTAAATGAAATGTATACTCTATTTTTTAATTCTCTCATAATTCACTCTAATTTGAACAAAAAGTTATATGAAATTTAATTAATTAATTTTTGTTGAAAAATCACTTCTTGAAGTTTTTCGCATCAGTTTAGAAACACCCCGTATAAAAATCACTTCAATTTGAGTTTTTAAACTCAAAAAGTATTAATCTTGAAAATATGAGAAACGTCAAAAATGACATTTCAAAGTAAAAAATGACAGCGCCAAAAAGGCGAGTTGCTATTGGTCAGTTTTAAACAAAAATTACACTAGAAAAATCCGAATGATTCTAAAATAGAACTAACATTAGAACTAGAACTAAAAACATTTAAGGTTAATGTTTTTTATTCAAACTTTTTTGTTTTTTGAGATAAATGCGTCATGTTGGAATCATTTTAAAGATTTTTAATAACGAATACATCATGAAAGAACACCATGAAGTTGGCCTTTTATATAATAATTAACTTCAGGTTTAAATTGTCAACCTCAATTTTGACATATTCGTAATCTTCATTAAAAATCCTTTAAAATGAGTACAAACACGACATATTTATCTTCAATATTAATGAAGTTATGGTCAACTTCCGGTTAAGAATGTCAACGTCAATTTTGACATATTTGTAATCGTCGTGAAAAATCCTTTAAAATGAGTCCAAACATGATACGTTTAATTCCAATATTACTCGAGATATAAGCAACTTCCGGTTTGAAATGTCAATGTCATTTTGACATATTCTTAATTTTTATAAAATGTCTTAATATTTGTCACAAAAACAAAAATATAATAAAAAAAATCAAAAATTGAGGTTGGTATTAATATTTAAAAATTAAATTGCTATCTTCATTGTTGCCAACTTCGGGTTTAATGTTTTTTATTCTAACTTTTTTGTTTCTTATGATAAATACGTCATGTTTGGTCTCATTTTAAAGGTTTTTTAATGTGGATGGCGAATATGTCAAAATTGACGTTGACGTTTCAAACCGGAAGTGATTGTATTTCCATTACTATTAAAGTTAAATATATCGAGTTTGAACTCATTTTAAAGGATTTTTTTATGGAGTTGACAAATATGTCAAAATTAAAAGTTCGAATTTTTTGTTTTTTGAGATAAATGTGTCAAGTCTATTATATAACTAACTTTAATTTTGACAAATTTGTAATCTTCATTAAAAATCCTTTAAAATGAGTACAAACACGACATATTTATCTTCAATATTAATGAAGTTATGGCCAACTTCCGGTTAAAAACGTCAACGTCAATCTTGACATATTTGTAATCGCCGTGAAAAATCCTTTAAAATGAGTCCAAACACGATATGTTTAATTTTAATATTACTGGAGATATAAGCAACTTCCGGTTTGAAATGTCAATGTCATTTTGACATATTCTTAATTTTTATAAAATGTTAATATTTGTCACAAAAACAAAAATATAATAAAAAAAAAATAATAAAATTAAGGTTGGTATTAATATTTAAAAATTAAGTTGGTATCATTGTTGCTAAATTCGGGTTTAATGTTTTTTATTCTAACTTTTTTGTTTTTTGAGATAAGTGCGTCATGTTTGGACTCATTTTAAAGGTTTTTTAATAAAGATGACAAATATGTCAAAATTGACGTTTCAAACCGGAAGTGATTGTATCTCCATTAATATTAAAGTTAAATACGTCGAGTTTGGACTCATTTTAAAGGATTTTTTATGAAGATTACGAATATAATAATAAAATTAAAGTTGGCATTGACAACCGAAAGTTTTTAATTTAATTAATTTAATAATAAATAATTTTAGGTGTTTGGCCTGATGCTAAAAAGAAACCGAAACGTTCTTTGAATCCAACAGAAGCTTGGTCGAAAACCAAGCAAAAAAAGGAAGATCGAAAATTGAAAAGGAACAAAAGGAAATTGGGAAAAGAAGCTAAATTAGCTAGAAATGAACCGCTTAAAAAGAAACGCAAAAAAAGTAATTTAATAAAATTATTTCGACGTTTAAGGTTATGTTGTTTATTTTTTAGAAATGTCTGAAGATGATTTATTAGAATTAATGGAAGATGTCGCAGTTTTAAAGAAATTAAAAAAGAAAAAAATCACTGAGGAGGATTACGAAAAACAATTAGGTATTTAACAATATCTAATAAACGAAGCTATGAAAAAATTATTTTTTTTATTGTATCTTCCCAATCTATATATTAATAAATATGTACAAAAAAGGGAAATTTCCCTTTTCTCAAAATTAAACGTTTTCACTTCTCATTTTCCTTTTGTTCGATTAAAAAAAAATTAATCGTAGCTTACCTTTTAGGTTCTTCTCACCATTTCAGAAAATAATTTTATTCTTATTGTTGTTTCTAAATCTCCTCATCTTCTTTAACTCTCAAAAAAAACGATAAACATCTCGATGATCACGAAAATTACGCCTTACACTAATTTAAAAAGGAACGAATCGTAACAAAATACCAAAACAATCAGCGTATTTTTTTTTTTCCTTTTCTTCTCACAAATTCTTTTTAACGATGTTTCCATTTAAAAACTTTTTTTCTTTCATTCACAGTCTCTTTCCTCCTTAATTTATTTAATTAAATGGTATTTACGACTGTTATTATTTACACAAACGCGACAAAAATCATTGAAAAAGTAGTTATCTCTTTCATTCTTTCTTTCTTCAAACAAAAAAAGTCCCACTTATTTATTAATATTATTATCAATTTTTAATCCGTATACACGATGTACGGATGCTCAATGTCGTTCACTTCCACTTTAACGTATTGCGGTTGAATCATTTGCACGTTATTAGTCGCTCTCGCCATCGAATTTCTTGATCTAAAATAAATCAAATAGAAAATTATTAATTCATGTGACGTAACCTCACTTTTTAAAAACATTAATTTTTCGCTATTAAACTTATTTAGTTATTTATTTAATTTTTTGATTCTCACTTAAATTATTATTTAAATATATTTTTTAAACAAATTTATTCATTAGAATTAAATTTTGACAGAATTGACATGTTTCGTTTTGGTTATTTTATTTTTTTGGGGTTGGTATAAAAAAAATTAACCTCACTTTTTAAAAATATTGTTTTTTTAACTTTAACTCGATTTTAAAAATCTTCGAAGAAGAAGTCAAGCGAAAGTGAAACATTAATGAACAATTATAAACACTGTTAAAACAAAATCAGAAATTACCCACATTTCAAATACATACAAGACGTTTTATATTAGGTTAAATTATTTTAATTTTGACATATTTGTAACCTTAATTAAAAATCCTTTGAAATGAGTCCAAACTCGACATATTCAACTTTAATATTAATGGAAATGCAATCACTTCCGGTTTGAAACGTCAACGTCAATTTTGACATATTCACCATGTTCATTAAAAAACCTTTAAAATGAGTCCAAACATGATGCATTTATCTCAAAAAACAAAAAAGTTTGAATAAAAAACATTAAACCCGAAGTTGGCAACAATGAAGTTAGCAATTTAATTTTTAAATATTAATACCAACCTTAATTTTTAATTTTTTTTTTATTATACCCTCATTTTTATGACAAATTTTAACACATTTTATAAAAATTACGAATATGTCAAAATGACATTGACATTTCTAACCGGAAGTTGCTTGTATCTCGAGTAATATTGAAGATAAATATGTCGTGTTTGTACTCATTTTAAAGGATTTTTCACGACGATTACAAATATGTCAAAATTGAGGTTGACATTTTAAACGTGAAGTTAGTTATCATATAACAGACTTGAAGCATTTATCTCAAAAAATTCGAACTTTCAACTTTTAATTTTGACATATTTGTCAACTCCATAAAAAATCCTTTAAAATGAGTTCAAACTCGACATATTTAACTTTAATATTAATGGAAATGCAGTCACTTTCGGTTGGAAACGTCAACGTTAATTTTGACATATTCGTCATCTTCATTAAAAAGCCCTTAAAATGAGGCCAAACATGATGCATTTATCTTAAAAAACAAAAAAGTTTAAATAAAAAACATTAAACCCGAAGTTGGTAACAATGAAGTTAGCAATTTAATTTTTAAATATTAATACCAACCTCAATTTTTGTTTTTTTTTTTTATTATATTTTCATTTTTACGACAAATTTTAACACATTTTATAAAAATTAAGAATATGTCAAAATGACATTGACATTTCTAACCGGAAGTTGCTTGTATCTCGAGTAATATTGAAGATAAATATGTCGTGTTTGTACTCATTTTAAAGGATTTTTCACGACGATTACAAATATGTCAAAATTGAGGTTGACATTTTAAACGTGAAGTTAGTTATCATATAATAGACTTGACGCATTTATCTCAAAAAATTCAAACTTTCAACTTTTAATTTTGACATATTTGTCAACTCCATAAAAAATCCTTTAAAATGAGTCCAAACACGACACATTTAACTTTAATATTAATGGAAATGCAGTCACTTCCGGTTGGAAACGTCAACGTTAATTTTGACATATTCGTCATCTTCATTAAAAACCCTTTAAAATGAGTCCAAACATGATGCATTTATCTCAAAAAACAAAAAAGTTTGAATAAAAAACATTAAACCAGAAGTTGGCAAAATTGAAGTTAGCAATTTAATTTTTAAATATTAATACCAACCTTAATTTTGGATTTTTTTTTAATTATATTTTCATTTTTATGACAAATTTTAACATATTTTATAAAAATTAAGAATATGTCAAAATGACATTGACATTTCTAACCGGAAGTTGCTTGTATCTCGAGTAATATTGAAGATAAATATATCGTGTTTGTACTCATTTTAAAGGATTTTTCCCGACGATTACAAATATGTCAAAATTGAGGTTGACATTTTAAAAGTGAAGTTAGTTATCATATAACAGACTTGAAGCATTTATCTCAAAAAAATCGAACTTTCAACTGTTAATTTTGACATATTTGTCAACTCCATAAAAAATCCTTTAAAATGAGTCCAAACACGACATATTTAACTTTAATATTAATGGAAATGCAATCACTTCCGGTTTGAAACGTTAATTTTGACATATTCATCATCTTCATTAAAAAACCTTTAAAATGAATCCAAACATGATCTCAAAAAACTAAAAAGTTTGAATAAGAAACATTAAACCGGAAGTTGGCAACAATGAAGTTAGCAATTTAATTTTTAAATATTAATACCAACCTTAATTTTTGATTTTTTTTTATTATATTTTCAGTTTTATGACAAATTTTAACACATTTTATAAAAATTAAGAATATGTCAAAATGACATTGACATTTCTAACCGGAAGTTGCTTGTATCTCGAGCAATATTGGAATTAAACGTATCATGTTTGAGCTCATTTTAAAGGATTTTTCACGACGATTACGAATATGTCAAAATTGACGTTGACATTCTTAACCGGAAGTTGACCATAACCTCATTAATATTGAAGATAAATATGTCGTGTTTGTACTCATTTTAAAGGATTTTTCACGATGATTACAAATATGTTAGAATTGAGGTTGACATTTTAAACGTGAAGTTAGTTATCATATAACAGACTTGAAGCATTTATCTCAAAAAATTCGAACTTTCAACTTTTAATTTTGCCATATTTGTCAATTCCATAAAAAATCCTTTAAAATGAGTCCAAACTCGACACATTTAACTTTAATATTAATGGAAATGCAGTCACTTCCGGTTGGAAACGTCAACGTTAATTTTGACATATTCGTCATCTTCATTAAAAAACCTTTAAAATGAGTCCAAACATGATGCATTTATCTCAAAAAACAAAAAAGTTTGAATCAAAAACATTAAACCCGAAGTTGGCAACAATGAAGTTAGCAATTTAATTTTTAAATATTAATACCAACCTTAATTTTACTCTTTTTTTATTATATTTTTGTTTTTGTGACAAATATTAAGACATTTTATAAAAATTAAGAATGTCAAAATGACATTGACATTTCAAACCGGAAGTTGCTTATATCTCGAGTAATATTGGAATTAAACCTATCATGTTTGTACTCATTTTAAAGGATTTTTCACGGCGATTATAAATATGTCAAAATTGACGTTGACATTCTTAACCGGAAGTTGACCATAACTTCATTAATATTGAAGATAAATATGTCGTGTTTGTACTCATTTTAAAGGATTTTTAATGAAGAACACAAATATGTCAAAATTGAGGTTGACATTTTAAACCTGAAGTATAATAAACGTTTTATAACTGAAGTTAATCTAGTTTTTTTGGGCCATTTCACATTGATTAAAAAAAATCGTCGATTTTTAAGCCACATGATGATTCTTGAATTTCTCCCAAGTTTCTTAATTAATTTTATTTAGCTAAGAAAAAAATTGATTTATACCGAATTTAAAATTTACAGAATCGCAACCTCAAGAAACAAAATATTACTGGTTTTTGTGTTGTCATTTTCTACCAATATCTTATCTTTATGTTCAAAACATTTTTTGTCGTAAATATATCGGTAGTTCTCAACAATTTTAATTAATTTTCCATCGAATTCACTCATTTTGTTGGCACAGAAATAAACAAGAGTTGAGGTTAGGTTAGAAGGCGCTATTTATACCGGTCGATTATTGGATACAGCTCATACAGCTGATTGAGATCGTCTTGCGCATGTGTGACGCTGTAAATTTAGAAAAGTTGACCAATTTTATGTTTACAGCCAACTCTTACAGCTAAATTTTTAAATTTAAATCATACTTAACACTTCGTTCTTAATTTTATTTTACAACTTTTTAAACTTTAATTCTGTAAATTAGTAACTAATAATCAAAAGAAAAAGAAATATTAAGAAACTTGCTTGTAAAATGGATAAGATGAGAGATTTTAATCGATTTGTAGAGTCTCTGAAGATAGGCAAGGGCCAAAATTGGTTAAATTTAAATTCTATATAAAATAAAAACCAATTTAAAAGTACAAAATCAAACTCTAGATTATTAAACACCCTGTATAATCTTGTGATAGCTGTCATCAGTGTTCTGTGATAAAGATAGATAAACAATTTTCAATAGTTTGAGCCTCTATTCTGAAAAGTCTTATATTTTTAGAGAGATGAAAACGAAAATCTAGAAATTTGTCGCTTAATCAAATGATGCATAACGCGGTCCAATTTAAACAAATTTTAACTTACTTTGCTTTGGCGTGTGTTAAAATATGACTTTTTAAATTAGTTGACTGCGCGAATTTCTTGTTGCATCCATCGAACGGACAAACATATGGTCGATCACCCGTGTGGATCCTCACGTGCGTTCTATAATTAATCGTTTAATTAGTTTAAAGGGTTTAATTTTAATTAATTTATTTACCTTAAATTAAAATCTAAGCTAAACCTCTTTCCACACCCCTCAAACGTGCATTGAAACGGCTTTTCACCCGTATGAACTAATTGGTGCCGTTTTAATTTACTCGATTCGACGAAAGCTTTTCCACATTCGGCGCAAACGTGAACTCGGGGGCCGTGTGTGTGTAGATGTTTTCGCATCGCGGAGTTATCTCGGAACATTTTATTACAACCTTTATGCGGACAGGCTAAAAAATAAGAATTAATTCGTATCGATTTGATTAAATAAAGCAAGTTTTACCTATCGTACGATCTGAGTTGTCTTGATTCGGCCTTCGCAGCCTCGGTGTGCTTTTCAAACCGGGTCTAGCGAATTCCGCAAGTTGTTTCGGATCCGATAAATCGATATCGGGCATTCCATCGGAAGTGATTTTTTTCCCTGACATGTATTCGGTGTAATCCGGGTCCGGTTCTGGATTTGAACCTTCGTCTATTAAATAAAAAGAAAAAAATTAAGAATTAGGTTAAGTCAAAAATTTGATTCGATTATTTAAGGTTATGTGGAGGAGTCAAAAATAAGTTGATTAAAATCAATTTTTTGGCGACTTACGCTTGCATTCCACGAGAACCATCGGAATAACTATTGAGTTACTCATTTTTTAAGCGGGGTAATGAATTATTATTATACATTAAGTTTTTTTTGCGAAAAATTCAAATTACAGCAAATTTAATTACCAACGTCATATGTTTACTTAAGTCAGCGCCATCTATGTTTTTAAACTTAAATTAAACAATTTTTAATTAATAAATCTAATAATAAAAATGTTATAAATTAATTTTAATAAAAATAATAATTAATTCATTAAATTTTTTTTAAAATTGTTTAAAAAAAAATTAATAAACAATTTTTTTTAATCGCGTCGATAAATGTCGTTTTATTCGAAGCCGATAAAACGTCGCCCTAATGTACCGATAACGCCTCATTATTGACATATATTACTATTGAAACGTCAATTTTAAGTTCGAAGAAATCGCTCGAAAATAACCCAATTTGCACAAAAATGTTTATATTTGATACATATTTGAAGAAATCGGTAACGTTTTTAAGTGTATTGGTGATCCGAAGACCATCCATCGTGTTACAAATAATGAGTTTCTAAGCCAGATTTAAATTTAGACTTCAACGGATTATTTTTGATTTAAGAAATTAACACAATGATGATGTTTCGCAACGTAGATTAAGTAATAATCATCGAAATGATGCTAAAAGAAAATAAATAATAATAAAATGACATTTTTAGGTTAATTTCATCTGTCACAACAAAAATTGTGAGGTTATGTTTTAATTAAAACGTCAATTTTAAACGTTTTTAAGTTAAAATGATTCTAATTTAAAAAAATTAGTCGAAAATAACCCAATTTGCACAAAAATGTTGCTTAAATGAAAAACTTGAACTACAAGAAAAGATGGAGAGTTTAAATTCAAATTAATGGGATTTTAATGGGAAGCTTTGGGTGTCATTGGACTGAAATGTTATGATAAAAAAGGAAAATGTACAAAACTGAAGTTTGTGATCGTAAAAGAAGGAAATACTCCAATACTTGGGTGCTTGTATTCAGTTGGACTTAATTAAAAAATTAAATGTACTAGAAGAAGAAGAATTAGATGGAGATAAATTCATAATAAAAAAGAAAGATATATTTACTGGTTTAGTTAAATTGCCGTTTAAGTATAAAATAAGAAACCAGCAAGAAGAATTCCAGATGTGATAAAGAAAAAATTAAAGATTACATTTGAGAAACTTGAGAAGAAAGGAATACTTACAAAAGTTTCTGAACCAACAGAATGGGTAAATAATTTGGTTATTGTGGAAAAGATTTCACCAATTTATGGAAGAAAAATAGAAATGAATACTGATCATAAACCTTTTTATCATAAAATTGATAAAATACGATATTACAGTAAAATATGTGCCTGGAGAGCATCAATAAAAGAAAATTTAATTGATGATGGTGAGCTGGAGGGTGTGATTCATGAAATAATGTTGCAAGAATTATTACCTATGTAAACTAATGAAATAAAAGAGGTAAAGGAGAGAATTAAAAATGATGACATACTTAATCAGGTCATTGAACACATAAAAACAAGTTGGGTTGATTATGACAAAGACAAAATAAACAATAAAGATTTAAAACAGTACTTTCAGTTAAGAAATGAATTATATACAAATGATAATATAGTATTTTATAATGATAATCTTGTAATACCAACCTCACATAGAGTTAAAATTCTTAAAGATTTACATAAAGGCCAGTTAGGTATAATAAAAACGAAATTAAGTTTATGGTTAAAAAATGTAGAGACTGTGAGAAAACATCAAAGATCTTGCATCGCAGAACCATTAATAAATCATGAACTACCTGAATTACCATTTAACAAAATAGATATGAATATAGCAGAATATGCAAAAGCATAACTGAAATTATAGGAAAGCTTGACTATCCTTGCGACACATGGTATACCAAAATATGTGGTATGTGACAAAAATCCTTTTAACAGTTATGGTTTCCAAGATTTTGTAAAAGCGTGGAATTTTGAAATTATTAACTCTAGTCCATACTATCCAAAATCCAATTGACTAGCTAAAAAAGCAGTTGGAATAGCAAAGAACATAATCAAAAAGTTAAAAAGATATATTATACAAATGGATTTATTGGAGTATAGATGTACAGGAGGGTGGTTCAAATTCAATGTCCGAATAAGCCAGTGTTGTCCATTAATTTTTGATCAAAATCGACTTTTTATATAAATGTCTTGCCAAGATCGACTGAAGGGTTTAAAGTAACCTTCCTTTTTTTTGCTCTGAAGCCCAGATATAGATATTTCAGATTCATGATTTTTTTGGCAATCGACGTTATTTATTGATTTAGAGCTTATAAATAAAAAATGGTAATAATTGGGTTCAATCTTTTTATGAATCTAGTCTTTATGGTCCATTACTAAGGTTTTATGTATAAAAAGTNTAAATCAGCTGCAAAAGAACTAAAAAAAAAGGCGCCAAATCATTTGCTTTGTTAACTACCAACAAGATGGCGAATCTGTACACCTCCAACATCAAAGAAGCCAACAGCGCTGTCGTTTCTGTATTATTCTGTGCCAGTGTTGTCCACAAATTTTTGATCAAAATCGACTTTTTATATAAATGTCTTGCCAAGATCGACCGAAGGGTTCAAAGTAACCTTCCTTTTTTTTGCTCTGAGGCCCAGACATAGATATTTCAGATTCATGATTTTTTTGGCAATCGACGTTATGGTCACCACTGATTTAGAGCTTATAAATAAAAAATGGTAATAAATGAGTTCAATCTTTCTATGGATCTAGTCTTTATGGCCCATTACTAAGGTTTTATGTATAAAAAGTTTTTCTCCATCGCTTTTAGTTTTTGAGTTATGATTGAGTTAATTTTCGAAAATCAACAATTTTGATGTTTAATTGATTTAGAGCTTATAAATAAAAAATGGTAATAAATGAGTTCAATCTTTCTATGGATCTAGTCTTTATGGCCCATTACTAAGGTTTTATGTATAAAAAATATTACCCCATCGCTTTTAGTTTATGAGTTATGATTGAGTTAATTTTCAAAAATCAACAATTTTGTTGTTTAATCGATTTAGAGCTTATAAATAAAAAATGGTAATAATTGGGTTAAATCTTTTTATGGATCTAGTCTTTATAGTCCATTAATAAGGTTTTATGTATAAAAAATATTTCCCCATCGCTTTTAGTTTTTGAGTTATGATTGAGTTAATTTTCAAAAATTTTGATGTTTAATCGATTTAGAGCTTATAAATAAAAAATGGTAATAATTGGGTTCAATCTTTTTATGGATCTAGTCTTTATGGCCCATTACTAAGGTTTTATGTATAAAAAGTTTTTCTCCATCGCTTTTAGTTTTTGAGTTATGATTGAGTTAATTTTCGAAAATCAACAATTTTGATGTTTAATCGATTTAGAGCTTATAAATAAAAAATAGTAATAATTGGGTTCAATCTTTTTATGGATAGAGTCTTTATGGTCCATTACTAAGGTTTTATGTATAAAAAATATTTCCCCATCGCTTTTAGTTTATGAGTTGTGATTGAGTTAATTTTTGAAAATCAACAATTTTGAAGTTTTATCGATTTAGAGCTTATAAATAAAAAATAGTAATAACTGGGTTCAATCTTGTTATGGATCTAGTCTTTATGGCCCATTACTAAGGTTATATGTATAAAAAGTATTTCCCCATCGCTTTTAGTTTTTGAGTTATGATTGAGTTAATTTTCGAAAATCAACAATTTTGATGTTTAATCGATTTAGGGGTTATAAATAAAAAATGGTAATAATTGGGTTCAATCTTTTTATGGATCTAGTCTTTATGGCCCATTACTAAGGTTTTATGTATAAAAAGTTTTTCTCCATCGTTTTTAGTTTTTGAGTTACGATTGAATTAATTTTGAAAAATCAACAATTTTGATGTTTAATGGGTTTAGAGCTTATAAATAAGAAATGGTAATAATTGGGTTCAATCTTTTTATGGATCTAGTCTTTATGGCCCATTACTAAGGTTTTATGTATAAAAAGTTTTTCTCCATCGTTTTTAGTTTTTGAGTTACGATTGAATTAATTTTGAAAAATCAACAATTTTGATGTTTAATGGGTTTAGAGCTTATAAATAAGAAATGGTAATAATTCGGTTCAATCTTGTTATGGATCTAGTCTTTATGGCCCATTACTAAGGTTTTATGTATAAAAAGTTTTTCTTCATCGCTTTTAGTTTTTGAGTTACGATTGAGTTAATTTTTGAAAATCAACAATTTATTTTTTAGTGTCGTCCAAGAAATTAAATTTACAGTTTCCTGTAAATTACGATACTATAACTAAAAATTTATATAAAATTTACTTTATTTCCTAATATGTAACATTCTAACATGTTAAACTTTTCGTAATCGATCTTAAAAAACATTAGAAACACAATAGATTTTTAATTTGACACTTCAGAAAATTTGAAAATTTGAAATATATTAGCGCCATCTAACAATAATTTATTAAGTCATGTAATAATAATATTAAATATTAATAAAAAACGTGAAATAATCTATTCCCACTGTTGTGTAAAACAAATCTAAATTACATAGTATTTGTTTCAAATATCACAAATATGTTTTTTTAATTTTTAGTTACAATTTACAGGAAACTGTAAATTTAATTTCTTTGACACTAAAAAAAAGTTTATTTTTAGCTTTATTGTAAACCAATAAGAAATAGACCTGCCACACCCTATCTTTTTGTAATCAGAAAAAAAGCTGAAAAGTTGCAAAAACAGAATCATCATAAAATAAAACCCAAATATGACAAATAGCAAGGAAAGGAAGCCATTCAAACAAGGAGATAAGATTATTGTTCAGGATAAAAAGACGAAGTTGTGGAAGCCAGGGCGGATTGTGGAGGACGGCGAAAATCTCTTGACTGAAAATAGAAACATCGTGGATAAAAATAGTATACACATCCGAGAGTCGTTGAATGAACCGATATTCGAGGAACCTTTGAATGTGACTGGTAACAAATCAGAGACTAATGATGTTGTGAATTCGAATAGTGGTTTGAGTGAGCCAGTTGAAAAGATAAATTCGCCTAATATAAATGAAAGAACGCTTAGATCTAGGCGTAATATTATAAAACCACTAAAATTAAGAGTAAATTAAGTAATAATCATCGAAATAATGCTAAAAATAAATAAATAATAATAAAATGACATTTTGAGGTTAATTTCATCTGTCACAACAAAAATTGTGAGGTTATGTTGTAATTAAAACGTTAATTTTAAACGTTTTTAAGTTAAAATGAATCTAATTCAAAAAAATCGCTCGAAAATAACCCAATTTGCACAAAAAGGTCTATATCTGATACAGATTGGAAGAAATTTGTAAAGTTTTAAAGTGTATTGGTGATCTGAACATCATTGGGTTATAAATAATGGGTATTTGAGCCAGATTAAAGCTTTTTTAAAAATTATCGTTCCCCACATATCATTTAGCAAGACTTTATGATCTAATCGAAAGCACCAAATAAAAATTCCACTTCAACTTCGTAGATCAACCTCGGAAATTCACTTAAACATAAACTAATTATTTTTGGGTTCCTTTTTTTGATTATTTTTATAGTAACAAATCAACATAAAGATGTTTCGCTATGTAGATTAAGTAATTATCATTAAAATAATGATAAAAAATAATAAAATGACATTTTGAGGTTAATTTCATCTGTCACAACAAAAATTGTGAGGTTATTAATTAATACAGCAATTTTAAACGAATTATTTTTCGGTTCCTTTTTTTGATTATTTTTTAATAAGAAATCAACACAAAGATGATAAAGAAAATGAAAAATAAATTGTTTAAAAATAAATTTAAAAAAAATTTAAAAATCGCGTCGATAGATGTCGTTTTAATCGAAGCCGATAAAACAGGATGACTAATGTACCGATAACGCCTCGTTATTGACCAATTCTGGTTTCATTCCTTTCATTCAAAGGAATACATAACCTAATCGATTAAGCAGAAACGATAAATGCGGATTTTAAATGATTTTAAAATGATGAAGATGCTATTTGTTAATTTCGGGTTGATTTCGAGCCGAAAACGATCTCCGCCATACTGTTTTCCACCATTTATATGTCGCCATTTAATTTTAAGATGGCAGAAATCGGTGAAACGAGTAAAACCGCACCCGTTTTTCAATCGGGAAAACGAAAAGTTAACCCGTTTAAAAGTGTTGTTAAACAGTGATCCGTAAAACGAAAAGTTCCCTTAAAAGAACGACTTAACCTACAAATAAAATCAAGAGAAAAAATCTCACCATCTGAAGTCCCCGAAGCCCACATTGTAACCGAGAATTCGCCTTCCATCGTTTTAATTTGAACCTGCTTTTGCTCCCATTTCCTCGGTCTCGTTTCGTGGATATCGCTCAACATAACCTCATTGTCCCTCCTTAAAATGTTCGAATTCGTTTTTTTGATTGAGTTTGTTTTTCGTCGTTTCGCGGGGGATGATGATGAGGGCCCCGGGGATGACTCCACGTAGATATCGGATCCGTCGGGGTCGGGTACAGGGACGTCGTATAAATTTAATGGATCACCCGTATCATCGATAACCTCTTCTTGGGCTTCTAATATGATGTCTCTACCTTCTAAACCGCATTGCATAGGTATCGAAATCGGATCGACGCACTCCACGATAGTTTCAACGGCGTCTTGGACATCAACCACTGGAATAGTTTCGATTTCGACGCACTCCTGGATACCGTGTTGTAGATCGACGTGTTCGCACATGATTCCTTGGTCGGCCATTGATGATTCGATTACGATTGACGCGACGTCGATCGTGTTAAAATCCGAGTTGGAAAATTTTAAATCGGTGGCCCCCCGGTTTCGGTTTGTTTATAAAATATGGTCGGCCAATATGGCGGACCGAAACGACCGATCAAAGATGGTGGACGTAGACTGGATTTTTTTTCGACAGACCAGATGGCGACTGCGCTGTAGGTGGCGACATCTCGTTTCGAGTAGACGAAACTCCTAAAAATTTTTAAATTTTAAATTAATTTTAAATTAAATTTTTTTTTTATTATTAATTAAAAAAACGTGGTTTGATGGAATTTAGGTCAACTCGTTACATAAAGATTATTTAATTCCGAATTATTATTAGGTTACTTTCTAAACCGAGCGGAGAAAAATAATCTTAATTTTTATTAATAACAAACAAAATTAAATTAAACAAATCGGACGTGTCAAGGCTAAAATTAACTAATCTTTAATTGTTTATAAGTCGTGTCACGTTTTTTGACTATTTCTTTTCGAAATGGGACGACTTTAACCTTGTTATCGATAAAAAGAAATGTTTTTATTGCATTTAAGTAAACTTTGTCGTTGTTGTTACTTTTTAACGAGTTTTCACGTTTCCGTTCGCTTTGAAACTGAAAGTTTCATCTCGTGTACCGTTGAACGCCACAAGGTCATTGACAGAGTAGAAAGTTACAAAGAGGAAGAGTTTATTTAATTATAATGATAAAGATTAAGTAATTTTCTTACTTTAAAAAAAGGATATCTCATTTTTTTTAATAACCTTGAGTTTGATTCATCAAAAAGATATCACCACAAGTATCCATTGTATTATTTTATGATTTTATCGGGAACGTTTGATTGTAATTATGTAATCAACGATTCTACTTTATGCGGTTGATGTCCCGCTTTCACAGAATTCGAAATACGATATTGAACCAATTTTCTAGGTTTCTAGAACTGAACAAATAAAACTAAAACATAAGTGTTGTCCCACGATGATGAACTTTCCCAAAAGGAAGTTTGCAAAGAAAACAACTTATCGTGTCCGTATGCACTTTACGAGCTTTCCATCTGCCCTGGATTAATAAAGCTTTCTAAATGATATAAATACGATGCCTTATAATTTGAAAACTTTAACCGCAAATTATTTATTATTATTATTACTGCCCCTAATCGTTCTAATCCGATTTCTAAATGACTCAAATAAGCATATTGGTGCTAAAAAATAAATAAAATGACATTTTAAGGTTAATTTTATCTGTCAAAATAAAAATTGTGAGGTTATGTTTTAATTCAAACGTCAATTTTGAACGTTTTTAAATTAAAATGATTCAAATTTGCACAAAAAGGTCTATATCTGATTCAGATAGGAAGAAATCCACAACGTTTTTACAAATAATGAGTTTCCAAGCCAGATTTATGTTTACTGAGACTTTAACGATTTATTTTTGGGTTCCTTTTTTTGATTTAAGGAATTAACACAATGATGATGATGTTTCGCTACGTTGATTAAATAATAATCATCGAAATAATGCTAAAAAATAAATAACTAATAATAAAATGACATTTTGAGGTTAATTTCATCTGTCACAACGTTGCCAACCTTACCGATTTTTCGGTAGATCTACCGATATACCACTTAATCTACCGATTTTCAAAATTTTAACAAAGTATTATGAAACACTTCGTACTTAAAATGAATACAATTGCGACAAAAATTGTACAGATTCATCAAATTTTCATATTTTCGTATCTATCTCGATGTTGATGCATCTAAGAGTAAAAATGCAAGAGAGCAATATTGTTAACAATAAAACTTGCAACAATTTTTGTTATAAAAGTTTTCTTATAGCATGCTTCGATTCCCAAGTGTTACCTTTAATAACTTGAAAAAGCAACAAATTCATCAAATTTTCATATTTTCATACTTTTCTCAATATTGACGCATTTAAGAGCAAAAGTGCAAGAGAACAATATTGTTAACAATAAAATTTGCAACAATTTTTGTTATAAAAGTTTTCTTATAGCATGCTTCGATTCCCGAGTGTTACCTTTGATACCTTGAAAGAGCAACAAATTCATAAAATTTTCATATTTTCGTATCTATCTCGATATTGACGTATCTAAGAGCAAAAATGCAATAGAGCAATATTGTTAACAATAAAATTCTGTATATGTATATAAATTCATTTATAAACTTTTACCAAACAACATTTTCTGACATTGTATTTAAACCTACCGATTTTTTACCATTGATTCTACCAACATTTGGTCGGCATAGGTTGGCAACGCTGGTCACAACAAAAATTGTGAGGTTATGTTTTAATTAAAACGTCAATTTTGAGCGTTTTTAAGTTAAAATGATTTTAATTCAAAAAAATCGCTCGAAAATAACCCAACTTGCACAAAAAGGTCTATATCCGATATAAATTGGAAGAGATTAAGTAATAATAATCGAAATAATGCTAAAAAATAAATAAATAATAATAAAATGACATTTTGAGGTTAATTTTAACTGTCACAACAAAAATTGTGAGGTTATGTTTTAATTAAAACGTCTTTACGTCTTACGTATTTTAAACGTTTTTAAGTTAAAATGGTTAAAAAAATAGCCAAATTTGCACAAAAACGTTTTTAAGTGTATTGGTGATCGGAACATCATTGGGTTATAAATAATGACTTTCTGAGCCAGATCTAAGTTTATGATTAAAGCTTTTTAAAAATTATCGTTCCCCACATACCATTTAGCAAGATTTTATGATCTAATCGAAAGCACTTCCTACACCAACCTCGGAAATTCACTTAAACATAAATTATTTTTCGGTTCTTTTTTTTTTTTGATTATTTTTTAGTAAGAAAGATATTTCGTTACATAGATTAATCATTAAAATAACACTAAAAAATTAATTTAAAAAAATAATAACTGACATTTTGAGGTTAATTTCATCTGTCAAAAAAAAAATATGTAAGGTTATGTTCCAATTAAAACGTCAATTTGAAACGTTTTTAAGTAATTTTTCGTCGATTGAAACCGTTTAAAAATTAGAATAGTTTTGACGATACAAAAAAATGACTCACTTTAGCGCGCGTAATCATCGAAATCGTTTTATTCCGATCCCCACCATTGTAAGAACCGTTTTAATATCCTCCGCCTTTACCATTGCCGTCATCGCACGCAGTGCTATAACAACTTTCGCTTTCCGTCGATAGTAGAATTGGCTGCGCTGCGGCGACGAGAAAAACAGTAACGATCACGACGTTAAACCGTCGAGAATTCCTCATCAACATGTTTTTGTACACTAAAAAATAATAACAATACAAGTTAAAAACCGGAAACACCGCGAAATAATTAATTTTTTTTTCATTTCTTTTTATATTTTATCTTTCTAACCTTTTCGTTGCGAACGTAAACCTAAATTACGTTGTTTTAGATCGTTTTGTTGTTGTTGTTGTTCTTGTTTGATTGTGATATTGTGTCCCAGTGATTTTTTCTTCATTTCCAAGTGATTTACAGCTGTAACACGATAAGAAAAACGTAAGGAAATTAGATTATTATCTATAAATAAATAAGGAAATCGATTCATTCGCATAAATAAAACAGTTTTTGGGTCGAAAAAAAATTCCGTTCGTTTTGCGTCACACCACCCGTAGAGTTCAATGCCAAAAAGATAGCAACGTTTACTTTACATTGATTTATTACCCAAATTACGTTAATTATTGTTTAAAATTTTGTTAACATCACCTCAAATTTGAGGAATAATTGATAAATCACTTAATTTTAGCAATTAATATCGCTTTTAATACGATTTGTTTTAATTAAAGTTATTAAATTATTTTTTTTTTTGAGGTTATGTTTTTACGTCAGAATTAAAACGTTCAGTTTTACGTTTTTTTATGGTTGGTAATAAATTAATTTAATAATTAGAATTAATTAAAATCGATATGTTATTATTAATTATTTATGATTTTAAACATTATTAAATTAATTAATTTAATTTCGTATTATTTATTTATTTAATTTAATTTTTTTTTAGTTTGGGGTTGGTCCCAATGATTTTTTTAAGCGTTTCCATAGTAACGCGAATTAAAATGTGTCAAATTTTAAGGTTATGTCATAAAATTAATAAAAACTTTATTTTTTAATTTTAATCCGTATAATTTCATGTTGTGTCGTTTAAAAAGAGTCATCAAATATAATTTTTAATTGGTTTGTTGATACAAAAAAGATTGTTCATGAAAACAATTTAATCGTTTATCAATTTCCTCCGTGGTTAAAATAAATTGGTTATTTTTTAATAATGAAAAATTAAGCACAATGCGTTAACTTCGAACTTTGTAACAATTTTCGTTAAAAATCGGCCGAGATAACGCCGTGACACAGCAAAATCAGAAACGCGTTTTAATTTTATCAGAGGCGTCGCATTGTTTATTAAAATTACGTTATTTTTATTAAATAAGGAGGTTTTCAAGTTGAAGTGTTGAAGTTCGAAGGTTGGTGCGATATCTTAATTTTTTTTATTCTCAAAGAATGCCCCATTTTAATCAAATTCGAAGCGGAGAAATCAGTTCGGTTTTGGATTTCAACAATTAAAGTTGTTATAAAAAAAATTTTGAGGTTAGAAATTACTTACTCATTTTTTTATCCAATTTAAAGGAATTTAATCGAAATTTAATCGATTTTAAGGTAATTCTTCTCAAATTTTCGAATTTATCGTTAAAAATTAGCTTGATTTGACGCATTTAAATCAATTTTTGATTTTATAAAATTATCTGTCATTTTCGTTTTAACGTCAAACCATTTTAATTACTACCAACCTTAAAAAAGTTAAAAAACCAAAAATTTTTTATTTACTAATTTAATTAATTTTTTTTTTAGATTAATTTAATAAAAAATAATGAACGAAGGATTTTATTAAAAGAAGATTGAAATTAAATAAAAATGCCGGCTGTTGTTTCAAAGTTTTTAGAAAAAGCTGATAAAGCTCGGGAGTTTTTGAACATCCCGCGCCATCACGTGGCGGGAGCTGTAATCGGGTGTTGCATCGCGACTTATATGATAAAGGTGGGGTATCCGATAATAGATGGCGTTATAAACAAGAATAACCCCCAAAAGCGAAGTTTAAACAACAATTTAACCCTACCAAAGCTTGGGGATGAGAATAAATCGCTTCGTGTTAAGAAAATAATCCCCGCTTTGAATCTAAAGTTTATTTATCAATTCACAAAGTTGCTAAAAATTATGATACCCGGTTTCTTCAGCAAAGAAATCGCGGTTTTATTCGGACACACAGCTTTTCTGTTTCTTCGGACGTATCTAAGTATTTATGTGGCAAGTTTAGAGGGATCAATTGTTCGTTACATCGTTAAAAAGGACCCAAAAATGTTTACCAAGGAATTATCGAAATGGTTTTTAATCGCAGTCCCAGCTACCTTCGTTAACTCGATGATTCGTTACTTAGAAAGCAAATTAGCTTTGGCTTTTCGTGGAAGAATGGTGGAACACAGTTATAAGTTATATTTCAACAACCAAAGTTATTATCGAGTTAACGTATTAGATGGGCGCCTTGAAAATTGTTCTCAAAGATTAACAGACGACATAGAAACAGTGACATCAAGCGTGGCACATCTTTATGGACACATAACAAAGCCACTTTTTGACATATTATTGATGGCGGTCGCTTTGTTTAGATTAAGAAGATCTCGAGATACGAAAACTTTAGCAAGTGGCCCCTTAGTTTTATGCTCAGTCGTTGGAGTTTCCGCCTTAATCTTTAAACTCGTTAGTCCTAAATTTGGGCACTTAGTAGCGAAAGAAGCCGAGAAAAAGGGGTATTTGCGCCACGTTCACACCCGTTTAATAACAAATTCGGAAGAAATCGCCTTTTACGACGGCCACAAAGTCGAATTATCCCTACTAAGGAGTGCTTATAACATGCTAGTACAACACATGGAGCATATTTTTAGCGTTAAGTTATGGTTCATTATGTTAGAGCAATTTTTAATGAAATACGTTTGGAGCGGAGCTGGATTAGTCGCCGTCTCATTACCCATTTTATTAGCCAAAGCGGGAAATGAACCAAGAGTATCAAACCAACCGAGTTCTGACCCAATTTCAGAAAGAACCCAATACTTCACCACGGCGAAAAATTTATTAATGACCGGAGGAGACGCAGTTGAACGTTTAATGTCGAGTTACAAAGAAATCGTTGAATTAGCCGGCCACACCGAGCGTGTAGCAAACTTATTCAAAGTCTTAGAAGAAGTCGGACGTGGGGAATACCAAAAAACGGTAGTACAAAAAAAAAGCGACGAAAAAAACACCGGATTTCAAGTCGAATTTAACGGCGATCAACCCGTACCGAAAGGAAAATTAATTTACAGCACCAATTATGAGATTATTTTAAAAAATGTACCAATTGTGACGCCGAATTGCGATGTAGTTTGCCCCTCGTTAACTTTAGATATTTACCCAGGGCAACATTTATTAATAACCGGCCCAAACGGTTGTGGAAAATCGAGTCTTTTTAGAATCTTAAGCGGGTTATGGCCCGTTTATGGGGGGGAATTAAAAACCCCCAAAAACGCTTTGTTTTATATCCCACAAAGGCCTTACATGGTTATTGGAAACTTAAGGGATCAAATTATTTATCCCGATACTCAAGCCGATATGATTAATAAGCAAATTAACGAAGACGATTTAATGAAAATCATGAAAATGGTTCATTTAGACCACATCGTTGAAAGGGACGGGTTCCAAATTGTTAAAGATTGGCAAGATATTTTATCTGGAGGTGAAAAGCAACGGATGGCTATGGCACGATTATTTTATCATAAGTAAGTTTTAAATTAATTAATTTATTTATAAGAAAAATTTAAGAATCATCACGTACAGATTTCTAGAATAACGACATTCACTAATTGATCGCTTTACAAATAGAGGGCGCCTTTAATGTAATAAAATTTATTTTTTAACGATTAAAAAAAATCTTTAAAATCGCTTTTTGTTGTAAAAATCATTAAAAAAATTAATTAATTAACCCGCGAAATCACGAAATGAAAATGAATTAACCCAATTTTTCCAACACGACTTAACCTCACTTCTTCTCAGTTGATGTAATAAGAAAAAAAACTAAAACTAGAAATTTTTGGACTAATTCGTTACAAAAATTAAATGTACTCACTCTGCCTTAAAAACGGATCCTTCAGCTTCATTTAATGCGAAATTTGATTAATATAATCGCGATAATACTATTATAAAACTTTATTTGGACGCAACAAGTGATTTTTTTAAAGATGTCGGTGCTTACTGACAAATCACCATGGTAACGGCAGGGTTGAAAACTTTTAAACGAAAAATTATTTTAGTCGCAAAATTTTCGTACACTTTTCTGCCGATGGAATAAGAAATAAAACTAAAACTAGAAATTAGTTAGAAATTATAACCTCAAAATTTCTAGTTTTCGTTTTATTTCTAACGTAAAGTGAGTTAAATACAATTTTTTAATGAAACGTCAAAAAAGTCACTTTAAAAAAAACGCATAGGAGACAGCGCCATCTGTCGGAAAAAGTTAAAAATGTACGTCATCTAACAGTGATTCTAAAAATAAATAATTTAGAATTTGAATTAAAATAACGTAATTCAAAGAGTTAATGATTTAAAATTGATAAAATTAATCGACTTACTATGTTTTAGTTGTAATAAATTCTCAAACAATGTAAATTGACGCGATAAAAGTTAGGTTGTTTTCGTTTCTTCTTCAATTTTGGGGAAAAAATCACTTCTTGGAGTCTTTAATCACTTTAAATAAGTAGTTTGGTAGCTCAAAAACGTATTTTGATAGAGATTTGGATTCAATTAAGCTTATTTTTTGTAAAGTTTGATGATTTTGGCAAGATATGAAACCGGAATGTTTTAACTGTCAAAACTTTGACTTAATAGGGTAACCGCTAGATGGGGTGAGCAACTATTTAAACGAAAAATTTTTTTTTAAATTAAATAAAATAAAAATCGTAAAAGTTCGAAATCTTTACCCAAATAAAGATTCATTTTTCCTTTTATCGATCGAAAAAGTTCTCATTAATTCCACGTTTTTTTCTAAGAACTAAAATTAAAGAGAAACGTCACATTCTAAGCGCCATCTAACCGTGATTCTAAAAATAAATAGTTTAGAACGTGAGTTTTTCTTTAAATTTGAATTAAAATAACGTAATTCAAAGAGTTAATGATTTAAAATTGATAAAATCAATCGACTTACTATGTTTTAGTTGTAATAAATTCTTAAATTCTCAAACAATGTAAATTGACGCGATAAAAGTTAGGTTGTTTTCGTTTCTTCTTCAATTTTGGGGAAAAATCACTTCTTAGAGTCTTTAATCACTTTAAATAAGTAATTTGGGAGCTCAAAAACGTATTTTGATGGAGATTTTGATTCAATTAAGCTTATTTTTTGTAAAGTGTGATGATTTTAGCAAGATATGAAACCGGAATGTTTTAACTGTCAAAACTTTGACTTAATAGAGTAACCGCTAGATGGGGTGAGCAACTATTTAAACGAAAAATTTTTTTTTAGATTAAATAAAATAAAAATCGTAAAAGTTTGAAATCTTTACCCAAATAAAGATTCATTTTTCCTTTTATCGATCAAAAAAGTTCTCATTAATTCCACGTTTTTTTCTAAGAAATAAAATTAAAGAGAAACGTCTCGCATATATAGGAGATAGCGCCATCTGTCGGAAAAAGTCTAAAAATGTACGTTCGTAACTATCTTCTCATCATGTGAAATATTTTAAAGTAATTTAAAACCACGAAAAACGCGAATTATTATTTGATTTTTTTTATAACGTAAAATGAATGACTAAAACGAACTTCTACGACGCAAATTTCTTTTTAGTTTTATTTCGAAAACTGAGTGAGTTAATTTTTTTTTAATGAAACGTCAAAAATTTGAAAAAGTGAGGTGTTATATAGTATTTTCTAGCAGTTTTAAACTAACACGGCCGTTTTCGAAGACATCGGCCGCCAAAACATTAAACCTCACTTGTCCGTGGCATTTTTTGACGTTTTATTAAAAAAAAACAATTATTAAAGTTTTTGAAAGCAATAAGTAGTCTTTTTCTGCAGTATTTAGCATCTTAGAAGCAATAGGAAACTTTTTGAACTAGTATTTCCGTTTTTAGTCTTTAACTATCAATATTTACTCTTCTAACAACAATAATTAATCTTTCTCTTTATTTTTAAGACCTAAATACGCACTTTTGGATGAATGCACATCAGCTGTTTCGATTGACGTTGAAAGTTCAATGTATCAAGACGCTATCGATATGGGGATCACGCTTTTAACAATTTCTCATCGACCAACTTTATGGTAAGAATTAATTTAATTAAATAAACTCACCATAAAACAAATTTTTGATGTTGTAGGAAGTTCCATAAGAATATCCTCCAATTCGATGGTCAAGGAAACTGGGAATTTTCCACTTTGGACGTTGCGAATCGTTTAAAACTGAAACAAGAAAAAGAGGAGTTATTAAAGCAACCGGATAGCGCGCAAAAAACGCGCCGTTTAGAAGAGTTAAATCAGTTATTAGCTGAGGATTCCAACGAAATGGGCGAAGAAAACGAAACTGAACTAGATGATTAATTTAATTAATTAATACGAAATGAGATTGATATATCCGTCTGTGAGATTTATACTTAAAATGATTAAGAAGTTACATCACTTTTAATTTTTTTAGCCCAATTTGTATTTTTTTTAATTAATTTTAATTTTTTTATTATAAAGTTACCATTTTGTTAGTTATTTCTTCAATAAATTAATTTATACCAAAAAAAAAAAAAATTGAGGTTATGTTGTTTGTTTACATCGCATTTTTAGGTTATTTAGCGACATCTAACGAATTTTTACACAACTTAATTTTAAATTAAAAATATGTCACAAAATTATTAAATCAATTAAAATCGATCGATAATAATTTCAAAACATGTTTTAACTTGTTTCAAACTTACGCATAATTTCGCAATCTCACTCAACTTGGTTCAAGGGAGGTGGAAAAAATCTAGGGGAAAATAATATTATTTTAGTGATTTTAACAATTTTGGTTGCATAAAAGGAAATACTTTAAACACAACCAACTTCACATTATTCCTTTTACATGGCCGCTTTAGTGCCGTAAACACGTGTTGTTCTAAAACGAGTCGTGTTTTTCAGTGAATTTCGTACTTTAAACAAGGTAAATTGTTTGTTAAATTAATCCCCGGGGTAAAATCACCGAATTAAATTAGTTTTTGTTGCAATATTCGCTAAATTGTTAATTTCGTTATCGATAAAATTTTTATTTATCTTTTTTTCCAGATGCCTTTAGCTGTTGATTTATTGCACCCACCCCCGGAAAAGCAACGCCGTTCGCATAAACTAAAACGGCTTGTTCAACATCCCAACAGCTATTTCATGGATGTAAAATGTCCCGGGTGCTATGCCATCTCTACGATTTTTTCGCACGCCCAAAGTGCTGTTCCTTGCAAAGGATGCTCGACGATTTTGTGCACGTCCACGGGGGGCAAAGCCCGATTAACGGAGGGATGCAGTTTCAGACGCAAACAACATTTGTAAAACGTTACGATAACAATGTTTAAGTGTAATTAATAAATTTATTTCCCGAATAAATTTTTTTGAGTTTAAGATATTAAACGAGATTAATAACCTAATTAAAATCGTTTTTGTGTATTTTTAATTATTTTAAAAGATAATTCAAATTGACAGTTTTTTTTTGAAAAGTGAGGTTAAGTTGAAACGTCAACGGAAATAAATTGAATATTATTGTGAAATGTTTTAAAAATCGCTTTGTTTATAAAAATTATAAATAAATAAACCGATTAATTCATCTATTAAATAAATATTAGGATATAAATGAGGAAATTAGAAAAATATCGGAAATAAAAGTGAGGTTATGTCAAAGGTGTAAAAATGAAGAAGTGAGTTTGGTTTAAAATGATTTTTTGAAGTAATTTTTGTTAGAAATGTTTATTTTTTAGAGGAATTAGCCGAAAAAGTGTTGTTAGAGGCTAAGAATTATTACGAGATCAAAAAAAATTGTGAGTATCCCAAAAAAAAATTTTTTTTAGGTTATGTTTACAAATTTTAAATTAGTTTCAGATGAAATCCTTCTTAATTTACACTCAATTTATGGAACAACATTACAAAACGCATTAGATATCTTAGATAGAGGCAAAATCATAAAATACCAACCAAAAAAAAGCGTCCGATGCATATTTATGATTCAAAAACGGAAAGAACAATTTTTACTTTACGAAGGGATTAATTTCTGTTTTTGCGACGTTTTCCGCGAGGAAGTTTTAAACGAATTAAGACGTTCGATTACGTGCGAACACGTTTTAGCATTACAATTAGGAAAGATTGCAAATAAAATTACCTCCGATAATAATATTAAGGAACCGATGCTTATTGAAACGTTAAATAATGCTGGGTTATCTCATAAAGATGAATAAATAATCTTTGAAAAGAGTATATCTCGTATTAATCAATATAACTTACCTTGGCCCCTTCTTCAAAACAACCTAACCTAAAAAAAAAAAAAATTAAATGTCAAAAATAAATTAATTATTTAAAAAATTATTAATTAATTAAAAACTTACCTAGAAATATTAATCGCGTTATAAAATTTTTTCTAACCTAAAAAAAAAAGAAATACAAAAAATCATTTTTACATCTCTTAAAACTCCTTTTAATACTTTCAATATTGAATTACAATATTAATACGTTAATAAATAATAAACACAACATGTATACACGAAGTTATTATTATTTTTTATCCAATTTAATTTCATATACAGTTGTCCCATAAATAAGTATCCTTTAATATATTCTTTTTTGTACTTATTTAATAAACATACAAAATAATTTATCTTACCTGGCTCGATTTTTATTTATTTATTAATTTTTTGCATTAAGTACTACGTATTTTTGCTCTCCACAATTAGGGGCGCTCTTAAACGAAACTGTACTGATTTTCGACGGCTCTATTGGTGGCCTCGGTGACCTGTTCCAGGGTGATCTCTTGGGTACGAACGCTTCCGTTATGCGTTTGCACCTGGAAAACGCAACAAGAACCTATTCTGCCTTTTTTTAGTTCAATAAATTATTACGTTTCGGACGGACATGAATTCATTTGATTTAAGTATACAGGGTGATGTTTTTTTATTGTAAATTATCATTAATTTTTGGTCAAAACTCAAGTACGAGACTTTATCACTCCCTTTAAAGAGATAGTAGCCGAGGTTTTACTACTTTCTTCTTAAAAGAGAGGCACTAGTGTTTAATCTACTGAAAAAAGTGAGAGCCGAGGTCGCTTGCGACCGAGGCATTAGTATTTAAAATTCAAATACAAGTTTTTCTCACTCACCTCTTTAACCCTTTGTGTCCCAAGAAGTCAAACATTGTGAAACTTTGTGACAGAATCAGACAGAATTAAAACGCTATCAAAATACACTCACAATCAGTAAAGGCCTTTGGAATAAAATTTTAATTCAATTCAAAAATTCCTGGAAACCGTGTTTATTGAAATTAAGAAATAAAACTTATTTTAAATTGAAGCTCAAAGCTTTTTCTTTAAAATGATGTATAATAATTGTTGGGTTGGATTGGAAAAATATTGAGAAAAAAAATGTTGAAACAAAACTTACATTTTCGTATAACCTAAAAGTGTCAAAAAAGATGCTAATTTAAAAATTCCTGGAAGCCGTATTTATTGAAATTAAGGAATGAGACTTATTCTAAATTAAAGCTCAAAGCTTTCTCTTTAAAATGATGTATAATAATTGTTGGGTTGGATTGGAAAAATATTGAGAAAAAAAATGTTGAAACAAAACTTACATTTTCGTATAACCTAAAAGTGTCAAAAAAGATGCTAATTTAAAAATTCCTGGAAGCCGTATTTATTGAAATTAAGGAATGAGACTTATTCTAAATTAAAGCTCAAAGCTTTCTCTTTAAAATGATGTATAATAATTGTTGGGTTGGATTGGAAAAATATTGAGAAAAAAAATGTTGAAACAAAACTTACATTTTCGTATAACCTAAAAGTGTCAAAAAAGATGCTAATTTAAAAATTCCTGGAAGCCGTATTTATTGAAATTAAGGAATGAGACTTATTCTAAATTAAAGCTCAAAGCTTTCTCTTTAAAATGATGTATAATAATTGTTGGGTTGGATTGGAAAAATATTGAGAAAAAAAATGTTGAAACAAAACTTACATTTTCGTATAACCTAAAAGTGTCAAAAAAGATGCTAATTTAAAAATTCCTGGAAGCCGTATTTATTGAAATTAAGGAATGAAACTTATTTTAAATTAAAGCTTAAAGCTTTCTCTTTAAAATGATGTATAATAATTGTTGGGTTGGATTGGAAAAATATAGAGAAAAAAAATGTTGAAACAAAACTTACATTTTCGAATAACCTAAAAGATAACTACAGTTTAAAATTAGTGTTTAAAACTACTGGTACTTTAAAGTACCGTCGGGACACAAAGGGTTAAAGAGATAGTAGCTGAGGTCGCTTTCGGGCGAAGCTCTGCTACTTTCTTCTTAAAAGAGAGGCACTAGTGTTTAAACTGCTTAAAGAAGTAAAAGCCGAGGTCGCTTGCGGCCGAGGCATTAGTATTTAAAACTCAAATATGAAGTTTAATCACTAATTCCTTTAAAGAGCTAGTAATTGAGGTCGCTGGCGGCCGAGGCGCTGCTACTTTCTTCTTAAAAGAGAGGCACCAGTGTTTAATCTACTGATAAAAGTGAGAGCCGAGGTCGCTTGCGGCCGAGGCATGAGTATTTAAAACTCAAATACGAGATTCTATCATTCATCCCCTTAAAGAGATAATAGCCGAGGTCGCTTGCGGCCGAGGCTCTGCTACTTTCTTCTTAAAAGAGAGGCCCCAGTGTTTAATCTACTGAAAAAAGTGAGAGCCGAGGTCGCTTGCGGCCGAGGCATTAGTATTTAAAATTCAAATACGAGGTTCTTTCACTAACCCCTTTAAAGAGATACTAGCCGAGGTCGCTTGCGGCCAAGGGATTGCTACTTACTTGTTAAAAGAGATACACTAGTGTATAATCTATTAAAAAAAGTAAGAGCCGAGGTCGCTTGCGGCCGAGGCATTAGTATTTAAAATTGAAATACGAAGTGCAACCATTAATCCCTTTAAAGAGTTCGTAACTGAGATCGCTTGCGGTCGAAAACCGTTTTTAAAAACACCTTTTAGTTCTTGAGATACAATCATTGAGGTCTTATATATAATCTAGAGTGCGTATGTGGTGGTGGTGGGGGTAATCAGAAAGTCGGACATGTTGGATGTACCGACCTGAACTTAGCTATAGTTTCAAATCTCTCTTGTCCCTAGAATTATAACCTCAAAATTCTCATAAACGTCACTTTCGTAGTTTCGTATACGGTTTCGTATTTGGATACGTCGTTATTTTCCAGTGTTGTGTTTGTTTTGTGTTATTGTGTTTTTTAGGACAAATTTTAGTAAACATGGGACGAACATGTAGTGTTATCACTTGTAAAAATTCTTATAAAAACAAAAATATTACGTTTCACCGGTAAGTCGCTACTTTCGGAATGTAAATAATCTTGTAAATAATTCTGTTTTTATTTATTTAGAATTCCAGACTATGCGATTTTGAAGAGAAAGTGGATAGAAGTTTTGGAAGGGAATGTAAAGCGCACTGTAAAGACTATTTTTATTTGTAGTGATCATTTTAATAATGAGAGTTTGGACAAGTCGGGGCCTAATGTTCGAGTAAAATTAGGTTGTGTACCGGCAAAAATATAGGTTAGTGAAGAATTGTTTGAATACACCTTGAAATCTAATCCAACAAGAATATATTTTATGTTATTTATTTTAAGAATTTATTTTAGTTTACTTCAAAAAAGAATAAATTTTAATTTATAATCAAGAACACTTGACAATAAAGTGTGTAGGTATTTTAATGTGATTAATATACATTAGGTAGGTAGTTAAATAAGTACTTAGCAATGCTTTAGCTTGAACGTAAGTAGATCAATTATTTTTAACCTGTATTTATGTGAATATGTGTACATTTGTGTAAGTATACTCTGCAGCATGTTGAGCATAATCTAAGTTTTTTAGATCTACACACAATAACCACATAGTCACAAGTGCACGATTTAGGTTTCAGAAAAAAGGCGAAGAGTCGTTTTAGACCATACCTACTGCATTAATGATGAAAAATTATATAAAGAAGTACAGATGTTAAGAAAAAAAATGGTTTTTTACAAGAAAAAAATTCATTTGCTTCAGCAAAATTTGAGGCATCAGAAAAAGAAAATCTGTAATGGCAAAGCACTATTAAATAACTTGAAACAAAGTGGTAAAATTTCGGCAATAGCAGAAAATATTTTAGAACATTCCTTTTCAGGTGACTTGTTCTATTTTTCTATTAAAATATTCTTGTATAATTTCATATTTTGTAGATGTTTTAGATAGTCTTCTTTCTAGATGTGCCTTGCAAAAAAAGAATGATTATACTATTAAAAAAAAGTTTGATGCGGATTTAAGGACATTTGCATTAACGCTTAATTTTTTGTCATCTAAGGCTTATGAGTAATATTTTTTAATTTTTTATGTTGTTATTCTTATTAAAGTTTTATTTTTGTTGTAGGTTTTCGAATTCTTCTTGTTTCACATATATTTTTATAATTTGGTAGGTTGGAAGATTATTTACAACAGTCCATAAAATGTTTCTGGTTACTTGATTTGAAATTAACAATTGAAGTTCAAGTAAAATTTATTATTAAGGAATGTTCAGTTCTTTTAAAATAAACTAACAATTATCTATAAGCAAAAGGTAATATTTTCTTCTTAGTTTATGTTAAAAATTATTAAGTTCTGTTAAAATATTATATAATTAATAATTATTTATCAATAAAAAATTAATGTGTTTTATTTTGATTATTATTTTCTGTCTTTCCAGTTTATAATAATGTAAATTCTTGCATAAGTATCTATAAGAATTTCGAATTTCCCGCTAAATTGGTACATCCAACATGGCGACCTTTTGGGCTTCATTTTTGGCGTGGTGGGGACAATAGCATACGCACTCTAGATTATATATAAGACCTCAATGGATACAATCATTCGAGTTTCTATATCAACTTTTGAATTTATTTCTATTAACTTTAAAAAATCGTATAAAATCGATTTATTGATTAATTTTTATTAAATTGTTAATAATTAATAGAAGAAAGTGTCTTCTTTTTAGTAAAACAAACCGTTTTTAAAAACACCTTTTAGTTGTTGAGATACAATCATTCGAATTTCTGTATCAATTTTTGAATTTATTTCTATTAACTTTAAAAAATCGTATAAAATCGATTTATTGATTAATTTTTTTTAAATTGTTAATAATTAATAGAAGAAAGTGTCTTCTTTTTAGTGAAACAAACCGTTTTTAAAAACACCTCTTACTTCTTGAGATACAATCAGTCGAATTTACAGGGTGATGTATTTTTATTGTAAATTATCATTAATTTTTGGTCAAAACTCAAGTACGAGACTTTATCATTCACTCATTTAAAGAGATAGTAGCCGAGGTCTTACTACTTTCTTCTTAAAAGAGAAGCATAAGTGTTTAATCTGCTAAAATAAGTAAGAGTCGAGGTCGCTTGCGGTCGAGGAGGCTGTTTATCTATCTGTTCGTCCCAACCTCACTTTTCCAATTAAATCTAACCTCATTTTTCCAAATGACATTTTTTGACGTTTCATTAAAATAAAATTCAATAAAATTATTTTACTCACTCAGTGTGTTCTCGAAGATTTAAACTCGGCCGACGCGACGTCTTCAAAGTACTTTGTCAACCCAACTTAACCTCACTTTTTCAACTGACATTTTTCACAACCGTTGCTGCCGATGGAATAAGAAATAAAAATTTTAGGGTCAAAGACGCATTTTAGTTTTATTTCTAAGGCAAAATGAGTTAAACACATTTTTTTAATAAAACGTCAAAAATGACACTTTAAAAAAAACGCATAGGAGATAGCGCCATCTGTCGGAAAAAGTTAAAAATGTACGTCATCTAACAGTGATTCTAAAAATAAATAATTTAGAACGTGAGTTTTTCTTGAAATTTGAATTAAAATAACATAATTCAAAAAGTAATGATTTAAAATTGATAAAATTAATCGACTTACTATGTTTTAGTTGTAATAAATTCTCAAACAATGTAAATTGACGCGATAAAAGTTAGGTTGTTTTCATTTCTTCTTCAATTTTGGGGAAAAAATCACTTCTTGGAGTCTTTAATCACTTTAAATAAGTAGTTTGGTAGCTCAAAAACGTATTTTGATAGAGATTTGGATTCAATTAAGCTTATTTTTTGTAAAGTTTGATGATTTTGGCAAGATATGAAACCGGAATGTTTTAACTGTCAAAACTTTGACTTAATAGGGTAACCGCTAGATGGGGTGAGCAACTATTTAAACGAAAAATTTTTTTTTAAATTAAATAAAATAAAAATCGTAAAAGTTCGAAATCTTTACCCAAATAAAGATTCATTTTTCCTTTTATCGATCGAAAAAGTTCTCATTAATTCCACGTTTTCTTCTAAGAACGCATACATAGCAGATAGCGCCATCTGTCTAAAAAAAAGAAAAAGTCTAAAAATATACATTCGTATTGTGGTTCGTATCTATCTTCTCATCATGTCAAACATTTCAACGTAATTTAAAACCACGAGAAACGCGAATAATTATTTGATTTTTTTCTATAACGTAAAATGAATGACTAAAACGAACATCTACGAGGCAAATTTCTTTTTAGTTTTATTTCCAAAACTGAGTGAGTTAAATAAATTTTTTTAATGAAACGTCAAAAACCTGTCATTTGAAAAAGTGAGGTTAGGTCACAGAATAACCAGAAAGGACAGCGACGGCAATCTCTTTAATGTTCAAGGGTTCAAATTTGTCGCCTACTGACCTGCTGACAATGCGTCCGCCATCTTACTGGTTGGAATATAAAATGTGCGAATTTTAAAGCATCGAGAATCTTTACTAGGAGTTTTTTTTATATAAACATAGGGTCGAACTATGAGCTGTCAAAGTTGAGCCAAAAATTTACATTTGCTACGCCCTAGTAGTAGTCCAATTAAAAACTGAACCACCCTGTATATGTCCATGTTCGTCTACAAACATTTTAGTTTCTATCGTGTGATACTAGTTCTTTGATAACTGTTACCGATATTTTAGCAACAAATTGCAAGGTACTGTTGATGAACAATTAGTTAGGATGTCAATTTAAGGTGTACAGGGTGGTTCAAATTCGATGTTCGAATAGGCTATCTCAGAAACTATAAGAATTAGAAAAAAAGTTGCAGAATAAAGCTAAAAATAAATTTTTTTTAGTGTCGTCGAAGATATTAAATTTACAGTTTCCTGTAAATTATGATATTATAACTAAAAATTAAAAAACATATTTTTGCAATCCATTAAATATTTCCGTATTAACAGCTGGTGTAATAAATATAATTATTATGTTTTTAGATACCAGAAAAATCATACCCCGTAATTTACAGGAAACTGTAAATTTTATTTCTTTGACGACACCATATTTCGGCGGCGCTTAAAAATAAGATTAATTTTAGATTTATTCTAAAACAATAAGAAAAAAATAACGAATTTAATAATCAGAAAAAAATCTAATTTTAGCTGAAAAAAAAAAAAAAATAAATAAATAAATTATGAGTGGGAATTCTATAACTTAAGTTTTGAGGAATTTTCTTTGAAATTTATAAATCACCCTGTATACTACAATAATAATTTTCTTTTAATTTAAATAGATCAATTAATAATTATTTTCTTACCTGATTTGATCATTTTGAAAATTAATTAATAATTATAAATAGCAAAAAAACAAAAGCGGGACGTCGTTTTTAAAATAATGACAGATACATTTAAAAAGAGAAATGAAAGAAAGAGATAGAGACGAATTACAACAACAAAAAATGAAAATCTAATAAATTAATAAATTAAAAACAAAAGAGGTTAAAGAAAAAACAAAAGCAGACGGTGGCCAGTACAAATTGCGTTTTTATTCGATTTTGTTTATATATTCGACGAGACCAAGTTTACATTTAATTTATTTAATATTTTTAGGTTTATTTTTGTTGCTTTTTTTGTTCAAAAAAAAATTAATAAATAAATACTTTTTTTGAGATAAAAAAATTCTCTTTATACTTCGTAAATTATAAATAATTAAATTAAAATTAATAAAAATATATATCGTTTAATATTATGCATATTGGACGAATCACCGTTGTTTTTTTTTAATTTGAATTTAATTTTAATTATTTTTTTAATTTTTAAACGATCAATAATTTAAATTTCCCGCCTTATATTAAGACGAATTTCACGTCAATCAAAAAAAAAAAATTAATACCAACTGTCAATGTCAAAATTAAATTATTGATCATTATAAATTAAAAAAAAATAAATAAATAAAAATTGCTTTAAAGAATTGTACTTACATTTTTCTTTTCATTTCGAGAATAATAAATTAAATAAAACTAAACCGGCATAACTACACAGAGAGAGAAATTGAGAAAAAAAGAGAATAATTAATTAATTAATTGCACGTAGGAAATTAATTTTTTTTTAATGCAGATTCATTACCTCTTTCCTATTTTAATTAAAACCGAATAAGTTTTAATTATTACCTAGCATTATAAATAAAGTTTAATTAATTAATTAAATTAATAGCAGCAATAATTAAAAAATAAATATTTTCTTTAAATAATTGCATTATTTTTTTTCGATTTTCTAAATTAACTTATTTACAAATAAACCTTCGAAATTTTTTCTCCTCAAAATTAAATAATCATCCTTTTTTAAATAATCAAAGGAAAAATAATAATAAAAAAAAAAAAAAAACGTAAAGATCTAATACAAAAAAACGAAAAATAAAAAAAACAAGATTATCTCACATTGCGTTGTTCCGGAAGCGGCGGCGGTCTCCGTTCTTGGCCCCCTTGGGATTGTTGAATTGTTGTTTGCCCAACCGTTCTTGGTAAAGAGCCTTGAAGTTGAGCCCTCGCCCCTGGGTTAACCACGTAATCTGTTAGGGTTACATCGGAATTTCCTCCACTTTCCAGCGGAATCGGTTGACGTCGAAAGTGCTCTAACATCTCGTAAATTGATTGAAACCAAAAATGTTGCACCCTACATTGACCCAATTCGTTAATTGTCATCCTTAAATGTTTTGCTCGACCCTAATAAACCAAAAAAACCAATTAAAACATAAATTTGTTATAACTTATGTTTATATTACTCGAAAATTAAAGGTTAAAACGAACTCCCCCGTTCGAGTTTCACTTTGGCGCACCAAAAACAAGCCGTGATTGGCGGGTCCTTCGTGTAGAACTAATTGAGCAGCTTCCGATCGTCCCAAAGTGCCATGAAACCACAACTCCTTCTTTAATAATTGTCCAATATCCGACTCAACGGTGCCATTGGTTTCGGATTGGGGTGAAAATTCCGAGTTACTCCCGAAAGAATTTCTTTGCCCGGAAGTTAGATGCCTCGGAGGTACTTCCGGGGGATCCCCGCTTTGATGATGACCGTCTTTTAGTGCAAATTCGCCGGCTCCCGCTAAATCGTGACCTTGCATCGATCGCATACAATATCGGATCGTGGCTAACCAAGATCTAAAAAATGATTAATAAAAATTTTTTTATTAAAAATTTAAGAATCATCATGAATAAATGATGAATGAATAAAATAGCATTGCCTAATACATAATAAAAATCAAATTAAAAACTACACATTAAAATTGTTTGTGTTTTGATAGAAATAGATCTTTGAGAACAAGAATAAAAGAGCATAAGAATCAACAAAGATCAAACTTTGGCAGACACTTTATTTTTAATAAAGATTAATTTGACGAGAATAAAAACACATCCATAATACATTGCAGAAATGGGAAACGTCTCAATGACCAGATCACTACAACAACAAGACCATTATACACCTATTTGAAAACACCATACACCCCCATGGCAACCATTCCTCTCTTCTTTTTTAAAGAAAAAAGTTTTTAAATCCTAACTCAAATACCTTCATATAATGACAAAAAAGATATAATTTTTAGGCATTATTTCAATTTAAAATATGCGGCTATATTCACAAGATAGAACATAACCTATAAATATAAAAAGAAGGTACAACACAAAATTAGAGACATTTTTGACAATAATTAACAACAAGGAATTTAAGAAAACGATTATAAATAAGATCCAGAATAAGAATCCAGATTTTGAAAATTAAAAGTAAAGTTGACTTAAGTTAATTTATGTAAGATAACCTAAAAAACATGTTGTGTTTTCTATGAAAAGACAAACAATTTTAATGTGTAGTTTTTAATTTGATTTTTATTATGTATTAGGTGGCTAAAGCTCCTGAAAATGACTAAAAATAGTTGAAACCGGTTGAGCTGAAAATAAAATTTATCCATCTCAAAAGCAAAGTTATTTTATTCACCTAATTATTCTAACAAGATGGGAAGTAATAATATTAATAACGTTAAGTTTAAAATGTCAACCTAAATTTTGACATATTTGTAATCTTCATTAAAAATCCTTTAAAATGAGTACAAACACGACATATTTATCTTCAATATTAATGAAGTTATGGTCAACTTCCGGTTAAGAATGTCAACGTCAATTTTGACATATTTGTAATCGTCGTGAAAAATCCTTTAAAATGAGTCCCAACATGATACGCTTAATTCCCATATTACTCGAGATATAAGCAACTCCCGATTTGAAATGTCAATGTCATTTTGACATATTCTTAATTTTTATAAAATGTCTTAATATTTGTCACAAAAACAAAAATATAATAAAAAAAAATCAAAAATTAAGGTTGGTATTAATATTTAAAAATTAAATTGCTATCTTCATTGTTGCTAACTTCGGGTTTAATGTTTTTTATTCTAACTTTTTTGTTTTTTGAGATAAGTGCGTCATGTTTGGACTCATTTTAAAGGTTTTTTAATGAAGATGACAAATATGTCAAAATTGACGTTGACGTTTCAAACCGGAAGTGATTGTATTTCCATTAATATTAAAGTTAAATATGTCGAGTTTGGACTCATTTTAAAGGATTTTTTATGAAGTTGACAAATATGTCAAAATTAAAAGTTGAAAGTTCGAACTTTTTGGTTTTTTGAGATAAATGCATCATGTTTGGACACATTTTAAAGGTTTTTTTAATAAAGAATACATCATGAAAGAACACCATGAAGTTGTCCATTTGTCTATTATATGATAACTAACTTCAGGTTTAAAATGTCAACCTCAATTTTGACATATTTGTAATCTTCATTAAAAATCCTTTAAAATGAGTACAAACACGACATATTTATCTTCAATATTAATGAAGTTATGGTCAATTTTCGGTCAGAAATGTCAATGTTGACATATTCTTAATTTTTATAAAAATGTCTTAATATTTGTCACAAAAACAAAAATTTAATTAAAAAAAATAAAAAATTAAGGTTGGTATTGATATTTAAAAATTAAATTACTATCTTCATTGTTGCCAACTTCAGCTTTAACGTTTTTTATTCTAACTTTTTTGAGATAAATACATCATGTTTAGACTCATTTTAAAGGCTTTTTAATAAAGTATACATCATAAAAGAACACCATGAAGTTGTCTATTATGTGATAACTAACTTCAGGTTTTAAATGTTAACCTCAATTTTGACATATTTGTAATCTTCATGAAAAATCCTTTAAAATGAGTACAAACACGACATATTTGTCTTCAATATTAATGAAGTTCCGGTTAAGATGTCAACGTCAATTTTGACATATTCGTCATGAAAAATCCTTTAAAATGAGTCCAAACATGATACGTTTAATTGCAATATTACTCGAGATATAAGCAACTTCCGGTTTGAAATGTCAACGTCATTTTGACATATTTTTAATTTTTATAAGAATGTCGTAATATTTGTCACAAAACAAAAATATAATAAAAGAAAATAAAAAATTAATGTTGGTATTAAATTTAAAAATGAAATTGCTGTCATCATTGTTGCCAACTTCGAATTTAATGTTTTTTATTCAAACTTTTTTGTTTTTTGAGATAAATGCGTCATATTTGGACTCATTTTAGAGGTTTTTTTAATAAAGAATACATCATGAAAGAACACCAAGAAGTTGTCTATGTATCTATTATATGAAAACTAACTTCAGGTTTAAAATGTCAACATCAATTTTGACATATTCGTAATCTTCATTTTGATATATTCTTAATTTTTATAAAATGTGTTAAAATTTGTCACAAAAATGAAAATATAATAAAAAAAAATCATAAATTAAGGTTGGTATTAATATTTATTTGTTGCTAACTTCGGGTTTAATGTTTTTTATTCTAACTTTTTTGTTTTTTGAGATAAGTTCCTCATGTTTGGACTCATTTTAAAGGTTATTTTATAAAGATTACAAATATAACAATAAAATTAAAGTTGACATTAACATCTTCAATATTAATGAAGTAATGGTCAACTTCCGGTTAAAAATGTCAACGTCAATTTTGACATATTCGTAATCGTCATGAAAAATCCTTTAAAATGAGTCCAAACATGATACGTTTAATTCCAATATTACTCGAGATATAAGCAACTTCCGGTTTGAAATGTCAATGTCATTTTGACATATTCTTAATTTTTATAAAATGTGTTAAAATTTGTCACAAAAACGAAAATATAATAAAAAAAATCAAAAATTAAGGTTGGTATTAATATTTATTTGTTGCTAACTTCGGGTTTAATATTTTTTATTCTAACTTTTTTGTTTTTTGAGATAAGTTCGTCATGTTTGGACTCATTTTAAAGGTTATTTTATAAAGATTACAAATATGACAATAAAATTAAAGTTGACATTAACATCTTCAATATTAATGAAGTTATGGTCAACTTCCGGTTAAAAATGTCAACGTCAATTTTGATATATTCGTAATCGTCATGAAAAATCCTTTAAAATGAGTCCAAACATGATACGTTTACTCCGATATTACTCGAGATATAAGCAACTTCCGGTTTGAAATGTCAACGTGAATTTTAATATATTCTTAATTTTTGTAAAATGTGTTAAAATTTGTCACAAAAACAAAAATATAATAAAAAAAAAATAAAAAATTAAGGTTGGTATTAATATTTAAAAATTAAATTGGTATCTTCATTGTTGCTAACTTCGGGTTTAATGTTTTTTATTCAAACTTTTTTGTTTTTTGAGATAAATGCATCATGTTTGGACTCATTTTAAAGGTGTTTTAATAAAAATGACAAATATGTCAAAATTGACGTTGACGTTTCAAACCGGAAGTGATTGTATCTCCATTAATATAAAAGTTAAATACGTCGAGTTTGGACTCATTTTAAAGGATTTTTTATGAAGATTACGAATATAATAATAAAATTAAAGTTGGGTAAGAAACTGTCAAATGTCAAAATTAATATGTATCACATTAAGGATGTTAGAAATAAAATTAAAACTAGAAACTTGGAGGTTATGCAGCGCGTCGAGACGGAGATTTATTTTTACTAACAATCAGCGTAAAACTCGTCAAAATTGCTTTTATTTGATATCAAACACGATCTATTTGGGTTAAAGTTAGGTTATAAACTGTCAAATGTCAAAATTAAATATAACGAAAAAAAAATTTTTTGGTCATAAAGGTGTTCTTTTTTAACATAACGGGTCAGAAAATTAAACTTGTTTTAAAATAAACCCAAACTCAACTTATTTATCTCTAACCGTTATCGAGATATCTTAATTTTTACAAAATAAAAATGGCGATTATTTGACAGTTTTATAACCTAACTTTTATTATTTTTTAACCGAAATATATCATGTTTAGTATCAAATTAAAGCATTTTTGATTCTTATTAAAATCATTGCAATATTTATCAAAAACTGTAATATTTAATATTACATTTTTTAAAAATGAAATATTACTGTAAATCGTATTTGGTATCAAATTAAATCATTTTTGATTCTTATCAAGTATATTATGAAAAGTATATACTTTTTTATTTTGAGCAAAGAATACATCATGAATTGATACCATGAAGTTGTTCATTTATCTATTGTGTGATATCTAACTTCAGGTTTAAAATGTCAACCTCAATTTTGATATATTTGTAATCTTTATTAAAAATCCTTTAAAATGAGTACAAACACGACATATTTATCTTCAAAGTTATGGTCAACTTCCGGTTAAGAATGTCAACGTCAATTTTGACATATTCATAATTTTTATAAAAATGTCTTAATATTTTTCACAAAAACAAAAATACAATTAAAAAAAATAAAGAATTAAGGTTGGTATTAATATTTAAAAATTAAATTGGTTGCCAACTTCAGGTTTGACGTTTTTGAATTCTAACTTTTTTGTTTTTTTAGATAAACGCATCATGTTTGGGCTCATTTTAAAGGTTTTTTTAATGAAAATGACAAATATGTCAAAATTGACGTTGACGTTTCAAATCTCGATTAATATTAAAATTAAATACGTCGAGTTTGGACTCATTTTAAAGGATTTTAGCTTTAAAAAATTACAAATTACACCGCAATATCCAACAAGAGTTGTTCTACAGATCCTTAACATTATTCTTTATAAATTAATAGAATTTCAATTTTTATGGTTTTCTCTTATTTGTTATTTTTGAGTTATGCAACTGTTCTTACAGAGGTGCGATATGGTTAGCATAATTGATGACGTCACGAAACTTTAAAACGATTTTTCGGTAAATTTAACACTTTTCTTTCATTCACAAGGGCTTAAGTAATTAAAAAAATTAAAATTATTTTATTTCTAACCTCATTTCATCCGTGCTAGGTGCCTCGATTACGTATTCGATGTTATTATCAGCTTTTAACACAAAAGTATTTTCATGATCCGGCATTTCCAAAGCTGTTGTTTCTCTCGCTTCAACAATAAGAGCACAAAAAACCCCACTTTTTGGTTTTGTACTTTTCGGAGGGGAATAAAACTCCAACATGTAACCCCCGACCGCTTTAATTAGAGCCAATCGGCATTTTTCCCATTTCGGGGGGCTCCCCGCTTGATCTAAACACTCGGGGGTTGTGTAATTAACAAACCCTTCCTTTCGACATTCAACCACGATTTTGGCCAGCTTTGTTTTGCTTTCGGAATCGTCTGAGTGTTGTTTGGCGAAAATCTCTCTACCTTTTCGAAGCATTTTAAAACTAAGTCGTCGCAGAAAGTGTTTATGTGGCATTTTCGGGGAACCTTCCTCGTTGTCGGAGACGATTTCGTTGACGTCTTCGAGGGGGCTTGAACCGTTGCTTACTTTGGTTAGTTGGAGTCGTCGCCGAGCGTAGTCTTTATCGAAGGTTTCCGTGAAACATTCGACGAATCTTCGGAGGAAGTCTTTATGGGTTACTGTACTACGTGCGGTTTCCGGCAGTGTTCGATGAATGTACTGGTAACAGCTTTTGGCGAAATCCTGAGCAGCAACCACGGCATGTCTTTCGCAGAATTTTACCCAGTCCTGCTCGGTAGTGTTCGTTTCTAACGCCGTGGCCATTTTTGACTCAAATTTCCGGTCACTAACGGAAGAAAATACGAAAATTTAACATTTTACGCGTTATTTCGCTAAAAAAGGGGGCTTTGCTTGGAAATTTGACAACTTAAAACCGTTTTGATGTGTTTGGTTCTAATTTCATTGCGATGTTTATTTGTGACTAACTTCATTTAATTATTTATTTTTTTCAATTTATTATTATTTATTGTTATTCTTATTTATTACAATATAAAACTCAAGAATTAATCTAAAACCACATTATTTACAAATAATATCTCAAATTATATCATTCTTTATCTCTCTCTCACTTTTATAAAATCATGTTTCATCTCACTTCCATCTTGGAATCAAAACATTTATGAAATACGTCAATTAAAAATAAGCGAATTTGACATTTAAAATAGGTTAAGTCGAACGCTTATTTGTAATCCTTTGTAATTTATAAAAAAAAACATTAATTAAAATGTCAAATTTAATTAAAAAGTGCAAGATAATTACAATTTGACTGTGTTAATGTTCAAATGCCATTTACCACAAAAACTGTATTAGGAACTAACAAAAGTCGATGTAGAAAAAATTCATAATGAATCTGTGATTAGTTTGATAGGAACGCAAGGAAAATCGTGTCAAAAGCACGAATTAGTTATAAAACATGAGAATTAGATTGAAAAAGACGTTTTAATCTTAAAAAGTTGGAAGTCTTAAAAATATTGAAAACGTTAAAAATGACATTTCAAAGTAAAAAATGACATTTAGGTTATTAACTATTACTAAAAATGTTTGTAAATGAACCTAAGAAGACGTTATCGCAACAACTGGAAAGTTTATTATAGAAAAATCACTTAAATCTGAGTTTTAACCTCAAAAAGTATTAATTTTGAAAATAAGGGAAACGGAAAAAATGACATTTAATGTAAAAAATGGCTGTTTAGGCAACCCATATAACACGTATTAATTTTTGTAACCATGACAATTTGTTGCTTTTATTCAGTTATTATTAATAAACAAATAGTCATTTCCTGTTCGTTATTAAAACGACGTGTTTTTTTAATCACTTCAATTAATCACCTAAATTTGAGTTTTTAAACTAAAAAAGTATTAATGATAATCTTGAAAATATGGGAAACGTCAAAAATGACACTTTAAAGTAAAAAATGACATTTACCTTATTAGTATTATTAAAAATGTTTGTAAATGAACCCAACAACACGTTATTGCAAAACTGTATTAGGAACTAACAAAAGTCGATGTAGAAAAAATTCATAATGAATCTGTGATTAGTTTGATAGAAACACAAGGAAAATCGTGTCAAAAGCACGAATTAGTTATAAAACATGAGAATTAGATTGAAAAAGACGTTTTAATCTGAAAAAGTTGGAAGTCTTAAAAATATTGGAAACGTCAAAAATGACATTTCAAAGTAAAAAATGACATTTAGGTTGTTAACTATTACTAAAAATGTTTGTAAATGAACCTAAGAAGACGTTATCGCAACAACTGGATAGTTTATTATAGAAAAATCACTCAAATCTGAGTTTTTAACCCCAAAAAGTATTAATCTTGAAAATAAGGGAAACGTAAAAAATGGCTGTTTAGGCAACCCATATAACACGTATTAATTTTTGTAACCATGACAATTTGTTGCTTTTATTCAGTAATTATTAATAAACAAGTAGCCATTTCCTGTTCGTTATTAAAACGACGTGTTTTTCTTAATCACTTAAATTAATCACCTAAATTTGAGTTTTTAAACTAAAAAAGTATTAATCTTGAAAATATGGGAAACGTCAAAAATGACACTTCAAAGTAAGAAATGACATTTACCTTATTAGTATTATTAAAAATGTTTGTAAATGAACCCAACGTTATTGCAACAACTGGAAAGTTTATTACATAAAAATCACTTAAATTTGAGTTTTTAAACTCAAAAAGAATTAATCTTGAAAACATGAGAAACGTCAAAAATGACATTTCAATTAGTATTACTAAAAATGTTTGTAAATGAACCCAATAAAACGTTATTGCAACAACTGGATAGTTTATTATATAAAAATGACTTAAATTTGTGTTTTTAAAGTCAAAAAGTATTAATCTTGAAAAGATGAGAAACGTCAAAAATGACATTTCAAAGTAAAAAATTACATTTAGGTTATTAGTATTACTAAAAATGTTTGTAAATGAACCCTATAAAACGTTATTGCAACAACTGGATAATTTATTATATAAAAATGAATTAAATTTGTGTTTTTAAACTCAAAAAGTATTAATTTTGAAAACATGAGAAACGTCAAAAATGACATTTCAAAGTAAAAAATTACATTTAGGTTATTAGTATTACAAAAAATGTTTGTAAATGAACCCAATAAAACGTTATTGCAACAACTGGATAATTTATTATATAAAAATGACTTAAATTTGATTTTTAAACTAAAAAAGTAATAATCTTGAAAATATGAGAAACATCAAAAATGACATTTCAAAGTAAAAAATGACATTTACGTTATTAATAATACTAAAAATGGTTGTAAATGAACCCAACAACACGTTATTGCAACAACTGTATAGTTTATTATACAGGATGTTTCTAAATTGATGCGAAAGATTTTAAAGGGTGATTTTTCAGCAAAAATTAAGGGGTGTCTTTCATACAACTTTTTGTTCAAAGCCTCTTCTCCTTCAAGTTATAGCCCTCTAAAGTTAAGGAAAAAAATCTGCAACTTCCTTATCTCTTGACATTTTACAACTAACAAATTGTTAGTTTGATCACAAAAAATAAAATAATGCTGAGATCAATTTGACTGACATAATTTGACAAACTAATAATTTTAGGAGAAAACATCGAGAGACTAAAAAGTTGCGTCTCTATTTAAATCAAGTTTTTAAATCGAAAAATGTAGACGCATTAAAAAGCTCTGATGCAAAGGATTATAGATTTATTAAATAAAAACAATTTCCCTTCTCCTAACTTTAGAGTGTTCTAACTTGGTGGGGAAGAAGTTAATTTTTGTTGAAAAATCACTCCTTGAAGTCTTTCGCATCAGTTTATAAACAGCCTGTATAAAAATCACTTAAATTTGAGTTTCTAAACTCAAAAAGTATTAATCTTGAAAATATGAGAAACGTCAAAAATGACATTTCAAAGTAAAAAATGACATTTACGTTATTATACTCTATTTTTTAATTCGGAGGAGTGTTTTCAAATTGAAAAAGAAGGGTTGGTATCCCCCAGTATTGATACATCATAAATGAACACCATGAAGTTATCCATTTGTCTATTATATGATAACTAACTTCAGATTTAAAATGTCAACCTCAATTTTGACATATTTATAATGTTCATTAAAAATCCTTTAAAATGAGTACAAACACGACATATTTATCTTCAATATTAATGAAGTTATGGTCAACTTCCGGTTAAGAATGTCAACGTCAATTTTGACATATTTGTAATCGTCGTGAAAAATCCTTTAAAATGAGTCCAAACACGACACGTTTAATTCCAATATTACTCGAGATATAAGCAACTTCCGATTTGAAATGTGAATGTCATTTTGACAAATTCTTATAAAATGTCTTAAAATTTATCACAAAAACAAAAATATCATAAAAAAAAAATAAAAAATTAAGGTTGATATTAATATTTCAAAATTAAATTGCTATCTTCATTGTTGCTACTTACCTTGCTTATAATTTCATCCATTTACCCATTTTGAATTAAATACAACCTTTAAATCCAATTAATTATGTGTTTTTCATCAAAAAAACTTAAATTCAACGTCAATTTTGACAAGCAGCATCACCATGGTAACCGAGTCAAGTTGGATAACCTTAAAATAATAAAATTTTATTCCGATTTCTTTATCAATTCTAACCCAATTTTTATTAATTTTAAAACAATTCGAATTCTTTACAATTATCTCGCATTCATAACAAATTCATTAATTGCAATTAATTTAAATCGATTCGAATTAACAGAAATAAATTAAAAATATCTTTTTTTGATTTAATCCACTTACCTTGTTTCTAATTCTCTGGATAAACCAATTTTGAGTTAAATACAGCCTTTTAAACCAATTAAATAAGACTTTTTCCCCAAAAAAATTCAATTTCAATTTTGACAAGCACCTGCAATATTTGGATCTTAATCACCATGGTAACCGAGTCAAGTTGGATAACCTTAAAATAATAAAATTATAATCGTTAATATTTCGCTTTATATTTTAATATTTTTTTAGTTTTATTTTATCTTTTTTTTTAATATATTGCTTCTTAAGTGAAATACACAGTATAAATAAAAATATAGAAATGTCAATTTTTCCAATGACGTCACAGCAAGGACTTTGCGGGGGGATACGTTCATTAAAATCGTTTTGATGTGTTTGGTTCTAATTTTATTGCGATATTTATTTGTGACTAACTTCATTTAATATTTATTTTATTCAATTTATTATTATTTATTATTAGGTATTCTTATTTAATACAACATAAAACTCAAGAATTAAGCTAAAACCACATCAAATCTACATCATTCTTTATCTCTTTCTCGCTTTTATAAAATCATGTTTCATCTCACTTTCATCATGGAATCAAGAAACACGTCAATAAAAATAAATCGATTTGACATTTATGAAAAATAGGTTAAGTCGAACGCTTGTTTGTAAAAAAAACATTAATTAAAATGTCCAATTTAATTAAAAAATGCAAAATAATTACAATTTGACTAAACGTTTATTGATTGTAGTGGTTTTTTTGTTGTTTGTGTTACTATTTAAGGGTCTCCTAACTTAGAAAATGTCGAAAAAAGTTAGTGAGGTTATGTTTGAAAACATAACCTAATTTAATTTTAATTTTAACCGTTTTAGGTGTCGTACTTTTATAATCCCGACGTGGGGAACTTCCATTACGGAACCGGACACCCAATGAAACCGCATCGCCTCGCCGTAATCCATAGTTTAGTTTTAAACTATGGCTTAAACAATAAAATGCAAATTTACCGTCCTTACAAAGCAAGTGCTCACGATATGTGTCGATTCCACTCGGATGAGTACATCGATTTCTTACAAAGAGTCACCCCCCAAAACATCCAAGCATTCACCAAACACTTGAGTCATTACAACGTCGGTGACGATTGCCCCGTTTTTCACGGTTTATTCGATTTTTGTTCCATGTATACGGGGGCGTCTTTAGAGGGGGCCGTTAAACTGAACAATAACCACTGCGACATCGCCATCAATTGGTCCGGCGGGTTACATCATGCGAAAAAGTTCGAAGCTTCCGGATTTTGTTACGTTAACGATATCGTAATCGCGATTTTAGAGCTTTTGAAGTATCACGCTAGGGTTTTGTATATTGATATCGATGTACATCACGGCGATGGTGTTCAAGAAGCTTTTTATTTAACCGATCGTGTTATGACGGTTAGTTTTCATAAATACGGAAATTTTTTTTTCCCAGGTAAAAAATTTTTAGGTTAAAATTTAAAATTAATTATAATTTTTTTTGTAGGAACTGGCGATATGTATGAAGTTGGGGCTGAAAGTGGTCGTTATTATTCCGTTAATGTCCCATTAAAAGAAGGTATCGACGATTCAAGTTATTATCAAGTTTTTAAACCTGTCATTTCAAGCGTTATGGAATTTTATAACCCAACCGCTATTGTTTTGCAATGTGGGGCTGATTCGTTAGCTGGAGATAGGTTAGAACTCAAAATTGTGGTTGAATTAAATTTATTTTCTGACATTTTTAGGTTAGGATGTTTCTCTTTAAGCACAAAAGGGCACGGCGAATGCGTTAAATTCGTAAAAGATCTAAATGTACCCACTTTGGTGGTTGGGGGAGGTGGATACACCTTAAGGAATGTAGCCCGTTGTTGGACTTTTGAGACATCATTGCTTGTTGATGAGCAAATTTCAAACGAACTGCCTTATACTGAATATTTAGAGTTTTTTGCTCCCGATTTTACGCTTCATCCCGAAGTCGTGACTCGGCAGGAGAATGCTAACAGTAGACAGTATTTGGAGACAATTGTTAAGTAAGAAACATTAACACCTACAATTTTTAACCTAATTTATTAATAATTTTATTTTAAGGTACGTTTGTGAAAACTTGAGAATGTGCCAACATTCTCCTAGTGTTCAAATGAACGATATCCCACCAGACGCGATTCAAGAAGACGACAAAATTAAAAAGGAGGAAGATCCAGATGTCAGAATTAGCCAGGATTTGGAGGACAAAATGGTTGAGGCTAAAAACGAATTTTACGACGGGGATAAAGATAACGATAAAGACGAAATGGAAAGTTAATTTTTAAGGCTAATCTCATCAATAAATAAATAAATAATAAAGTTTAAAACAAGTTTTTGATTTAAATTAAAAAATGAGGTTAATGTCAAAAAATGACATTTGTAAGTTGTGTTGCCTATATTCGAGTGGAATCGTAAAGTGGTAAATAAAGTGATTTTAATTAATTTAATTGAAATTTGCAACTTTGAAAGTTGTTTAGATAATGGGAAATGCTAAAAATGGTGATAAATGTTGTGGAAAAGGTTGAAATAAATGTTTGATTTCTTATTAATGACACATAACCTAGAAGGTAAAGGAGAAGAAAAGGAAACTGTAATTTTTTTTAATGTATTTGGTGGTGATGGTTTAATTTATATTATAGATTAATGTTTAGTGATGAAGAGGAATAAAAAATTTGATAATAAATAGCAAAGTTTAAGAAGTGAAGATGAAAGAAAATGTTACGATTTTTGATTCGAAACTAACAAAAGTCGATATAGAGAAATTCATAATGAATCAGTGATTAGTTTGGTAGGAACACAAGGAGAATCGTGTCAAACTCACGAATTTGTTATAAAACATGAGAATTAGATTGAAAAAGACGTTTTAATCTCTAAAAGTATTAATCTTGAAAATGTAGGAAACGTCAAAAATGACATCTGTAAGTTGTGTTGCCTATATTCGATGTTTGTAAATGAACCCAACAAAAAGTTATTGCAACAACTGGATAGTTTATTATATAAAAATCATTTAAATTTGAGTTTTTAAAAATCAACGTCTGTTGAGTAAACATACTGTATAAGGTTATCCAACTCCCAATGAATAATCGTTTTGACAGGTAGAATAAGTGGCGCCATCTACCAAATGGTACAACAAAGTACATAAAAATTAATTTTAATCATTTTTAATGATATTATTCATTAAAAACGATACAAAGAGTACAAATCAATAAATAAAATTGTATAATTTGCAACTAGAAACCAATTTTTAAGTAATTTTTCACACAAATCAAGCGAGTTAGGTTAATTAAAAATAATCGAATTCTTACCTTTTTCTTTACAAATCCGGATATAAAATTACTACAAACACACAATAACGAACAGATTGTTGCTGATTTTAATTATTCAAATGAATTAAGCAAGTTTTTTAACTAATTATTTAAAGAAAAGTTTTCATCGTATTGACAGCTAAAAGTGGCGCCATCTATGAATGATGCAACGAAATACATAAAATTAATTTAAATCATTAATAATCAATATTTTTTATCAAAAATAACATGATGCTATTGATAATAGTACGATTTGCATGTAAAAGCAGATTTTTAAACAATTCTTTTCAAAAAGCAAATTGCGAATTAGGTTAAATTTAACAACTAATAATGATCGTATTCTCACCTTTATCTTAATCGGTACGAGTAAAAAATTACTAAAAACTCACAATAAACACAACATTCTTATTGATTTCTACTCCCAAAGTAATTAACCACCGATTTTTAGCCGATATTTTAAACAAAAAAAATTTGACAGCTCGATAACTTCAAGAAGCGCCATCTATGAATCAAATCCCCTCTTTGTAACCGTAAAGATTTCTTTATCTTATTAATAAATAAATATTCATTTTTAAATAAATCAAACTGATAAATCCGGATATAAAATTACTACAAATACACAATAACGAACACATTGTTGTTGATTTTAATTATTCGAATAAATTAAGCAACTTTTTTAACTAATTATTTAAAGAAAAATGTTCACAAAGTAATCGGTTTGACAGCAAAAAGTGGCACCATCTATGAAAGATGCAACGAAGTACATAAAAATTAATTTAAATCATTATTAATCGATATTTTTTATTAAAAATAACATAACGTTATTAATAATAGTACGATTTGCATGTAAACGCACATTTTTAAACAATTCTTTTCAAAAATCAAGTTGCGAATTAGGTTAAAATTAATAACTAATTATGATCGTATTCTCACCTTTATCTTAATCAATGCGAGTATAAAATTACTACAAACACAACATTCTTATTGGTTTTTACTCCCAAATTAATTAACCGGTATTTTAAACTAAAAAAATTACTCTGACAGCTCGATTACTTAAAAGTGCGCCATCTATGAATCAAATCCCCTTTTAGTAATCTTAAAGATTTCTTTATCTTATTATTAAATAAATTAAACAGATAAACATTCAAATTCTTTCAACATCATTTCTTTTTGAACCGAAACATCAAGCATTTTTAAAGTACTCTTAATAAATTCAAGTTGTCCTTTAAAATCATCGGGTTTTAATTGACTCTTTTTATTCCGATTTGATCGTTTATACATATCCGAATAAATCGTTTGAATCGAATCTTTAACATTAACAATATCCGCGTAAATTAATCCTGTATTTTTTCGAATTGTTTCTAACACTTGTTCCCATTTTAAAACATTTCGATTTGCTTTTATGTAACGTTCCTCTAAAGTTTTATATTTTCCTTCTAAACCAATTAATTTCGCAGATTTATCACCTAACAATGTTTTCATTTCATCTTTAAGATCTTCTAATTTACGCAAGTTTTTATCATGACGTGCAAATAAAAGATTTCTTCCATACATTAAGTTTTTGTAGTCGTTTAATAAATCATCGATGCTTTTAATATCTTTGTGGTTTTCAACAACTGAGTTTAAATAATTTTCGTAAATTAGCATGTTTTTTAGTTTTTCCCTCATTAAATTTTTGATTCTGTTCATTTCTTGTTTATCTTTAGTTAGTTTTTGTATCGCTTTTTCGTTTATTTCGCGCAATTTTGATTCGATTGCTATTTTTTGTTGGGATCTTTCTCGTTTTTCATAGTTTTCTTTAATAAACTAAAATATTAAACAAATTTAAATTGTATAAAAGTAATGGTGATTAATTTACTTCGTCGAAAGATATAAAAGACGATTTTAAATTATTAGCTTTTTCCTGCAATTCTTTCATTTGCTTGTCAAATTCGTTGTGAAATTCCGCGTATTTTTCTCTTCTTAATCGCAATTTTTCTTCGCTATTCGTCAATATTCTTTGGGATTTTATTAAATCTAATGCAACACTGTCTCGGGCTTTATCGAAATCCAATGGTTTTGTCCTAAATTAAAATAATTTAGTTTTAATTTAATTCAATAAGGTTACTTGCAATCTTCTTTGTTCTCTTTCAATCATTTTTGAGGTCAAATACAATCCAACTCCATTCTCTGGGTCAATTTTAGGAAAAATTAAATCTTCATACATTTTTGGTACATTTTTTGAGGTGAGGTCCATTTTTTTAAAATTTTCTTGAATTTAACAGATTGGAGATTATTAATTACGTAAAGTTTACGAATTTATTGATCAAGCTTCAAACATTATTGATTTATTTTTAATTTCGAAGAAAATACCGAAAATGATGGTTGTTGCTGTTAAGGCCATCTATGAGGAATCAACGCAACTAATGAATTATTTGTTAATGTAATCTGCCAAATAAGATATGTCAAAAAATAATGGTTATAATTAATGGTGAAAATAGCATAGAACCCGTACGAAACAATCTAAAGGAGGTTATTGATTTATGAGGGTGCCATAAATGCGCCGTTAATAAAATTGAATTATTAGCAAGAAAATCAAACGAGTTAGATTAATTAATAATAATCGAATTCTTACCTTTATTTTTACCAATCCGTATATAAAATTACTACAAACACACGACAAAGAACACATTCTTATTGATTTTCATTACCCAAAGAAATTAAGCACGATTTTTAACCAATTTATCCATAACAAATGTTTTCTAAGCATTCGTTTTATGACAGCTAGAATTAAGTGGCGCCATCTACCAATGGTACAACGAAGTATATAAAAATTAATTTAAATAATTTTTAATAATATTTTTGATTAAAACCGCCACTTCGAACATAAATTTATCAATAAAATTGTACAATTTACAACTAGAAACATATTTTGAAGAATAATAAAAATCAAACCGCGAGTTAGGTTAAAATCGTTAATAACAACAAAATTCTTACCATATCTTTGCTAATCTGAGTGTAAAATGACAACAAACATACAACAAAGAACACATTCTTAGCGATTTTCATTATCCAAATACATTAAGCACGATTTTTAACCAATATTTTCAATAAAAAATGTTTCACTAAATACTCGTTTTGACAGCTAGAATTAAGTGGCGCCATCTATCAATAGTACAACGAAGTACATAAAAATTAATTTAAATCATTTTTAATCATATTCTTGATTAAAACCGCCACTTCAAGTATCCCTTTATAAATAATATTGTATAATTTACAATTAGAAACATATTTTTAAGAATAATAAAAGTCTTGGATTTTAACCTTTATGACCTTTATTATACCATTTAAAAGATTGGAGATTATTAACGGATTGATTAAATAAATTAAGTTTACGAATTTATTGATCAAGCTTAAAACATTATTGATTTATTTTTAATTTCAAACAAAAATACTGAAAATGAGGGTTGTTGTTGTTGTTAGTGCCATCTATGAGGAATTAGCGCAACTAATTATTTGTCAATGTAATCTGTCAAATAAAATATGTCAAAAAATAATGGTTATTAATTATGCGTTTTTGGATGGTGAAAAATAGCATTGAACGCGTACGAAGCGATCTAAAGGAGGTTATTGATTTATGAGGGTGATATGCTAAATGCGCCCTTAATAATTATTTTTATATCGATAATAACAATTTCGCGAATAAGTACTGAAGTGATTGAGTATTATTGGAGGGATTATATCGGGGAAATCCCCAAAGACGCCGTCGAAGCATCTCCTGGATTATACATTGGTCAAATTCCTTATAATGGTTTATTACCAGGCACAATTTATCCGCTTAAACAAGTCGCTGTAAGTTCAGGTGATGGGCATAAAATTGAGTCTAAAGATGGTGTAAAGGTAAAAATGATTAATAATGCGCGAATATTTGCTTAATTATAAACGTTCTTTTAGATTTTATGTTGTGAAAAGAACAATGAGAAGAAATTTAAATGGGATTACGTAAACATAAAGAATTTAACACCTCAAAAGGTGATGCAGTTGGTGAGGGGCGGTTGGGAGAACGGATATCGTCTTTACATAGGAAAGATTTTCCATGAAGGTGATTGGAAAATAGGGAAAATTTTTCCCCCTGGTTCTGGATTGCAGGGTTTAAGAATTTGGTACAATAATGGCCCAGAATATGTCTCCTTAGATTTTCAAGTACTCCTTTATGAAGATTATTCCCCCATTAACAAAACAAAGCGACTTAATAAGACTAATAATATCACATATGGAGCGGAACCTTAAATATTTTTTTATTTTTGTAGGGCTGTGATATGTAAAGATTAATAAAAAAGGATTTTTAAACACTTCAAATTATGAATATGTCGTTGAAGTTGCCTATCCTAAACTTTTTCTGAAAAAAAATATGAAATCATTCATAAAAATAGAAATTTGGAGCCCTAAATGTTTCAACATAATTTTATCTGTATTTCTGAACGAAATGGATCAATATTTTTCCCTTCCCCGACTAACATTCACCGTATGTTTGCGTTCGTTACAAACAAATCCACATTTTCGCCCACGAAAACGTTTAAACGCATGCGCCAAAGGTAAACAAAAGTTTCTTACCTGTATAACGTTACAGTTAGTATTATAACACCTGCACAAAGCAGGTACAGTATTATTAAAAGTTAATACATCGATAAAATTAAATAGAATCAAAACATAAAAGTTAAAAACTTTCTTTTCTAAAAATAAAAGTTAAACGAATTTTAAAGTAATAATAAAAATGGTGTTATTATTTAATAAAAAAAGTGTTAATGATGTTCACGGATTGTTGTTTGATAGTGTATAATGCAAAATTTAGAGGATTACATAGTAGAGATGGAGAATAGAAAAGTTTTAGACAATAGTTCGGTGCCTGAAGAGTTTTGGACTCAGCTCCAACAAAAAGAAAACGATTTGGTGTTGGCTGCGGAATTCGGAAAAGCGCTTCTAGATAAAAACGAGGAGTTACAAAGACAAATTGACGCCAACGAAAAGGAATTTACCAAAAAATTAGAGGTAAAATGATAAATAACGCCGTATTTATTTATGTAATATGACTCATTTCGTTTTTTTTTGGTTTGTTATTGATGCTTTAAGTAATAAGTAATAACCGCCGAATAGGTAATAACGCCTTTCACTTTATTGGTTTAAAACCGATCGATTTCTGGTGGTAATATCTATTTAAGAAAATCTATATTTATACTACAATAAAAAATTCACCTGTATTACACGTTTATCTTTTATGTACATACATAGATAAATTGGGAGATAAATGAATTTGTTAAAACATGATAAAACTAGATAAGAGTCATTCAAATAATTAAAAAAAAATAGATTCGTTAAATAAATTGTCAAATTTGACATTTAAACGTCAAAATTGACATTTTAACCTAAAAGTTTTTTTTTTCATTTTTAATTTCGAAATCGGATCTTATTGTATTGAATCTACTTTCGCGAAATATAAAGATCCTCAGAGGTTGCGCAATTTCCTTCCTGTAATTGTGTTTTAATGGAAACTTCCGTCTTCGAATAGGTAACGAATGGGGAAGGAAATTCGAAGCGCTTTTACGAATTGAATTACGATTTAAAAGAAAAAATGGGTTTATTTGAAGTGTAATAATTTAATAATTAAGATTCGCTTGAAGTTAAAGTAAACGTTAAATTTTTTGGAGATAAGTCAATTAAAAATGGGAGATTAGATAATTTGTTATAACTGTGTTTAAATGTTTTGGTGCCGCAATAAAACATTTATTGATCTTCAATAAAGAATAAATTATTCTCTATTTAATTTTGAATAAGTATTATTTGAAACATTTTTTGATTAAAACAATAATTATTAAGATAACCTAAAAAAAACTAGTTTTTATATCAACGAACAGCGACATCTAGTGAGAATTTAAAAAAATCTTATTAAGAAAAAATGTTCTCCAAGTAATTCTGAATAAGTATTGTTTGAAACATTTTTTGATTAAAACAATAATTATTGATATAACCTAAAAAAACAGCTTTTATATCAAAGCAGAGCGACACCTAACGGGAATTCTAAAAAAACTTATTAAGAAAAATTGTTCTCCATGTAAATTTGAATAAGTATTGTTTGAAAGATTTCTTGATTAAAATAATAATTATTAACATAACCTAAAAAACTAGTTTTTATATCAAAGCACAGTGACACCTAACGGGAATTTAAAAAAATCTTATTAAGAAAAAATGTTCTCCAAGTAATTCTGAATAAGTATTGTTTGAAACAATTTTTGATTAAAACAATAATTATTGATATAACCTAAAAAAAGAGCTTCTATATCAACGCACAGCGACATCTTACGGGAATTCTAAAAAATCTTATTAAGAAAAATTGTTCTCCATCTAAATCTGAATAAGTATTGTTTGAAACATTTTTTGATTAAAACAATAATTATTGATATAACCTAAAAAAACAGCTTTTATATCAAAGCAGAGCGACACCTAACGGGAATTCTAAAAAAACTTATTAAGAAAAATTGTTCTCCATGTAATTCTGAATAAGTATTGTTTGAAACATTTTTTGATCAAAACAATAATTATTAACATAACCTAAAAAACAGCTTCTATATCAGCGCACAGCGACATCTAACGGGAATTCTAAAAAAATTTATTACGAAAAATTGTTCTCCATCTAAATCTAAATAAGTATTGTTTGAAACATTTTTTGATTAAAACAATAATTATTGATATAACCTAAAAAAACAGCTTTTATATCAAAGCAGAGCGACATCTAACGGGAATTCTAAAAAATCTTATTAAGAAAAATTGTTCTCCATGTAATTCTGAATAAGTATTGTTTGAAACATTTTTTGATTAAAACAATAATTATTGATATAACCTAAAAAAAACTAGTTTTTATATCAACGCAGAGCGACATCTAGTGAGAATTTAAAAAAATCTTATTAAGAAAAAATGTTCTCCAAGTAATTCTGAATAAGTATTGTTTGAAACATTTTTTGATTAAAACAATAATTATTGATATAACCTAAAAAAACAGCTCTTATATCAACGCAGAGCGACATCTAACGAATTCCAAAAAAACTTATTAAGAAAAATTGTTCTCCATGTAATTCTGAATAAGTATTGTTTGAAACATTTTTTGATTAAAACAATAATTATTAACATAACCTAAAAATTTTGCTTTTACATCAAGCATTAGCGGCCCCTAGGGAGAATTTAAAAAAATCTTATTAAGAAAAAATATTCTGCAAGTAATTCTGAATAAGTATTGTTTGAAACATTTTTTGATTAAAACAATAATTATTAACATAACCTAAAAAAAACAGCTTTTGTATCAAAGCACAGCGACACCTAGCGGGAATTAAAAAAAATCTTATTAAGGAAAACTGTTCTCCAAGTAATTCTGAATAAGTATTGTTTGAAACATTTTCTAATCAGAGATATTTTCCAACAATAGAAATTGATTCTGTGTAATATGAGTTTCCTATATATCCATAAAAAGTTGAGTGTAGACCACTCCATTTAATTATATTACAACTTATTGTTATGTAAGGATCAGATTTTATCTTTAAACGTTTTAGAGTACGTCACAATACTTTTTTCACAACCTTCTTCATAAATTAAAAAAAAAGTAAGGTTAAATATTAAAATATGGAAATGTTTGAAATCGTTTTAACCTTCAACATTTTTTTTTGTTAATCTCATCGTATTTCTTTTCTTGTTTTCTTTATTTTTCTAAATAACCATAAACTATTTTGTTATTATTGGAATTCCCCCCCAAAAAAAAAAAAAATAAAATTAAAATCGTTAAGCTAACAAAGCAATTCTGGTTACCTTGGTTATAAGAAACGCATTGTATAGTTACTCGCTTTCTCGGGGCCCAGATTTCAAAACGACCACCAAGAGATCGTTTACGCAATCCCATAGAATATGACTCAAAACCAACAACGAACGACTTAAACGTAACATAAAATAGATTCACTTTTTAATTTTTTTCAAATCTTTTATTATTGTTAAACAAACAACAATTATAAAGAAAGTTTATTATTAACTTCTTTTAATGAATATAACTAACTGTCAAACAACTGTCAAAAGTACGTTACTAACCATTACCAATTACTTAACACTAAAAATAACTGTATTGATTAAAACTCCCTAATTTAACAACAATTTTATTATTATTGTTTTTTTTTTTTTCGTTTTCTTTTTTCAACGTGACTCAAACAAAATTTCTCTTTAACTTTTTTTTTGTTTTTGAAGAGATGTGAGAATCGCATAAAAATAAACGTGATCCTTTTATAAATCCTGTTACTTAGTATGTGGATGTTGTTATGTGATGAATCATCTATTGATTCTGACGATAATGTTTATGTGTCATTATTTATTGAGGCTTCCCACCAAAATTATTATTATTATCTGATAAGCTTAATTAATGTTGTAAGTTCAAAAATGAAACAATTAATAAAATCACTCGTATAATTAAACAAGTTCATTACAAAAAAGCATCACAATCTAATTTATTTATAATCAAAAAGGGAATTTCACTCAGTACTTAGTACGGTTTTGAAACCTTATCGTTTCAAAAGCAGCACTAGTTACATCCAAGTTAGTCCTCCTTTCAACTTCTCTTAAATCAACCGGAATCTTTTTTATCCTTCGGCCTTCCATCGTAGGCCTCGCGTTTATTTGCAACTCAATTAATCTTTCAACTAAATGTCTCGGAGGTTCGATCCTTTTAAATTCAACGTATTCCATATTCTTTTTCTCCACAATGTCGGAGTTAATATTTAATCGGGCCGGAATTTCGTGCATATCAATAGGCCAACTAATCGTTTTATACAACTCTTTATTTTTAGCTTCGATATATCGTTTCTTAATCCCCGCGTATTTCTTATATAAAGGGTGGAGTTTTAAATCTGTCATTTGTAATAATCGTATTTCGGTACTTTCATATTTTCCCAAAGGATCTTCGTTTACTGTTTCTTTTATGCTCGGATCGGCTTCGATTTTTCGTAGTTGTAATTCTTCTTCGGTCGGTTCGCGATCGGTTTCTTGTTGTAGTATATCTTTTTGAATCAAAAAAGCTTCACCACAAGTCTGATACGCTTGTCCACCGAATTGTGATAAATCCAAGCATTCATCGTCGTATTTCGGACGGTTTTTACAACAACCTGGGGGTGGTAAAGGTTTCTTTTTTTTACCTTCATCTTCGTTGGTACCAAAAAGACGTTTCCAAATACTTTTTTTCTTCACTGGTTTTGGGCACAAATTCGGGCTGGGACATGGATCAATCGGCTTTTCGTATTTTTGCTTCGAAAAGAAACGTTTCTGTTGCTGGATGATATTGTCGATGGATTTCATACAAAATGCGTTTTGGGTCGTTAATGTTATAAGATTCGGTTGATATTTTGGTTTGAAATAGAAGTGTGGATGGAGTTTTCTTGAGATTAAAAATAAAGCCATTTTTTTGGTGTGAATTACGAATTTTGATGAGCACAAAAAAATTACCCACTCTGACTTGATTGTTAAAATGTCACTTTTAGATGTCAATTAACTTGATTTTTATTTTTTTTTATTTATTATTGTTTTATTATACTTCCCAATGACTCTCAAAACTCTTTGTCATTACAACAACACCCAATTGGACAAAAAGTAACTTACATTTACTCCTAATACCTTAAAAATAAAGAGGAAATGACCCCCAATGGCTTTCAAACCTTGCAGTTATTAAGCACTTTTATATTTCACAACTCAATAACTCCCAAAGAATCTTAAGATTGTTCAATAACACCCAATTGACTAACATTTACTCCTAATGCCTCTCAAAATTCACTCATATTTACTCCAAATGTTTCAAGTTGATTAAATAATTAAAAAAATAAATAAATAAATAATTTTTGTAGGTCATAACCTTAGGTTAATGTTAAGTAGCACGTCCATCGTGTGGAACGTGTGAATATTTCAGTGAGTTTCTATTGAAAACTTAATGAGAATAATGAGTTAACTGTATGGTTGCATTTTAAACCCATTTAAATAAAAAAAAACTTGTATTGTTAAATAGCAAATTTTACACAACACATCTATTGAGTCAATTATCTTATTGATCCATCTGGGGTTCAAATCCGGCTAGAATTTGTAATCGTTGAAGCAATCTGAGTTGCTTCATAACAAATAAAAGTGGAAATTTTGCTTTCTCAAATAAAACTAAGAAAATAGTTTAATAAATGTGTAAATAGATGCAAATATTACGAGTTTAAATTTTTTTTAAATTGTTTAAAAGTCTTTAAACGTTTCACTTTCGCTTTTGCGACCAACGTAACGACGTTTTCTAATTTGCACATAACAAAAATGATCTCAAAACGAAAATTATTAATTAATCTAAACACAAGTAATTTGTTTACTTTTGGTTTTTATATTTTTCGAAATAAAAACAAAGAAAATTGGAGACAAAGCGGGACTTTTAGTTGTTAGTTAAATGACGTTCTGCCCTTATTGTTCTTTTATGTTTGGAGATTTGTTTAGAATCAAAGGAAGTATACTTGAGAAACCGTGCGTTTCTTTTCGGTTTATGCTCGTTTTAACATGTAGGTTAAACTAAACTACTCGCAGAGAAATCTTGAGATGTTATTTGTAAAAGAATTTGTAATAATAAATTTCTAATATGTAATCGAAATAGATTAATTAATTGAAAAGGCTTCTGTTTATAGCTATACATTAAATTTTGATATATTTGTCAACTTCATAAAAAATCCTTTAAAATGAGTCCAAACTCGACATATTTAACTTTAATATTAATGGAGATACAATCACTTCCGGTTTGAAACGTCAATTTTGACATATTTGTCATCTTCATTAAAAAACCTTTAAAATGAGTCCAAACTCGACATATTTAACTTTAATATTAATGGAGATACAATCACTTCCGGTTTGAAACGTCAATTTTGACATATTTGTCATCTTCATTAAAAAACCTTTAAAATGAGTCCAAACATGACGCACTTATCTCAAAAAACAAAAAAGGTAGAATAAAAAACATTAAACCCGAAGTTAGCAACAAATAAATATTAATACCAACCTTAATTTTTGATTTTTTTTATTATATTTTTGTTTTTGTGACAAATTTTAACACATTTTATAAAAATTAAGAATATGTCAAAATAACATTGACATTTCAAACCGGAAGTTGCTTATATCTCGAGTAATATCGGAGTTAAACGTATCATGTTTGGGCTCATTTTAAAGGATTTTTCATCACGATTACGAATATGTCAAAATTGAGATTGACATTTCTAACCGGAAGTTGACCATAACTTCATTAATATTGAAGATGTTAATGTCAACTTTAATTTTATTGTTATATTTGTTATCTTTATAAAATAACCTTTAAAATGAGTCCAAACATGACGAACTTATCTCAAAAAACAAAAAAGTTAGAATAAAAAACATTAAACCCGAAGTTAGCAACAAATAAATTTAATATTAATACCAACCTTAATTTTTGTTTTTTTTTTATTATATTTTTGTTTTTGTGACAAATTTTAACACATTTTATAAAAATTAAGAATATATCAAAATGACATTGACAGTTCAAACCGGAAGTTGCTTATATCTCGAGTAATATTGGAATTAAACGTATCATGTTTGGACTCATTTTAAAGGATTTTTCATGACGATTACGAATATGTCAAAATTGACGTTGACATTTTTAACCGGAAGTTGACCATAACTTCATTAATATTGAAGATGTTAATGTCAACTTTAATTTTATTGTTATATTTGTAATCTTTATAAAATAACCTTTAAAATGAGTCCAAACATGACGAACTTATCTCAAAAAACAAAAAAGTTAGAATAAAAAATATTAAACCCGAAGTTAGCAACAAATAAATATTAATACCAGCCTTAATTTTTATTTTTTCTATTATATTTTTGTATTTGTGACAAATTTTAACACATTTTATAAAAATTAAGACTATATGAAAATAACATTGACATTTAAAACCGGAAGTTGCTTATATCTCGAGTAATATTGGAATTAAACGTATCATGTTTGGACTCATTTTAAAGGATTTTTCATGACGATTACGAATATGTCAAAATTGACGTTGACATTTTTAACCGGAAGTTGACCATAACTTCATTAATATTGAAGATGTTAATGTCAACTTTAATTTTATTGTTATATTTGTAATCTTTATAAAATAACCTTTAAAATGAGTCCAAACATGACGAACTTATCTCAAAAAACAAAAAAGTTAGAATAAAAAACATTAAACCCGAAGTAACCAACAATGAAGATAGCAATTTAATTTTTAAATATTAATACCAACCTTAATTTTTGATTTTTTTTTATTATATTTTTGTTTTTGTGACAAATTTTAACACATTTTATAAAAATTAAGAATATATCAAAATGACATTGACATTTCAAACCGGAAGTTGCTTATATCTCGAGTAATATTGGAATTAAACGTATCATGTTTGGACTCATTTTAAAGGATTTTTCACGACGATTACAAATATATCAAAATTGACGTTGACATTCCTAACCGGAAGTTGACCATAACTTTATTACTATTGTAGATAAATATGCCGTGTTTGTACTCATTTTAAAGCATTTTTAATGAAGATTACAAATATGTCAAAATTGAGGTTGACATTTTAAACTTGAAGTTAGTTATCATATAAGAAGTTTTCCACTTTTCCACTTTTCCGCATTTTCTTTTTATTTTTAACACGGTTTTTGGGTCAAAATAGACAGGAACTAAGTATGAAAGCCATTGGGAGTCATTGCTTCTCTATTTTTAAGGTATTAGGAGTAAATGTTAGTCAGTTTTTGTACATTTGGGTGTTAGTGTACTTAAAAACTTAATGTTGGAGTCATTAGGAAGTATTAGAATGTGTTGAAAAGTATTAAGCGTCTCTTAAAACTAATAGTATTGATGCTAATTGCTTGTTATTAATAATAAGTGATTTTGGAAACTCCTGCGTCTCGTTTTATGGTTCAATTTGATTCTTTATTCCTTAGATACCATTTATATCCTTTGTACACACCATAAGCCTAACTAAAAATCGATTAAGTTAATAATATCTGATATTACTTACCAATTTTTGCATCCTACTCTAAACAATACTACTGATTGTAGCGCTTAATTATTCTAACTTTATTTTTCTTCGTTTACTTAATCCGATTAATAATTGAGTAATAAATGAAATAAGTCGTAGTGTTTTGACCTTCGCGAGGTTCGTTTAACTCCTTCTCAGTACCATTACTATTTCCTTCGCGCAAGGAAACCGTCCAAGTGAAACACACACAACTTCGAAACGATCTCGAAGACCGAGGCTGCGGAACCGAACTCACTGACTCATTTTGTGTTTGACCTTTTCGAAAAGAAAAGTGTTAATAAAATGTAGATGGTGGCCTTAAAAGTAACGTTTAAAACCGATTTAGTTCGTTTTGATTTATTTTCTAGTTCTTTAAAAACTTTAATTTTCATTTGCGTCAAGAAAACGTAAAAGCCGGTTTTATTAACTGTGTAATTGGTGTTAATAAAACACAAAGGCGTCAAACGAATTTTTACAGCTACTAACACAAGATTTTTACAGTTTTATTAAAAACCGTTATGGAACATGCGTTTTTCTTAACGGGTTTTCTATTAAAAGGAAATTAACTTCTCAATATTGTTGTTTATAATTAATTTTGTTGGAAAAGTTTTTCACACTGCTTTCTAAACGATACAATTCCTTTTTTTATAAGATTTATATTTTTCCTACTTCTTTTCAACTTAATAATTAACTTCCTCGACGTGTGAAGATCATTTTTTATCCCTCTCCTATGTTGTAACCAATTCTAAGTATTACAACTTAATTGTGTAATCGCAATTTTTTAAAAGAATGCAACAAAAACGTCATCAGCGTCGATAAGAAAATGTTACGACTAAACCAACGTTAATTATCTTTTAAAAACGATTTTTTTTCCTTTAATTTATAGATTATAGAACAAGATAGGCACCTTTTAAAGCGAAAATTAGCCTCGATCGAATCCGAATGCGAGCTCCGCGTTTTGGAGTTACAAAACGACGTGAAAGAGCTCCAAGAGAAACTCCTCGACAAAGAAACCTCCCTAAAACAAACCGAAAGAGATAAAAGTAGCCTCCTCGATGATTTGCAGCGTCAAAACGCGCGGCTATCCCAAGAATTAAAACAATACGCTTCAAACGAAACTCAACTACTCCACCAATTAGATGAGATTAGGCGCCAAAGTTCGGGGCAAAAAAAGAATTTGCAAGAATACGCAACAACGATAAACAGTTTAAAAGATGAAATCGATATGGTGACGGAGAAACGAGACGATTTAGAGCGGCGATTGCGATTATTAGCCGGGGAAAGGGAGGAACTCACGATAAACTTAGAAGAAGCAAGCGATCGAATAATGCAGTTAGAAAGGCACGCGAGAGAACAAGATTATCGTTACCAACAGTCAATTAAAGAATATTCATTACCCAACGAAAAGTTATCCATCGAAGATCGAATGAGCGAGGGAAAATTTGACCAACGATCAATTTTAGCCGAAATGGATGTAACAGAACCCAATCTAAGCCAAGAATGCATGTCGATTTACCGCCAAATGCGCTCTTTATGCCAACAATTAAAATCGCACAACGATGACGACGACAGCGGGTTACATTCCGATTGCTCAACCATCTCAATGGAAGAAAATCAACATTTTTCAACCGGGTTATTAACAGAAGTCGCCCAACAATTAGTCGGATTAGTTTTAGATTCAGACATCGTCAATTTGATCGAACGAATCGAGCGATATCGGAGGGATTTGCAAGAAAGGGACATCGAATTACAAAGAAAAAGCGATATTATACGAGAATTAACATCGAGGGTGAGATAAATTTAACCCAAATTCTTTTTAATTTTGACTTAATTAAAACAAATTTAGGTTTCCGTTTGTGAAGTTGAATTACAAGCAGCTTTAGAAGAGCGCGATCGTGCAAGAAATGACGTCAATAACACCTCAACAGCGCAAGATGAAATCGTAGTCAAAGCGAGAGAAATAAGGGATCAAGCTGTAACGAGGAGGAATAAAGCTGAGGTGGAATTGGCGAAAACACGCGTTGAATTAATGCAGGCGAATAGTCAATTATTAGAGGCGATACAACAAAAAGTTGAGTTGAGTCAACAATTAGAGCAGTGGCAGGTAAATAAGTACTATCTTTTTTAATAATAATTATTAATAATGAATTCTTTTAGATGGATATGCAAGAATTATTAGATGAGCAATTAAAAAATAAATTAACATCCCAAGAAATTAAAATGAAAAATTCTCAAAATCAACAACAACCCGTCGCCCCAACGAGAAGGAAATTGTTGGGGTTCTTTCAGAGATAAAAAAGGATGAAAAATCCTTCGAAACGATCATCTAAGTCAAATTATTTTGTACATAATTTTTAAATTATTTCCTCACAATGTTTAAAGAGTGTTACTATTTAATTTATCTTTTAGTAAATTTGTAATTTTAATCCCAAAAATCTCCTTGTTAAACGTTTTATACGATAACTTTAAAATGAAGAAGTGTCCGTCCAAAAAAAAGGATATGTTACCGGAGTTTTATCTAAAAAAAAAAAGAATTTAATAAATTAAAACTATTTTCGAGTTAATAATTTAATTTACTTACCTTTATAATTAAATAAATCCAATAAATAAAAAATTAACCTAAAAAAAAAATTTTTTTGAGGTTAAATACAAAAAAATAAACAAGTCCACGCGACATCTTACGGGATTTCAAGAAACCATTTTATTTCTATTTTTAGATTAATTTTTTTAATTTTACTTACTTTTCGTTATAATAATAAATAACTCACCAAAAAATCACTTTAAATCACAAATTTTACATAAAAAGTTATGAAATATACTTACAAAATTTGAGGACGCTTATTTTTAGCCTTCTTAGGTTATGAAAACTTTTTATAACATTCGTTATCAAATTCTTTTCTTCAATCACTTCTAGGACACCCACAAGTATTTTAATCACTGATTATAACACCAAAGAAGCGAATTAAGCCGAAAAATCGAAAAAATTAAACGAGGCTAAAACATTCGGTATAAACAACTTTTTAAAACTGAATTAGCGCCATCTAACAACGACACGTCGATTTTGTAGAAACAGATTTTTGTTTTAATTATTGTATTAAAGAGTTTAATTCGAATTTAAACTGATAAAAAGAAATTAATTGATTTAAATTAAATTTTTGAATAATTAAATTGATATTTAACAGTTTAGCAAAAAAATTCGCATTTTTTTTTAAAACAATGCGTTAAAGCACCATCTATCCACACAGAAATTAATTTTGTACTTCGCACCTTTGATAATATAATAATTAATATAAATTTACCTTAAAATCCATTCCGGGTTATTTTAACAGCTTATTAAACCATTTTAATGTTGATTATAACACGAAAGAATCAAAAAAACTTCCTAAAAAGATCGGGGCCAATCCAAGAAAAACGGTGACTTGAAGCGCCATCTATCGATGGAGGAATGAATTTTGTACCTATAATTTAATTATTTATTTATATTTTTTTAATTAATTAATTTAATGTAATTATTAATACAAAAACTATTAAACCATAAATTGATTAATAAAATGATAATTAGTAAAAATTAAATTATTACTTACCAAATTTTGACACAAAAATTTTTTAGGTTATAACTTTTATTTCGAAGTTTTTATAATTTTTAAAACCACTATCAACACGAATTTTTCTCTAAATTACTTTTGAGACACCCAAAATCATTTTAATCACTAATTGGAACATGAACGAAACGAATTAAACAGAAAAAATCAAATAAGAAATAGTCCTCCATCTATTAGAGGGATGGTGAACTATAATTAAAAAAATAATTTAGTTAATGTTTAAAATATAATATTTTTATAATTATCTATAAATACGTTTTAATTTCTCATTTATTTAATGTTTTAGTTTAATTATTTATGATAATTAAGGTCCTATCGGAGGTGGAGGTACAAAATTTGGATCATCCGTATAACATTCTTTTTCCCAATCTCCAGGTATATATTCTTGTAATAAATCCAAAAATTTATCAAATCGACACGATTTTGCACAACCTGGAATCGTTTTCATTTGAAAAACATCATTAACTGACTTTCGATAATAAACCTAAAACCAACAATTCAATGCTTTTTATAGTCCAAAATCATTTCTTACCTCAATATAATACTGATTATCGACTCTATCAACGTATGTTTCAATTAAAATTGTTGCTGCATAATCAGGAACATGTTGTTCGCCTTCAAAAAGATTCAAAGCACTCAAAATGTTTGCAATGGTCGCATCGTGCCCACCGTATAAGTACATATTAACATCTTTGCTTGATGTTGACTCGGTTTCTTTATAATTTATTTTTGATTTGATGTTTTCGATGATTCTTTTTAATAATAATCCAGCTTTTAATCGAATTAATTTTTTGTTGTACGTGCGGAGATAAAAGCTGAAAGCGGTGGGTTCGTACATTTTTTGTGGATAATAATCTACGGTCCATTCTGGTAACGTTAAATTAAATGATTCCTAAAAATAAATGTTTATAAAAACTTTTAGGTTAAGATAATGTCGATAAAATAGATTTCTTATCGATCAAATCTGTCAAAGTATTTTTTTCAATATAAATGATGATTAATTTAGTTTATTAACTTACTTCTGCTTTTAAAGTGGTAAAAACGTCTTGTAAATCGTCGAAATTTTTTATATCTTTCCCCGTTGATTTTGAAACGTACTCAAAAAGATTTTTATTTTTCTTGTAAATTTCTTGAATTGGTTCGCTTTCGATTACTTTTTTTAGCTCAATTTCGTATTGAGCGCAAGGTACCCTTACTAATAATAACTAAAAGAATGATTAGATTAATTAATTAAATTTGTTTTAGAATCACCTTGTCTTCGTTTAATGCTTCATATCGAACTGGAATAGGCTGCCAATTAATGGGACCCCACTTTTGGGTGTCTCGAGGTTCCCACAACCCGGCGTTAATTAATTGTACGCTTGATAATGTTCTATCAGAATCTGTGGATTGAGATTTATAAAGATTTGGGTAATAAAATTTACTTAGGAAGGTTTTGTAACGATTTCTTAAATCTTTTCCTAAGTTGTATAGATCTAATTTTCCTTCCTTAAAGAAAAATTTTTTTATTAGGGTTATGTAAGATTATTAAAGTTACATTGGTTAAGTGCCCCCATCCGATTGGGGAAAAAGAATAATTTAAATAAGGATCGTTTGGGTATGTATCAACAGGAGTTCTTGCACCATGCCTACAAATCTATAAAGTAGTTTTTAAAAAAGTACTTTTAATTAATTACTTACTTACAACGTTCGTTAATAATAATTGTTTTGTATTTGCAGTTGATCTGGCACTGGCTCCATAAATGATTAAACCCAGGAAACTTAACCCAAAACCCAACATTGTATAAACAACGACCTGATCCTTTTTAGTCTAAGTAAAGAATATTTTGAAATAATATTAATGTGGTATAAAGTGTAAAAACCCGATTACATCATGGTTGTTTTAAAAAAAAAACCTTGGTTAAGTGAGTTATCCTTGAAATGCAAAGAATTCTTTTAAATACTTACCTTTATAACATCAGGTTTTAGTAATAACAAACACTCAGATAACGTCATTAATGTGTGTTAAGGAATAAAACATTTTATTTAATATTCTTGGTTTAGATTAGGAACTAAAATAAAATAAACTTTGATTTTGAACTGTTTTGAAAAACTTATCAATCTTGCAAAAGAACGTTATCTTTGTTTAGAAACATTTTTATTCCGCAATTATGTTTTTAATAATTAATTGGCTAAGATAAAGAATTAATTGGATCAAAACTCACCTTCATTTCTTTAATTAATATTTTTATGATTTTTTTTAAAGAAATAAAGACTCAAAAACATGACCGTGTAGGAGTTTTAAACGTTTGAAAGTCTCGTTTTCGCTGACCTAAACGAAATACAATAGGTAATAATACGTTTAAGTTGTGTAATCATTTTGTAAATAACTCCAATTATTTATTTATTTTTGCACGCGATTAAAAAATTATTCCTGAGTTAAAAGGAATGAACCTGTGCTTTTATAAAATTTCTTAAAATAGCAACAAAACCTCCTGCAATTGTTTTAAAAATAATCCTTGACTCTTCTTCTTCTTAATAGATGTGTGCATCTTCTTGCCGCGCGCTTCTCTCCGAAAGAACACGTGTTGGATTGAAAAAACTCGGCGAGGTCTCGAGCCTCGGGTCTTCGGTAGCCGTAAAAAGGGTTCAACGAGCAACAGGAATATATTTATGTGTATATGAATTACAGCTAGAAATGAGACTTGAACTCGAGATAACACAAAAAAAAATAAATAAAAAGTTTATAAATAAAATGAAATTGATGATTAATGAGAAACGAATAAAAATAGAATGGAGAAAAAGGCTAAAAAGAGATGGAAACAAAACATGTAACAGCTGTGTATTTAATTGTTCTTGGATGCTGCCCGATTTTTTGAGAGATTAAAAAATAACTTCTCAGCATGGGAGTTTTTAAAGGAAGAAGGATGATGTAAAAAGAAGTGGTAAGATTTGTATCTTACTTTTAGTAAATCTCTACTCATTTTGATTTCATCACATTATCTTTAAAGGTTAATAAATAATTAAGTACTTTAAGGTGTAAAAATCTCCATGAACTCCTTATTAATCTGCATCAAACCTTTAAGGTCTCATAAAACCTCCATGAACTCCTTACTAATCTGCATCAAACACTTGAAGTGTAAATAAGTTCTTAACTATGCTTCACATCCTGATAAATGTAGCTTCGATAAAGTATACATCATTTCTGCAAGTTAATTATATCATGTGTGTATCAGAACTGCATGAAGCAGTGCAACTCCACTACGATTATTGATAAATAATAATTTAAAATCATTTCAATTTTCATAAAATCCACAAATTTAAAATTGACATAACAAAAAAAGTGAGGTTATGTTTCGAAAATTTTAATACTTCGATTAATTTTGAGGGTAAAACATCTTCATTGAGCCTAAAATCACTTTAAATGGATAGATTTGGTGTTCAAACACGTATTTTGATCCAACTACACTTAATTTTATGTAAAAATTTAAAATCTTTCAAGGTGTCATAAAATCTTGCTAAACTCCTTATTAAGTCTGTATCAAACCTTTAAAGTCTACAACAAATTTCCAATATGATTATTGATTTAAAATCACCTCAATTTTCATAAAAACCCACAAATTTAAAATTGACATTAAAAAAAAAAAGTGAGGTTATGTTTTCGAAAATGTTATTTCGATTAATTTAGAGGGTAAAACATCTTCGTTGAGCCTAAAATCACTTTAAACGGATAGATTTGGTGTGAAAAACGTATTTTTGGGGTTATTAATCCAATTACACTTAATTTTAAGTAAAAAATTAAATTTTTTTTTGTTATACGAGATACTAAGAGTTATCTCCGCTAGATGGGGCTAAAATCTGTTTAATTTTTTTAATTTAGTTAAGGTTTTTATTTAAAATTAATATAAATTAAAAATCCTTACTCTAATTAAATATTTATAATTAATTTTATCTTTTTTATTAAACAAATTTAATTAATTAATTTAAATTTTTTTATTTAGAAAAAATTAAATTTAAATTACGTCATATGATAAGAAACAAAACACGTCTATGCACGCTTTAACGTTTTCTTAAAGTTTATTTGTGTTTACGTTGTGAGTTAAATATTATTAAAGGCAAAAGTAGTGAAAAATCAAATCTAAATCGATTTTAGATCAGTTACTAAGATTCGGTAAGAACAATTTTATGAGTTAAAATTAATAAAATCAATCGACTTAGTTTCGTTGTCATTTTGGTTAGGTTATGTTTCATTAAATCACTTCTTGGCGCGTATAATCGCTAAGAAATAAATAGATTGGGGGTTAAAGCGTATTTTGATTCTGTTAATTCTTATTTGTGCGTAAGAAATAATAATTTTATTAAGAATATAATAATCGGTGGATTTGAAATGTCAAAATTGTCAAATATGATTAATGTGGGTGATTAATGATAGATGGGGTTAATTTAAGCAAGATTTTTATTAGTAAAATTACCTTGATTCTAAAAATACTTTTTGTGTTTTTAAAAGGCGAGTTCTTATTTTAATGTTTTATTAAAAAATTAAAAAATTTTAAATTGTAATTAAAAAATTGGGGGAATTTAATTAATTTGGGTAAAAAGTATTTTGGTTCAAATGTATTTTTTTTTGTTTGACAGTTTTAATTTGACAATTAATTGAAGTAGAAATGAACGCTGGAGGAAGTCAAATGAAAAATAATAAGGCTCCCGGGCCTGGAGATCTGAATATAGAGCTAATGAAGAATAAAATGGAAGTCCTGGAAATAATATGCAGGATATTTACTAAATGTCTTAGAGGAGATGATCTTTTACTAGATTGGATAAAGTGCCAAATAATCCCTATATACAAGAAAGGAAATAGGAAAACTAGGATAGGAAGGGAAATTAAAGAGGAAGAGGAACAAATACTAGATATTGATAATGGAAGTCAAAATATTACTAATATAAGAGTAGATATTGCTTGTAAAGGAGGATTTACTGTTAGCAAAAGATTATTTATTGTTGGCAAAAGATTATATACAGCTGGCAAAAATGTGGAAACTGGTGGCAAAACACTAGATGTTGCTAGTTAATTCTTATATATTCCTTATATTAAAATAAACACTACATAGTGCTAATGGGAGACAAAATATTGCTAATACAAGATTAGATACTGCTATTTAATACTTGCAAGAGATTAGATATTGGTGACAGTATCTAATTTATAAATGATGTTGATTTTTAGTGTATATTGAGGTATTTGATGTTATTTAGTAAATTTGTATCTCTTAAATGACCCCCTAGAAATATTTTTTGTCACCGCCACCTATAATTTAAGATCAAATAACCTAAAAAACAACTTAACACCATCCCCTAAATTTTTTTTTATTTTTTTAACTACCATTTGACATCATCGTATATATTTTTTATGTATTTTCTTTAAAGCAAAATTCCTAACCTTTCCATTGGTCGCTTGCACGTGGCGAACCAATTTTTTTTAACACCCTCATTTAAATTTTTTTTCCAACTCATCTTTCTTTTTATTTTTTTTTCTCTTCTCTTCAAAGGTAACTCGATCCCCCGGGGCATCGGCACGCACTTGTCTCGGTGACTTAAACAAGGAGCGAAGATGGAGATGGAAACGTTATTATGGTGAGTTTTTAACGCGATAGATTTTTGTATGTTCGTATTAAAAAAAAAACTTTAACTTTTTAAACGCAAAGGCGTGAATAGACGCGCCAGTGACGTATCGGTGGACGGGGTTTTGGAATTTTATTATCCACACGTGTTATTTTTTTTTTTGATTTGATGCGAGATGAAGTTTTTAGGGAGGCTACCTAGTTTAAAAAAAAATATATAAACATTTTGATACATCCAGATGTTTAAAAAAATTAATTCATTTTTTTTTGTTCGCCTCTATACATTAATTAATATACAAAGTTGAAAAAAAGAAATTCAACGATTTTTCATTCATAAAAAAAGGATTTTGCGAACCCGTTATTTACGTTCATACACATGTTGGTGAATTAAAGAAATAAAAACAAGGATGAATCGGCGAAAGTAAAAAATGAAACCAAAAAACTCTTCCCTTTCAGAATGTGACGTAACTTTATACCCCGAGATGATACTCCATCTCGCGTTATTATTATTTGTACAACACGTGCAAGTTATTTTATACATTCATGACTTCTTAGTAATGAAATTCTTCAAAATATTTTTTTTTATTTTAAGTTTATTAAGAATTTTTGAAAATATTTGAATAAAAAAAGTGATTTAATTAGAACCCCCCTCTATATAAAAAGAGGGTCCGCAACCAATGGGATTTAAAAGTTAAATTTGTTGCGGCCAATCAGAAACGAACGAACCCAAACAAAACGTTGTCGTCACGTTGTGCGCGGCCTACTCAAAATAGTCGTATTTAGTCTTAACAGTTGTATCAAAGCCTACTTAAGACTTTTGATCTTAAAGTTAAATGGAAAAATTTTTGTGGTGATTTCAAGTTTTTGTGATTTGTTGAATTAATGTAGTTTTAAATTAAAGTTGTGAAAATTTTATTTTTTTAAGGTAAGTTTATTAAAAATTTTTTTTTTTTAAGATTTTTGTCTTAAATTATAGCTAATTGAGGTTAGGTTATATCAAAATTTTTTGAATTAAAGTTTTTTTCTGAAATTCTTTTTATGACTCAATCGATGAGTTTGAAATAAAAAAAGCTAAAAAGATGTGATTTGATATTGTTAAAATTAATACTCTTGTGCTTAGCAATTAGCGGCATCTATCGTGAAGTAGCTATCTCTATAAAAGTAATTGCAAAAGCATCTATTTTAGTATGTTCATAAAAAAATTTGTTTTGGTCCATTTTGTCATGAAGTATACAACCCAGTTTAACTCTGGAAACTTTAACTGATTTAAAAGTAGCAAAACGTAACCTAAGAATTAGATGTTGGTTGCAAAAAAGACTTGAAACTGCTAAGAGAAGCCTACTTACTGCTTGCAGAAGACTAGATACTGTTGGCAGAAGACTAAAAACTGCTTATAGAAGTCTGCATCTGTTTGCAGTAGATAAAATATTGCTAATGAAAGACTAAATAATGGTTGTAAGATTACTTACTGCTTATGGTAGACTATATATTGCATGTAAACAGCTAGATACTGCTTGCAGAAGACCAATAGTACTTGAAAAAGAGTACATACTGATAATAGAAGACTAGACTCCATGAAAAACAATTAAATACTGCTGGCAGAAGTCTGGAAACTACTGGCAGAACACTAGATATTGTTAATGTAATACTGTATACTCCCCATAAGACTAAATATTGCCCATGGAAGACAAAATATTACTAATATAAGAGTAGAAATTGCTTGTAAAGAGGTATTTACTGCTTGCAGAAGATTATATACAGTTGGCAGAAGTGTGGAACTGCTGGCAGAACACTAGATATTGTTAATATAATACTGGATACTCCCCATAAGACTAAATATTGCCCATGGAAGACAAAATATTACTAATATAAGAGTAGAAATTGCTCGTAAAGAGGTATTTACTGTTTGCAGAAGATTATATACAGTTGGCAGAAGTGTGGAACTGCTGGCAGAACACTAGATATTGCTAATGTAATACTGGATGCTCCCTATGAGAAGTTATTGCATGTAAAAGACTAAATATTGTGAATGGAAGACAAAATATTACTAATATAAGAGTGGATATTGCTTGTAGAGGAGGATTTATTGCTTGCAAAAGATTATTTATTACTAGCAGAAGTTTAAAAACTATTGGAATAACATTAGATATAGCTAATAGATTACTAGATGTTTTCTATATAAAAGTCATTGCGTGTATCAGACTAAGTACTACTAATGGAAGCTAAAGTATCATTTATATAAGGCTAAAAACTGCTTGCTGAATACTATTTACTGCTTGCAGAAGATAAATACTGTTGGCAGAACACCAAATACTGTTAGTAAAATGCTGGTTGCTCTCTATATAGAAGTCAATGCTTGTAAAAGACCAAGTACACGTAATGAAAAACAAAATATCACATATGGAAGACCTTGCACTGCTTGCAGGAGTCTACGAAATAATAAAAAACTTGTATATACTGCTGGCACAGTACTAAATACTGTTATCAGAATGACTAATATCTAGATACTAGTGGCAGAAGACTAAATATTGCTCATGGATGATTAGATACTGCTTGGGGAAGACTATATAGTTCTGGAAGCAGACTGGAACTACTTGTAAAACGCAAAGTAGTGCTGGTAAAAGATCAGATACTAGTTGTAGAAGTCTAGAATTACTTGAAAAATACTAGATAGTATTGGTAGAAGTCTAGAATAACGTGCAAAAGATTATATAGTGGTGGCTGAGACTACTACTACTTGTAAAAGGCAAGGTAGTGCTGATAGAAGACCAGATACTAGTTGCAGAAGAGTAAAATTGCTTGCAGAAGACTAAATAGTGTTGGCAAAAGACTATAACTACATGTAATAGACTAGATAAAGCCAACAGAAAACTAGAACTACTTGTAAAAGGCAAAGTAGTGCTGCTAGAAGACCAGATACTTGTTGTAGAAGATTAAAGCAACTTGCAGAAGACTAAATAATGCTGGCAAAAGATTATAACTACGTGTAATAGATTAGATAGAGCCGACAGAAGACTAGAACTACTTGTAAAAGGCAAGGTAGTGCTGATAGAAGACCAGATAATAGTTATAGATGATCAAAACTATTTGCAGAAGACTAAATAATGCTGGCAAAAGAGTAAAACTACGTGTAATAGACTAAATAGTGCTGACAGAAGACTAGAGTTACTTGTAAAAGGTAAGGTAGTGCTGGTAGACAAACAGATACTAGTTGTAGAAGATTAAAACTACTTGCAAAAGATTAAATAGTGCTGGCAAAAGACTAAATAGTGCTAACAGAAGACTAGTAGTACTTGTAAAAAGGAAGGTAGTGCTGATAGAAGACCAGATACTAGTTGCAGAAGACTACTTGCAAAAGATTAAATAGTGCTGGCAAAAGACTGTATAGTGCTTATAGAAGACTAAAACTACTTACAAAAGACTAGAACTACGTGTAATAGACTAGGTAGTGCTTGCAGAAGGCTAGAATTACTTGTAAAAGACTATACAGTGCTGGCAAAAGACTAGAACTACGTGCAATAGACAAAATAGTGCTGACAAAAGACTAGATATCGTTAATGGATGCTCAGATACTACTTGCAGAAGACTCTATAATGTTGGGAGAAGACTAGAACTCCTTTTATCTCCACTTAAAGTCGAGAACTTAAAATTTATTTAAGTATAAAATCAATATTTTAATCTCTAACAATAAGATTATTTGAATGTTTGAAAATTAACATCTTTTATTTATTAAATTCTTCTAAAACCGTAATTTTGGGAAGTTATAACAAGTTTTTATGGCAAAAAAAAATCAAAAAAAGCTATATTTTAAGATAAAAATTTAATGAAATAATTTAATTTTTAATAACTTTAATGTTTTTTTTTTTAGAATGTTATCCAATGATTATTTTAAACTCCAACCCCCAACACCAACACCCACAATGGACTTCACCAACGACTTAAAATTAACCCAATTCACGGAAACCCAAAAGGAATTAATGCAAAAATTTAACATGGCGTTCTACGAGGCTCAATCAAAAAGCATGGAACGAGAAATCCTCGAAAATTTCGACGAGAAATACTTCAACGATATCGAAAATTACGAGAACGAACCAACGGACGATATCTTAGAATTTTTAATCCCCAAATCAGAATCGGAAACATCGAACGTCAATGCGTTCGATTACGGCGATTTTAGCGAAACGTTCGAGAAAGTTCATAATAAAGAAGTGAGAAGGGGCTCTGTTTCCACCGAAACGGTTCTTTCGACTGAAAATTCCGAATATTTTAACAATTTCGAGTTCGAAAATCACAATAAATTTGAGAATATCGGCAAAATTGAGGAAATCGATGAGATCGATGATATCGATTTATCCGAGAGTTTATCGAATTCCTCGTTAGATTTTGATAACTTTGACGATTTAAGCGATTTCGATTATCAAAGAAGAATTAAATTGCCTTCAGTCGATACGATAACGAAAAATAACTTCAAATTTAATCAAATCTTAAGAAACTCAAATCCAAATTCGTTCCAAGAAACCGAGATAAATCAATCGAATAATTTCGGCCACTTAATCGGTCAAGAAATCTTAAACAACAACGAATCATATCTTTTTTACACCCCCGAGGAATGCTTTTCCGAAGACAATCAAGCTGTTATGTCGCAAAATGAAGCGTTAATTTACGACGATCCCCTTTTAAGTTCGACCAGCGTGATCAATTCAAAAGAAATTTCGCGAAAATACGAGATAATCGAAGAGGAAGATGAGGAGGAGGAAAAATTCGAGGAAGATTTCGATGATAAAGCGAAAAATCAAAAGTTACAATGTAAATGGGAAGATTGTTATCAAAATTATAACTCTCAAAGCGCGCTGGTTAAACACATCGAGAAGAATCACGTCGAGTTAAAACGGGGGGAGGAATTTACGTGCTTTTGGATCAATTGTCCGAGAAAATCGAAACCGTTTAATGCCAGATATAAGTTATTGATTCATATGAGGGTCCATAGTGGTGAAAAACCGAATAAATGTCCGGTGAGTTATTAATTTTTCGTTACAATGTTATTAGAGCGATGCCTACAAACTGTGTTTATATTTAGAGGGGAAAAAATGTTATACACAGAACCGTATCGTGCACACGTGTTTAAACACGAATTAATAAACAAAATAACCTATGACAGTACGATTTGTAGAGAGAAACAGGTTTTGTTTAGATTACTTAAAATTAATTTTTTTCATTTTAGTTCCAAGGCTGTAACAAGGCGTTTTCTCGCTTGGAAAACTTAAAAATCCACCAAAGGAGTCATACGGGGGAGAGGCCATATTTGTGTCAATTTTCGAATTGTTTCAAATCCTTCTCAAACAGCTCCGATCGAGCGAAACATCAACGCACTCATTACGACACGGTATTAAATTAATTAATAATTTTTTTTTAATAACTCAATTTAATTTAATTTTATAGAAACCTTACGCATGTCAAGTAACTGGATGTTCTAAAAAATACACAGACCCGAGTAGTTTAAGAAAACACGTAAAAAATCATTCGATGGACGAGCAATTAGAGGTGAAACGAAAATCGATGGAGAATAAATTGAAAGAAAGTTTTAATGTGCCGAAAAAATCGAACGTTAATAATCGCCATCAACATCAAAATCATCAAAGTAACCAAAACACGCCGATTTCGAAAACGTCCTTTTACCCCAGTCTCGATCATAATTATTATTCGAACGGTTTCGCGAATTTGCATAACGCGAAAAGCGTAAACACCGTTAAACAAGACTTAAAGTTGAAATTAAACGAAAAATTCAATAAGGAACGCATAAAAATGACGTAATGTTGGTGATTTTTTTTTGTATAAATTTTTTTGTTGGTAGCTTTTAAGAATTAATAAAAAATTACAGTTTTCTATCTCGATTTTATTACCTACAATGAAATAAAAACTAAAATTTGAATGATTTTTATGTAATTAATGTTTCGTTTGATGTGATAACGTTTTGTTGGGTTCATTTACAAAAATTTTTAGCATTACTAATAACGTAAATGTCATTTTTTACTTTGAAATGTCATTTTTGACGTTTCCCATATTTTCAAAATTAATACCTTTTGAGTTTAAAAACTCAAATTTAAGTGATTTTTATGTAATAAACTATCATTGGAGGAAAAGTATAATATAGTATACAGGTGCCCATTATGTGTGGAATATACTATATATCTTGGCATTTAATTGTTTTTATTTCAAAAAACATATTGAAGTTTTTTAAATGACAATGTATCCTTTCGTTAGGCTCATTTGATGGATTTTTTTCTCTTTGTTTTTTCTTCTTAAATACAAATAAAAACAAAACGTTGCGTTAAAATGGGGGATAATAACGAATAAAATTAATTTGACATTTACAAAGTGACGTTAGGTTTTATCTTTGTGCATAATCGCATGGGAAATTAAAAACCCTTTAATTTGAGTCCAAACACGACCCAATTATCTTAAAAAACACCCGAGATATCCCACATTCAATTTTGACATAACCTCAAAAAAGTGACAACCGGAAGTTGGTAGTGTTTGTTGTTTTTTAAGATAACTCGACCGAGTTTGGGCTCATTTTAAAGGAAATTTAATGTAGATTACGAATACGATGTTAGATTAATCAAATTCGATAATAATAAAAACAAAATGGCGGATTATAAACAAAAAAATGATTCGATCTTAACGAAATAAGTTCTTTAGAAGTTTAATTAAGCTTTTAGATCTAAAAATAAAGTTTTTCGTTATTTAATGAACGTGATTTAAATTAATTTTTTATACTTCGTCATATCATTGGTAGATGGCGCCACTTAATTCTAGCTGTCATTAAGCGATTACTTAGCGAAACATTTTTTATTAAAAAAATTGGTACCAAGTCGTGCTTAATTCATTTGGGTAACGAAAATCAATAAGAATGTGTTTTTTATTGCATGTTTGTAGCAATTTTATACCCAGATTAGTAAAGATAAGGTAGGAATTTTATCATTAACGATTTTAACTTAACTCGCGGTTTAACTTTTATTACTCTTAAAAATATGTTCCTATTTCTAAATTAAACAATTTTATTTATAAATGTATACTTGAAGTGGCGGTTTTAATCAAAAATTTGATTAAAAATTATTTAAAATAATTTTTACGTACTTTGTTGCACCATTGATAGATGGCGCCACTTAATTCTAGCTGTCTTAAAAAGAGTATTTAGCAAAACATTTTTTATTGAAAATATTGCTTAAAAATCGTGCTTAATTTATTCGAGTAATGAAAATCGATAAGAATTAATTATTTGTTGTGTGTTTGTAGTAATTTTATATCCCCATTGGTAAAGATAAAGGTAAGAATTCGATTATTATTAATTAACCTAACTCGCCTGATTTTGTTGCTAATAATTCAATTTTACTACAATTAATACAATTTTATTTATAGATTTGCGTTGTTGTTAATCGAAAATATAATTAAAAATGATTTAAATCTGAGTTGTGTAATGCGTTACATCACTCATAGATGGCACGAATTAAATAATATTAAGCTGCAAAAATTTATTATTAACATTTTTAATTTAAAATAAGAAATTAAAAATGGTTTTTATTCGATATAATAATGACTATAATAATTAAGGCTTTTTTTTAATTAAAGAATATTTAAATCTAATTTTATTGTGTCACTCAAAGATGGTGGTACTAATTATTATTTGAACGTAGCCTAAAAAAAAATATTATAACCTCAAAATGTCAAAAACATTCCCAAGAACATTTTTATCGTTAAATAGATACTTTTCAACTAAAAAAAGTTATAAACGATTACAAAATGAGTTAAAAACACTTCCTAGTAAATAAATTTAGCGTTAGTATTAATTAATTATTTGTTATTAATTTAATTTTTTTATAGTTTTCGATTACGATTCATCAGGAAAAGATAGGAACCGAGTTTTCGTGTGGGGAAATGTAAAAAGCGGTGCTTTAGGAGTGAAATATACGAAACAAAAAAATTTAATTGATACAATTAGGGTACCGAAACGTCTTGGTTTTGCTGAAAGACACAATGTAGGAAAAATAAAATCAATTATAATTAGATTTGTAATAAAAAAATTTCAGGTTATTTCAGTTACCTCAGGATTTGGATTTACAATATACGCTGTTGATTCAAAAGATAACTTAAAAATTTATGGAAATGGTTTAAACACCGATTCGCAACTCGGTTTACATTTAAACGAACAAAAAAATCCTTTGGAGGTTATTTTTTTCCCTCAACCTATATCCTTACCAATTAAAAACGACACAAAGATTTTAAAAATTTCTGCTGGTAGAGGTCACGTCGCTGTTTTAACCAATGAGGGTTTATTTTTATTTGGAAATAATTCTTATGGACAATGTGGAAGAAAAATTATTGAAAACGAAGATTACTTTAATAGCCAACATATTAATAGGATCAATAAAATAAACAATGAAAGAATTAAAGATGTTTATTGTGGCCAAGATCACACAATTATTTTAAGCGAAACAGGAAAAGTTTATTCATGCGGTTGGGGAGCTGATGGCCAAACTGGATTGGGGCATTACAATATCACCTATAATTTCACACAAGTCAATGGAGATATAAAAAATGAATATATAACAAAAATTTCTTGTCGATCTGATTTTGTAATGGCTCTAAACGAAAAGGGGGACGTTTTCGGGTGGGGAAACACCGAATATGGACAATTAATTACTCCGGGGAATGAGCAGCAAGTTGCAAATCCAACGTATATTGTTTCAACAAAAAATTTAGGAAAAATTAAAGATGTTGCAACGAGTGGGACATCTTGTATGATTTTAAATGGTACTTTTTTATTGAGTTAAAATTAAAAATAATTATTTTAATTCTTTTTGAGATTCTGGGGATGTTTTTGTTTGGGGTTATGGCATTTTGGGCACGGGGCCTTTGGTGCAACATTCTGAGGTTCCCCTTTTAATACCACAGACGTTGTTTGGTAGGAATGATTTTAATCCGACCACGGAAGTGATTAAAATTGAGTGTGGGTTAAGTCACTCGGGTGTTATTACGAATTCGGGGGATTTGTACGTTTGGGGGAGAAACAGGGAAGGTTGTTTGGGGTTGGGCCATTTAGATGATCAATATTTTCCGTTAAAGGTAATTTAGTTCGGTGATTATTAATTAAATTAAATTAGTTTTTTCTTTAATTTTAGGTTGCCTTAGGAGGGGAAGTTAAATCAGTTTCTTGTGGATTGGATCACACTGTAGCCCTTTGTGAATCATTTTTGAGCAACAAATCTTAACAGGTTTAATAAGGTAGGATTTTTTTTTTATTAAAAAGGATTATGTGGAATAAAACAACCCAATAAACAATAGTATAGACTTGTTTTATTGGTTTTGGTAATAATCCCTCAAAAATATTAATTAATAATGATTTAAATTAATTCTTATGTACTTCGTTGTATCAATAATAGATGGCGCCACTTCATTTTAGCTGTCATGAAAGGTTTTTTTATGAAAAACTCTTAAAAAAATGTTTTTGTTGCAATTATACAATTTTATTTATAAATTTATACTTGAAGAGGCGGTTTTAATAAAAAATTTGATTCAAAATGATTTAAATTAATTTTTATGTACTTCGTTGTACCATCGATAGATGGCGCTTAATTGTGTCTGTCATTAAACGATTATTTCGCGAAATATTTTTTGTTGATAATATTGGTTAAAAATCGTGCTTAATTTATTTGGGTAATGAAAATCGATAAGAATGTGTTTTTTATTGCATATTTGTAACAATTTTATGCCCAGATTGGTAATGATAAGGTAGGAATTTTGTTGTTATTGACGATTTTAACCTAACTCGCGGTTTGACCTTTTTTATTCTCAAAAATATGTTGCTAGTTGTTAATTACATAATGTTATTTATAAATTTACACTTGAAGTGGCGGTTTTAAACAAGAANAATTAATAATGATTTAAATTAATTCTTATGTACTTCGTTGTATCAATAATAGATGGCGCCACTTCATTTTAGCTGTCATGAAAGGTTTTTTTGTGAAAAACTCTTAAAAAAATGTTTTTGTTGCAATTATACAATTTTATTTATAAATTTATACTTCAAGAGGCGGTTTTAATCAAAAATTTGATTCAAAATGATTTAAATTAATTTTTATGTACTTCGTTGTACAAAATCGATAGATGGCGCTTAATTGTGGGTGTCATTAAACGATTATTTAGCGAAACATTTTTTTTTTGAAAATATTGGTTAAAAATCGTGCTTAATTTATTATTTTATGAGAATCGATAAGAATGTGTTTTTTATTGTATGTTTGTAATAATTTTATGCCCAGATTGGTAATGATAAGGTAGGAATTTTGTTGTTATTGACGATTTTAACCTAACTCGCGGTTTGACCTTTTTTATTCTCAAAAATATGTTGCTAGTTGTTAATTACATAATGTTATTTATAAATTTACACTTGAAGTGGCGGTTTTAAACAAGAATTTGATTCAAAATGATTTAAATTAATTTTTATGTACTTCGTTGTACCATCGATAGATGGCGCTTAATTGTAGCTGTCATTAAACGATTATTTAGCGAAACATTTTTTCTTGAACATATTGGTTAAAAATCGTGCTTAATTTATTTGGGTAATGAAAATCGATAAGAATGTGTTTTTTATTGTATGTTTGTAACAATTTTATGCCCAGATTGGTAATGATAAGGTAGGAATTTTGTTGTTATTGACGATTTTAACCTAACTCGCGGTTTGACCTTTTTTATTCTCAAAAATATGTTGCTAGTTGTTAAATACATAATGTTATTTATAAATTTACACTTGAAGTGGCGGTTTTAGTCAAGCATTTGATTCAAAATGATTTAAATTAATTTTTATGTACTTCGTTGTACCATTGATAGATGGCGCTTAATTGTGGCTGTCATTAAACGATTATTTATTTAGTGAAACATTTTTTATTGAAAATATTGGTTAAAAATCGTGCTTAATTTATTTGGGTAATGAAAATCGATAAGAATGTGTTTTTTATTGTATGTTTGTACCAATTTTATGCCCAGATTGGTAAAGAACTTTGTTGGATTTACGATTTGAACCTAACTCGCGATTTGACTTTTATTATTCTTAAAAATGTGTTTCTAAATCTAAATTACACAATTTTATTTATAAATATTTACTTGAAATAGAACTTTTAATCAAAAGTATGATTAAAAATGATTTAAATTAATTTTTATGTACTTCGTTGTACCATTAGTAGATGGCGCCACTTAATTCTAGCTGTCATAAAACGATTACTTAGCGAAACATTTTTTATTGAAAATATTGGTTAAAAATCGTGTTTAATTTATTTCGGTAGTAAAAATCAATAAGAATGTGTTCTTTGTAGCAATTTTATATCCAGATTGGTAAAGAAAAGGTAAGAATTTTGTTGTTATTAGCAATTTTAACTTAACTCGCGATTTGACTTTTATTATTGTTAAAAATACGTTGCTAGTTGTAAATTACATAAAGTTATTTATAAATTTACACTTGAAGTGGCGGTTTTAATCAAAAATGTGATTAAAAATGATTTAAATTAATTTTTATATACTTCGTTATACCATTGATAGATGGCGCCACTTATTATTGCTTTCTTAAAACGAGTATTTAGCAAAACATTTTTTATTATAAATATTGGTTAAAAGTCATGCTTAATTTATTTGGGTAATGAAAATCGACAAGAATGTGTTCTTTCTTATATGTTTGTAGCAATTTTATACCCAAATTGGTGAAGATAAGGTAGGAATTTTGTTATCATTAACGTTTTCAACCTAACTCGCAGTTTAACTTTTATTATTCTTAAAAATATGTTTCTAATTGTTAATTACATAATATTATTTATAAATTTACACTTGAAGTGGCGGTTTTAAACAAAAATATGTTTAAAAATGATTTAAATTAATTTTTATGCACTTCGTTGTACCATTGATAGATGGCGCCACTTAATTCCAGCTGTCATTAAGCGATTACTTAGCGAAACATTTTTTATTGAAAATATTGGTTAAAAATCGTGCTTAATTTATTTGAGTAATGAAAATCAATAAGTAAGTGTTCTTTGTTGATTGTGCGTAGCAATTTTATACCCAGATTGGTAAAGATAAGGTAAGAATTTTGTTGTTATTAACGATTATAACCTAACTCGTGGTTTGACTTTTATTATTCTTAAAAATATGTTTTTAGTTGTAAAATACTCAATGTTATTTATAAATTTATACTTGAAGTGGCGGTTTTAATCAAAATTATGTTTAAAAATAATTTAAATGTTTATATATGCTTGATACACTCATAGATGGCGCTGCTATTTAAATAATTTTAAGTTGTCAAAAACGATATTTATGGCATTTTCAATTAAAAAAGGATTTATTAAGTAGATAAATCCAATTTCGTTGTCACCCATAGATGGCGGTACTAAATTATGATTAAAAACTTATTTATTTATAAAATTAAAAAGAATTTTAAGTTTCGTTGAAATTTTTCGTTGGTATTCAAAAAAAATAAATTGAGGTTATGTTAATGTGCTTAATTTTATGAAGTTATTCGATTCGTTGAAATTGCAGGTAATTTGTTATTATTTTAAAAATTAATATTATATGTTTTTTATTAAGCAACACTATGTAGTTTGGTGTATGTTTGGTTGCCTATCGTTGCTTTGGATCTTGATATAAATCGTAATTTAACTCTTCGAAAACGGGTTTAGATAGGATATTTGATTACAAAGGATTGTGTGAAATAAAACAAGCCAATAAACAATAGTACAGACTAGTTTTATTGGTATTGGTAATAATCCCTCGAATTTCTCGGCATCTTTCTTCGCCGTACTTTATTATAATTATTTTTTTATTTATTTTTCGTTCAATTAACTTAAATGAAATTAATCCGCGTTCACAGCTTTTTTATTTTATACTTTTTTCTTAAATTATTACTCGAAGGATATAGATCAATATAAATCAATCTTGGAGAGAGAAAGAGTATTAAAAAAAAAAGGTTTAAAAGAGAAATCAAAAATTATTTTCATTCAAGCAATCTAATTAAACTTAGAGACAAAAATTAAAATGGAAGCCCCTAATAAAGAAAACCCCTAGTTTTTGGAAGCTATTTTTGTGCTAATTTTAAATTAATTTCCCTTTTAAACTTTTTTTTTGCCTTAATTATTAATTAAATAAATAAGTTCTTAAAGTAACGAAAGAAAGAAAAGTACTCCATAAATATACAAACCATTTTTATAAATTAATAAAAAAATTATAACTAAAATTAAAAATTATCTAAGATTTACAAATTCCCATTTCTCTTTTTATTTAAATATAAATCTCGAGTTTATGTTTTTTTTAAGTTAAAATTCAAGTTCCTTTTTCGTTTTAAAATTAAATAGCGAATAAAAATTGTTGCTGCCGCCCTCTTTATATCTTTATTATAATTATATATTTCTTTAAATGGAATTTTTACTGCCGGAAGTCAAAGTTTCTCTTCACCAAGTTATTAACTATTTACACAAGATCCAGTTTTTTTTTTTTTTTTCGATTGATTTAATATTCCTTTTATGTAATTTACGATATTATTAATTTTTTTGTTTGTTTACATAATTATTATTATTCTTTTTGTTATTATTTTACAAATGGCAGTTTTCCTAGCAACGTTACTATTATTCGAAAAGCATTAATCCATAATTTTCGTAAAGGAGCGTGTCTTAACACCAAAAAATGCCACAATGAGAGTACAGTAACGACTTGTAGTAACCTGTAAAACCAGTACAAACGCGCCATATGCTTCCTCGCTTTGGGTAACGTGTCCAAATCTTCTTTAAAAATAAACCTAAAAAAATCGAATCCAAAAAATACTTTCATTTTGAAATCAAATCAAAAAATATTTACTTCCTTATTCCCAACACGTAATTCTCAATATACTCCTCCCAATTAATTTGAGACACATCAAAACAAAACTCTTTTCGATCTGAATCAGACATCGCCATTGTTAAAGTCCTAACATTGTTATCTTCAAATTGCCATTCGTGTGTTGTAAAATATTCTAAACATTTTGCGGCGCGACACAGTTTATCTTGAATTTTTGCTAATCTACAACACCGAATTAAATCGTTATAAAACATATCAAATATTAACTGGATTATTATTTACATTGGTTTTCCGCCGAAGATAAATACAAATGTATCTAAGATGTAAGCAGGAAGCCAGTGCAAAAATATCTTGTTAAACGTATTATAAACGATCGAAGCTGTGACAGTTCCGCTTGGATACCACGAAATATTCGAAAACGGATGTTTCCTCATATATTTGAAACAGGTGCCGACGAAGTTGCTCCAAGTTATCGGCTTGCGTTGACCTAAAATGTCAAAATAACGATTTGATTACAAACAAATTAATTTTTTTTGAGTTATTTTTACCTGTAACACAATTATATAATGGAATCTCTCTGGTTTTGTGCGTTCCAATCCTCCAAGCGGACGCTAACATTAAATTTATGACCATATCGACTGGGACGATATCGGCTACTTTGTGGGGGTCGCATAACATTGTTCTGAAAAGACCTTTTCCAGCAGCTGCTATTATACCTTTAATAATAAAAATTATGTTTTAAAACAATTATTTAATTAAGACGAGGTCGCTTTAGACCGAGGTAATAGTTTAACTAGCTTTAGGATCGCTAAAATTCAAAAAAAAGATTTTTATAACGAAATGTCAAAAAATGTCGATGAGGTTATAAATCACCATGGTAACGGCAGGTTGAAAACTTTTAAACAAAAAATTATTTTAGTCGTAAAATTTTCATACTTTTCTGTTAATGTAATAAGAAATAAAACTAAAACTAGAAATTTTTACCTCAAAATTTCTAGTTTTAGTTTTATTTCTAACCACAAAATTATTTAAATACAAATTACTCTTTCAAATGAAACGTCAAAAAATGTCATTTGAAAAAGACGCATAGAGATGGCGCTAACTTTAACCAACTTCATTTAGGTGAAATGTCATTTGAAAAAGTGAGGTTAGAACGGATTAAGATTGATACAAATTAATAGAAATACTCGATATTATTTTCCCGCATAGTTAAGAAGGTAACATTAAAAAAAAGATTTTTATAACGAAATGTCACCATGGTAACGGCAGGTTAAAAACGTTTAAACAAAAAATTATTTTAGACTCAAAATTCTCGTATTTTTCTGCCAATGTCATCTTTGACGCACGGCATAACCTCAAAATTTCTAGTTTTAGTTTTATTTCTAACACAAAATTAGTTAAATACAAATTCTTTTTAATGAAACGTCAAAAAATGTCACTTGAAAGAGAGGTTAGAATGGATTAAGATTGATACAATCAACGCCTTGGCCGCAAATGACTGAATTGGGGAATATACAAGTATTGTAGGATCTTGCCACTAGAATACAAATTGTGATAAAAGATGTGTAGGATATTGTATTTATATTGTATATACAGGGTGATTCAAAAAACCGATGACAGACTTCTAGAATAGATAACACATGAAAAATTAAGATGAATAGTCTTAATATACATCGAGTCGCAAATGCCTCCTTAACGAGATATAGCAGTTTCTGTCTTTTTATAGTAGTTTTTAGCCTTCTGCAAGCACATTTCAGTATTTTAGAAGCAGTTTTTGTCTTTTAGCAGCAGTTGCTAGTCTTCTGCAAGCACTTTTCAGTATTTTGAACGCAGTTTTTGTCTTATAATAGTAGTTTCTAGTCTTCCACAAGCACTTTTCAGTATTTTAGAAGCAGTTTTTGTCTTTTGAAAATAGTTTCTGTCTTTTGGTAGCAGTTTCTAGCCTTCTGCAAACACTTTTCAGTATTTTGGAAGCAGTTTTTGTCTTTTGAAAGTAGTTTCTGCCTTTTGGTAGCAGTTTCTAGCCTTCTGCAAGCACTTTTCAGTAGTTTGAAAGCAGATTTTGTCTTTTGAAAACAGTTTCTGCCATTTGGTAGCAGTTTCTGTATTTTGGTAACAGTTTCTAAACTTCTGCAAGCACTTTTTAGTATTTTAGAAGCAGTTTTTGTTTGTTAGTAGCAGTTTCTAGCCTTCTGTAAGCACTTTTCAGTATTTTGGAGTCAGTTTTTGTCTTTTGGAAACAGTTTCTGTCTTTTGGTAGTAGTTTCTAGCCTTCTGCAAGCATATTTCAGTATTTTGGAAGCAGTTTCTATCCTTTGGTAGCAGTTTCTAGTCTTCTGCAGGCACTTCGCAATATTTTGGACACAGTTTCTGTCTTTTGGTAGCAATTTCTATGTTTTGGTAGCAATTTCTAGTGTTCTGCAGGCACTTTTCAGTATTTTGGAAGCAGTTTTTGTCTTTTGTTAGCAGTTTTTAACCTTCTGCAAGCACTTTTCGTTATTTTGGAAATAGTTACTGTCTTTTGCTAACAGTTTCTAGACTTCTGCAAGCACTTTTCAGTATTTTGAAAGCAGTTTTTGTCTTTTAGTAGCAGTTTCTAGCCTTCTGCAAGCACATTTCAGTATTTTGGAAGCATTCTTTTTCTTTTGGAAACAGTTTCTCTGTTTTGGTAGCAGTTTCTAGTCTTCGGCAAGCACTTTTCAGTATTTTGGAAGCATTTCTTGTCTTTTGAAAGTAGTTCCTGTCTTTTGGTAACAGTTTCTAGCCTTCTGCAAGCACTTTTCAGTATTTTGGAAGCAGTTTTTTTCTTTTGGAAGCATTTTTTTCTTTTGGAAGCAGTTTCTCTGTTTTGGTATCAGTTTCTAGCCTTCTGCACGCACTTTTCAGTATAATGGAAGCAGTTTTTGTCTTTTAAAAATAGTTTCTGTCTTTTGGTAGCAGTTTCTAGCCTTCTGCAAGCCCTTTTCAGTATTTTAGAAGCAGTTTTTGTCCTTTGGAAACAGTTTCTGTCTTTTGGTAGCAGTTTCTAGACTTCTGCAAGCACTTTTCAATATTTTAGAAGCAGTTTTTGTTCTTTGGTAGCAGTTTCTAGTCTTCTGCAAGCACATTTCAATACTTTGGAAGCAGTTTTTGTCTTTTGGTAGTAGTTTTTAGCCTTCTGCAAGCATATTTCAGTATTTTGGAAACAGTTTCTACCTTTTGGTAGCAGTTTCTATCTTTCGGTAGCAGTCTCTAGGCTTCTGCAGGCAATTCTCAGTATTTTAGAAGCAGTTTCTGTCTTTTGGTAACAGTTTCTAGACTTCTGCACGCACTTTTCAATATTTTGGAAGCAATTTCTGCATTTTGATATAAGTTTCAAGTCTTCTGCAGACACTTCTCAGTATTTTAGAAGCACGTCTTTGACGCACAGCATAACCCACAAAATTTCTAGTTTTAGTTTTATTTCTTATTACTAAAATAATTTTTTGTTTAAACGTTTTCAATCCACCGTTGCCATGGTGATTTATAACCAACCTAATTCATTTATATCAATCTTAATTCATTCTAACCTTACTTTATCAAGTGACATTTTTGACGTTTCACCTAAATGAAGTTGGTTAAAGTTCGCGCCATCTCTATGCGTCTTTTTCAAGTGACATTTTTTGACGTTTAAACAAACTCGACGTTGGACGGCATTAGCGTCTATACTAAAATAATTTAATTAAACTAATAATTTTGTTATTAATAGTGGGAATGATTAAAAAGTATAGATTCTAACTCGTGTTATATTTTTAAATTTGCCGCTAAGATTTTTAAATGATATACCAAATCCAAACTGTATTCTAGTGGTTCGGTTCTTTGCTGAATAATTTCAAAATATCCCTAACAGATGGCGCCACATCATTTAATTTTTTTTAAGAGTTGCATTTCTACGAAGCTTTTTTCTATGTATTTAACTAATTTTGCGTTAGAAATAAAACTAAAATCCAAATTGTTATACTAGCGACTGCGGCTTTGTCATAAATAACATTTTAATACTAAATTGATTGAAGAATATAGAATTTTGTATCTAATTTCAATATTTACCTGTTGGTCCGTTCCAATTATCAACCCATCCCTTTAACGGCCCATCGATGCAACTTAAAACGATACTCGGCCTCACAATCACCAATGGCAAATCACCCTTATTCTCCTTCAGCCAACATTCCGCCAAAGCTTTCGTAAATGTGTACGTATTGGGACGATTTCCAACCAATTGTTCCGTTAAGGTATCAACAATTTGTTCATCCAACGTGTTCACCAAAGACGTTATTTGATCCGGCGATATCGACGGGGGATAAATAATTTCTTTAACTATTTTCCGATCGCAATTACAATAAGCCGTTGATACGTGTACCTAAAAAACAATTAATATTTCATCAAATTTTTAATGTTAATTAGGTATTTACGAGTGCTTCGAGATTCGTCATCCATTTACAAAGTTCGACTAAACGTTGAGTGCCCAACATGTTTATAGTAACTGAAAGTTTTAATTTTTCATCGAATTTAACGGTCGCTGCGGAATGGAAAACTACGTTAACAGTTCTTTGTAACATTGCGCGATCGTTTTGGCTAATTGCTAAATCCGGCTGGGTGATATCCCCTTCGATAGGGAGGATTTTTAATAAATCCGAAGGGCGTTCTTTTCTTATTATATCAAATAACTAAAAAAAAAATTTGGTTAAATCAAAAAATTTTTGTGTTATGATTTTTTTACCGGTGATGATAACAATTGTTGGAGCCTCTCCCGCGAATTTTGCCCCTTTTTCGGTCTGATTAATAGATATATCCTATAAACACCATGACACGACCTTAAAAGTTTCTCCAAAAGCACTTTCCCCATAAAACCAGTTCCACCGGTGATAAAAACCGTTTTTCCAGCGTAAAACTCGGCGACCGATACATTTTCGAGTATCGGCCGAACGTTTTGTACTTCCAAAGCAGCCATTGTGTGATTTTCCGTATTATTAGCTACCATAACTCAACAAAAACGATCAAAATAATAATTTTTTCCAATCTCCAAAGAACAAAAAAAATCCCGTTTAAAACTCAAATTCCGTTCATTTCTTTCTTTCGTATTTAATTGGTATTTCTTCAGTTTCGATTATTGTTTAAGATTAAACGTTCTTTTTAATTGCCGTTAAATTCTTGTGCCACCTGAAAAAAGGATAAACGATGAGAGTTAGAAATTGAATCTCACAAATTGACGTAAACGTCAAATTGTCAAAATGAACGAAATCGAAACGAATTTGATTTTTGAATTAAAATTTATTTCATTTAAATCGTCTCGGTTATTTATATGCTTGTGTCGAATTAAAACGCACTTTAAATTTATGTAAAAAATATGTTTTAGAATTAACATATAAATTAAAATTAAATTTTATGTTGGTACGAAGTCAAATTTAAACGTTACCTTGTTTAAGGTAATTGCAATGCGGTTATAATTAACGTTGAAAATCCTTGGTTTAAAAGGTTTTAAAATGATTTTTTTGTAATTAACCAATAAATTAAATTTAACGTCAATTTAATTTTTTTTGTTGTTATGACAACAATTTTTTTTCGATTGAAACACCTTCACAGCAATGAACATAACCAACTTCACAACTAACTGTCAAGGAGAAATAACCTCCAAATTATAAACAACTTTTTTTTAAGTTTATTGAGTTTAAATCAAAGATAATTAAATAACGCAAGGAATAAATCGATTTATGTAAGTAAAGAAATTTAATTTTAACATAAAAAAGATATCTCTGTTTATTATTATCGTATTTCTCAACTTGAGTCGATTTTAGGTTATGTGGTGTTGTTATTTCTCATTAGAGATCGCAAAGATCGTTGAAATTTATGGAATTATCAAGGAGGAGAATTAATCTTGGTAAAAATTTCCCTTAAAATGATCATAAGTTGAAAACGAAGAAATTACTTCGTTTCTTTATTTGATTATATTACTGTACGTTTTAGAATGAACTTCAATTTTGGAAATAGCTAGATATGATTCGATGATTTTAAATCTTAATTGAACGTATTGACTTTGCAAATTGGGTTAATCAATATCTTATTATTTATTGACTTTGTTGGTATCGTTCAAGAAATATCCTCCGATTTTGCTTCATTAACATCCCTCAACTGCATATTTGACATCTTTCGGAATTAGTTACTCCAAATAACCATTAAATTAGTTAAGGTGAATTATAAAAAGTTAGAAAACGACGTTTTGACTTAAAAACTGTCAAAGTGAGGTTAAATACATTTGACAGTCCGCCATTTTGATTTAAACCGATTTTTTTTTAATTTTTAATAAAAATTATTAATTTATGAGGAATTCCTGAAATAAATAAAATTGTAAAGTTGTAATTGATGTGGCGATAAAGATTTTTTTTTAAATAATGTTTTATAACAAAGCAACAATTAATTTTTTTTTTTTCGATTAAAACACCTTCACGGCAATGAACATAACCAACTTCACAACTAACTGTCAAGGAGAAATAACCTCCAAATTATAAACAACTTTTTTTAAAGTTTTTTGAGTTTAAATCAAAGATAATTAAATAATACAAGGAATAAGTCGATTTATGTAAGTAAACAAATTTGATTTTAACATAAAAAAGATATCTCTGTTTATTATTATAGTATTTCTCAACTTGAGTCGATTTTAGGTTATGTGGTGTTGTTATTTCTCATTAGAGATCTCAAAGATCGTTGAAATTTATGGAATTGTCAAAGAGGAGAATTAATCTTGGTAAAAATTTCCCTTAAAATGATCATAAGCTGAAATCGAAGAAATTATTTCGTTTCTTTATTTGATTATGTTATTGTACGTTTTAGAACAATCTTGTGTTTTAGAAATCGTTAGATATGATTCGATGATCTTAAATCTTACTTGAACGTATTGACTTTGCAAATTGGGTTAATCAATATCTTATTATTCATTGACTTTGTTGATGTCGTTCAAGAAATATCCTCCGATTTTGCTTCTTTAACATCCCTCAACTACATATTTGACATCTCTCGGAATTAGTTACACCAAATAACTATTACATTAGTTAAGGTGAATTATAAAAAGTAAGAAATCCTTTAAAACGACGTTTTGACTTAAAAACTGTCAAAGTAAGGTGAAATACATTTGACAGTCCGCCATTTTGATTTAAACCGATTTTTTTTTAAATTTTTAATAAAAATTATTAATTTATGAAGAATTCCTGAAATAAATAAAATTGTAAAGTTGTAATTGATGAGGCGATAAAGATTTTCTTTTAAATAATCTTTTATAACGAAGCAACAATTAATTTTTTTTTTTCGATTAAAACACCTTCACAGCAATGAACATAACCAACTTCACAACTAACTGTCAAGGAGAAATAACCTCCAAATTATAAACAACTTTTTTTTAAGTTTATTGAGTTTAAATCAAAGATAATTAAATAATACAAGGAATAAATCGATTTATGTAAGTAAACAAATTTGATTTCAATATAAAAAAGATATCTCTGTTTATTATTATCGTATTTCTCAACTTGAGCAGATTTTAGGTTATGTGCTGTTGTTATTTCTTATTAGAGATCACAAAGATCGTTAAAATTTATGGAATTATCAAGGAGGAGAATTAATCTTGGTAAAAATTTTCTTTAAAACGATCATAAGTTGAAAACGAAGAAATTACTTCGTTTCTTTATTTGATTATTTTACTGTACGTTTTAGAATGAACTTCAGTTTTGGAAATAGCTAGATATGATTCGATGATCTTAAGTCTTAATTGAACATATTTACTTTGCAAATTGGGTCAATCAATATCTTATTATTTATTGACTTTGTTGATATCCTTCAAGAAATATCCTCCGATTTTGCTTCATTAACATCCCTCAACAGCATATTTGATATCTTTCGGAATTAGTTACACCAAATAACTATTACATTAGTTAAGGCGAATTATAAAAGGTGAGAAATCCTTTAAAACGACGCTTTTACTTAAAAACTGTCAAAGTGAGGTTAAATACATTTGACAGTCCGCCATTTTGATGTAAACCGATTTTTTTTTAAATTTTTAATAAAAATTATTAATTTATGAAGAATTCCTGAAATAAATAAAATTGTAAAGTTGTAATTGATGAGGCGATAAAGATTTTGTTTTAAATAATCTTTTATAACACAGCAACAATTAATTTTTTTTTCGATTGAAGCACCTTCACGGCAATGAACATAACCAACTTCACAACTAACTGTCAATGAGAAATAACCTCCAAATTATAAACAACATTTTTTTTAAGTTTATTGAGTTTAAATCAAAGATAATAAAATAACACAAGGAATAAATCGATTTATTTAAGTAAGCAAATTTGTTTATAACACAAAACGTATCTTTGTTTATTATTATGGCGCTGATTTTGGGTTATAAATTTATTTCAATGTCTTATTTGTACTTATAAACGATTTTATTTGATTTAATTATTGTGATTTGTTTTATAGCGATGTTTCTATCCAACAAGAAAAAGATGTATTATTTCTCATCGGAACATCGGAGATCACAAAAATCGTTGAAATTTATGGAATCATCAAGGAGGAGAATTAATCTTGGTAAAAATTTAAATTTTCTTTTCCCTTATCTGAATTACAAAAAGTTAGAAATCCTTTAAAACGACGTTTTGACTTAAATCTGTCAAAGTGAGGTTAAATACAATTAACACTTCGCCGTTTTGATTTAAATCGATTTTTTTTTTTAGTTTTTAATAATTAATTAAAAAATAAATACAATTATAAAGTTGTAATTAATTGATGAGGCGATAAAGATTTTTTTTTTAATAATTTTTGATAACCTCAAAAAATTAGAAATGACATTTTAATTATGTCAAATGAAGATGTTTCCATGGAAACGAAAACTCAAGCTAAATCTAACCTAACTTATTAACTTACCGAAATTAGAATCGTTTTTCTTATTAATAAGGCACTTTTGAATTGTTTGTAAGAAAGTTTCTCGAAATTTTCCGAAATATTAAGTGAAAAAAATAAATAATAAAACGAAAAGTTACTCTCACGGTTTAAATTAGAACGGCGCACCACTCACCAACACAACTTCGCAACAACCAAAGTTAAAACCAATACTTCTACTATTACTCATACCAATAATAATAATAATATTACTAAGGTTACTATTACTACTTTCCTTTCGACGACCCATTACAGCTTTAAACCGAATCTAATTTGATTTAAAAAAAAAATTAATAATTATTTTTGATTTAAATCGCACTTGATACACAACACCCGATATGTAATAATAAAACGAAGAGTCCCTCAACCTCTTCTTATTAATACTGTCGGTGTGTCGAGTTCAGTTTTTGGTTCACGGTCAGATCTCGTCCTTCTACTACCACTTACGGCACTTTAACTATTAAAAAAAAGAAAGAAGTAAGAGTGGGAGAGAAAATCTTTAAGAGTATCAACACACGGAAAGAAAGAGAAAGAAGAACGGGAGTCTTCGGCCTCCGGAACGCAACGGTACCTGGAGAAAACCGCACGAGAAGGAAGCATTTGGTCAGTAGGGTAACTCGTAATATGTGGGTCAACCGTATTCTTTTCTTCTTATTCATCATCTTCTCTTATTCAATCAATTTTATTTTTTGTAACCTCAAAAATTTTTCGAATTTTTTTCGATGACAGTTTAGGGTTGCTATGGAAACTATTTAAGGTTATGTCTAATCAATTTCTATGATGTTAATTATTAATTTCGTTTCGTAAGTTTCAATTAAGTTTATTAATTAACCTTAATTACTTTTATTATCGTTTATTATGATGAATTTACTTCGAGATTGTTCTTGGTTTAAACATTTTAATTTTTTTTTCCTTTGAATTTACTTCGAGATTGTTCTTGGTTTAAACATTTTAATTTTTTTTTCCTTTCTTTTATTAATCATATCTAATTACATTTTCATAACGATATTGAAATTAATTTGTTTCATCTTTATTTATTTTTCATCTAGTTATTCGTCAAATTTATGTTTATCTTATTTAAATCTTTGACAATTAAGATTTTTTCGATGACGTTTAAAGCTACATAGATAGGTTGGTATTTTTTATAACCTCAAAAAATTTTGACAATTAAAAAAATTTAAGATGACGTTTAGGGGGTTGTAATCGAAACGATTTTAGGTTGGTGTTTTATTTTATAACCTCAAAATTTTTGACAATTAAGAAATTGTACGATGACGTTTAGGGGTTTCTTATCGAAACAATCTTAGATTGGTGTTTTATTTTATAACCTCAAATATTTTTGACGTTTAAAGGTATATATAATAGGTTGGTATTTTTTTTATAACCTCAGAAATTTTTGACAATTAAGAAATTGTAGGATGACGTTTAGGGAGTTGTTATCGAAACGATTATTTTTGACGTTTAAAACTACATAGGTTGGTATTTTTTTATAACCTCAAAAATTTTGACAATTAATAAAATTGTGCGATGACATTTAGGGGGTTGTTATTGAAGCGATCTTAGGTTAATATTTTATTATAACCTCAAAAATTTTTGACGTTTAAAGGTATATACAGGGTGTCTCCGAAATGCGTGTACAACGGAAAATAGGTCAAAATAGGTCGATTTAAGTTAAGTTATTTATATCCAAAGTTGCTTCGTTTCGCCGCTAGAGGACTTCAAAATTAACAAAAAGTGTATTCACGTTAAACATAAATTGCAATTAGTTGAAATCATTGCCAACTACGATAAGGTAACTGCAATGACGTAAACAAGGCTTGCAGATATTTAAAAATACCTTTTTTCTGGCTTAACCACTTATGTAATGAAAATCTTATAAGAGACAAAAACGGTTTAGAACTAAATGGGCTATTCAGAAATAATAATAATGTAATTATCGCCTGACCAGAAAAAAAATGGAGTAATATCCCGTGAACACATGACATTTCCATCATTCCTGTGTTTCTAAAATTGTTTCACCATTTCTGAAAAATGGTTTCAATTGATTTACACGTTTTCGAGTTATAAAAAAATAAAAGAATTTTTTTTGCTAACTTTGAAGTCCTCTAGCGGCGAAACGAAGCAACTTTGGATATAGATAACTTAACTTAAATCGACCTATTTTGAGCCAAGGAATCTATGGTCTTCCGTTGTACACGCATTTCGGAGACACTCTGTATAATACAGTTCGTTTTTTTTTTATAATACCTGTTAAATTGTTGTAAAGTTGGCAAAATTAACAGGGAGTTTTGTTTCATCATGTTTTGAAATAAATATGTCACAGTGACGTTTATTTGAGCTTTCCTTATTTAATATATACATATATTTATTTATTTATCTAAAAATTTATTAATATTTTAACCTCAACTATTTAGTTACTGAAAATGTCACTAGAAATCAAGAAAACTACATACATTTTATAAGGGTCCTAAGTAATACCAACAGACACCCTAAAAAATGTACCTTGACAAGTAATATAGAAAAAAAAAGAACTTATAGGTTGGTATTTTTTTATAACCTCTAAAACTTTTAACAATTAAGAAATTGTACGATGACGTTTAGTAGGGGGTTGTTAGCGAAACGATCTTAGGTTGGTGTTTTATTTTACAACCTCAAATATTTTTGACGTTTAAAGGACATAGGTTAGTATTTTTTTTTAATAACCTCAAAAAGTTTTGACAATAAAGAAATTGTGCAATGACGTTTAGGGGCTTTTATACAAATGATCTTATGTTGGTGCTTTATTTTATAACCTCAAATATTTTTGACGTTTAAAAGTGCATAGGTTGGTATTTTTTTTATAACCTCAAAAATTGTTGACAGTTAAGAAATTGTGCGATGACGTTTAGGGGGTTGTTATCGAAACGATCTTAGTTGTTGTTTTATTTTATAACCTTAAATATTTTTGACGTTTAAAGCTACATAGGTTGGTATTTTTTTTTATAACCTCAAAAATTGTTGAGGGTTAAGAAATTGTACGATGATGTTTAACGGTTTGTTATCGAAACGATCTCAGGTTGATGTTTTATTTTATAACTTCAAATATTTTTGACGTTTAAAGGTACATATAGTTCATTTTTTTTCTATAATACCTGTCAATTTGTTGTAAAGTTGGCAAAATTAACAGGGAGTTTTGTTTTATCATGTTTTGAAGTAAATATGTCACATTGACGTTTGAGCTTTCGTTATTCAAAAAGAAAGGTGCATAAAAAGTGTTGTGGGGTGTTTATTTGCCATTTACTTACCTAGAAAAGGTATTTTATTCTATTTAATTACTTTGTAGCACATTTTTATAACAAATATGTACTTCGTCAAAATCGTATTTATCTAAAAATTTATTAGTATTTTAACCTCAACTAATTAGTTACTGACAATGTTACTAAAAATCATGAAAACAACATAAATTTTATAAGGGTCCTAGATAATTTTTTTTTTAGTGTCGTCGAAGAAATAAAATTTACAGTTTCCTGTAAATTACGGTACTATAACTAAAACTTAAAAAAACATATTTTTCCAATCCAAAACAATGCAATTCATTAAATATTTCCGTAGTAACAGTTGGTGTAATAAACATAATTATTTGTTTTTAACTACCACAACAATAATACCTCACAATTTAAATACAGCCCCTTAATTTACAGGAAACTGTAAATTTCATTTCTTCGACGACACTTAAAAAAAAAGTACATTTATGTACCTTTAAACGTCAAAAATATTTGAGGTTTAAACCAGTTTAAACCTACTTCGTGTTTTATTTTATAACCTCAAATATTGTTGACATTTAAAACTACATAAGTCGGTATTTTTTTTTTATAACCTCAAAAATTTTTGACAATTAGATAATTGTACGATGACGTTTAGGGGGATGTCATCGAAACGATCTTAGATTGGTATTTTATTATAACCTCAAATATTTTTGACGTTTAATAGATAGGTTATTTTTTTTTATAACCTCAAAGATTTTTGACAGTTAAGAAATTGTACGATGATGTTTAACCTCATATATACCATATATAACCTCATAACCTCATATATTGATGACGTTTAAAGCTACATAGGTTGGAATTTTTTTTTATAACCTAAAAAATTTTTGACAATTAAGAAATTGTATAATGACATTTAAGGAATTGTTATCGAAACGATCATACGAAAATGTAAGTTTTATTTCAACATTTTTTTTCTTAATATTTTTCCAGTTCAACCCATCAATTATTATACATCATTTTAAAGAGAAAGCTTTGAGCTTTAATTTAAAATAAGTCTCATTCCTTAATTTCAATAAACACGGCTTCCAGGAATTTTTAAATTAGCATCTTTTTTGACATTTTTAGGTTATACGAACATGTAAGTTTTATTTCAACTTTTTTTTTCTCAATATTTTTTCAATCCAACCCATCAAGTATTATACATCATTTTAAAGAGAAAGCTTTGAGCTTTAATTTAAAATAAGTTTCATTCCTTAATTTCAATAAACACCGCTTCCAGGAATTTTTAAATTAGCATCTTTTTTAACATTTTTTGGTTATAAGAAAATGTAAGTTTTATTTCAACATTTTTTTTCTCAATATTTTTCCAATCCAACCCATCAATTATTATACATCCTTTTAAAGAGAAAGCTTTGAGCTTTAATTTAAAATAAGTCTCATTCTTTAATTTCAATAAATACGCCTTCCAAGAATTATTAAATTAGCATCGTTTTTGACATTTTTAGGTTATACGAAAATCTAAGTTCTATTTCAACATTTTTTTTCTCAATGTTTTTCCAATCCAACCCATCAATTATTATACATCATTTTAAAGAGAAAGCTTTAAGCTTTAATTGGAAATAAGTTTAATTCCTTAATTTCAATAAACACGGCTTCCAGGAATTTTTAAATTAGCATCTTTTTTGACATTTTTAGGTTATACGAAAATGTAGGTTTTATTTCAACATTTTTTTTCTCAATATTTTTCCAATCCAACCCTCCAATTATTATACATCATTTTAAAGAGAAAGCTTTGAACTTTAATTTAAAATAAGTCTCATTTCTTAATTTTAATAAATACGGCTTCCAGGAATTTTTAAATTAGCATCTTTTTTGACATTTTTAGGTTATACGAAAATGTAAGTTTTATTTCAACATTTTTTTTCTCAATATTTTTCCAATCCAACCCATCAAGTATTATACATCATTTTATAGAGAAAGCTTTGAATTTTAATTTAAAATAAGTTTCATTCCTTAATTTCAATAAACACGGCTTCTAGGAATTTTTAAATTAGTTAAGTTTTATTTCAACATTTTAGTTTAAAGCTACATAGGTTGGTATTTTTTTTATAACCTCAACAATTTTTGACAATTTAATAATTGTACGATAACATTTAGGGGGTTATTACCGAAAAAAAATCTTAGGTTGGTATTTTTATCCCAAATATTTTTGACGTTTAAAAGTCAAATTAAAAAAAATTTACGTTTAAAAATTTTTCACAATTAAAAAATTTTACAATGACGTTTAACCCCTCCTAAAAGTTGATATTTTTGTGTAACCCCAAAAATTTTTGACAAATAATAACAATTATTTAGGGAGTTCTTATCGAAACAAATTTAGGTTGGTATTATTTTTTAACGTCAAAATTTTTGACAGTTAAGAAATTGTACGATGATGTTTAAGGGGTTGTTATAGAAACGATTTTAAGTTGATTTTTTTTTTATAACCTCAAAAATTTTTCATTTTGATAATTAAAATAAACTAAGTGATGACATTTCAAATGACATTTTTTGGCAATTTATCTTTATTTCTTTATTTATTTCGTTGGTTAGCAACGAAATTCTTTAAAGTCAATATAAGCTCCGCCCATCTCTGTGACGTCAGACTTAGGCAGTCTATTGTACAATGACGTTTAGGGGGTTGTTTTCGAAACGATCATTTTTGACGTTTAAAAGTACATAGATTGACATTTTTTCGTAACCTCAAAAATTTTTGACAATTAAAAAATTTTACAATGACGTTTAAGGGGTTATTACGAAACGATTTTAAGTTGGTATTTTTTCTAACCTCAAACATTTTTGACAAATAACGACAATTAGGGAGTTCTTATCGAAACAAATTTAGTTAATTACGTTTGATAAGTTTCAATTAATTTGTTGATATTTTTTTTTATAACCTCAAAAATTTTTCACAATTAAAAAATTTTACAATGACGTTTAGGGGGTTATTACCGAAACGATTTTAAGTTGGTATTTTTTTGACGAATAACGACGATTAGGGAGTTCTTATCGAAACAAATTTAGGTTGGTATTATTTTTTAACGTCAAAAATTTGACAATTAAAAATGTTCAACGAATTAACTTCTAATTACGTTCGGTAAGTTTCAATTAACTTTATTTAATTACCCGAGGTTGTTCTTAGTTTAAATATTTCTCAAACGACATTGAAATTAATTTTTAATTCCGATACAAACCGCAATTAAATTTTAATTTAAACTTAGAACCGATTTAATTGTCTTGTTTATACAAGTCTGCTTAAATGCCAGCGTATTTCAATATAGTTAGCGAATAAACCAAAAAAAACTCACCTAATAACACTGGTTCAACAAAAATGAATCAATTCGTTTTACCCCATCATCTTTTATACGATTTATAAACGCAAAAAATTAATAAAACGTTAATTTAAAGACGATTTTAATAAATTAACATCAATTTTTTTTATATTCGCGTGTTTCGTGACAAAGATAATTCATGAATTTAACTTTTTAACGTGGAGATAATCTTTAAAATTATTTTATTTGATTAATGGTTATTTCCATAATAACTTTTTTATGTAACTTAACATAATTTGGTGTCATAACCTCAATTTCCGTTTGTTCCTAATCCACCGAATATATTAAATTATTGAAGCTTATTCACAGCTGCCTTAATCGGTTTAAACCTGTTAAAGTGGTTAAAATAGTTGGTATTGAGAGGAAACTCTTGGTTGTTATTGAAAAACTGAAAAAGTGTGTCATTTCGCGAATCTTCTTTCGCGTTCCTTTCGAAAGAAAGTTGCTGAGAAATGTGTTTACAACTATCAACAAAGTGAAATTTAACGTTAACACATGACATAGATCCGGATTTAACACTAAAAGAAAAATGATGAAAATACGACTCGGTTCTAAATTAACCACTTTAAACCGAGACTCGGTTTTAAAATTAGAACCGTTTAGGTTATGTCAAAACCAACGGTGAATTAATTTAATTTTAACTTCATCATAAAGTGTATCAAAAAATTTTTTTGACTTACCTAATATTTTCTTTAACTTGTTAAGGAGAGGATCCCCTTCCGCCGTCTCAGAAACGAAAATCCCTTCCAAACAATAATCCAAAAATTTTCCTTTTTCTCTTAATATCTCCTTATTAACATTTATTCCGGAAGACAACTTCGAAGACGAGGTGCGAAAAGGATTTGAATCGAATTTCGATTTATTTATTAAAAACGGTCGCGATTTTTTTGAACCGGCGCGTTTCGGGCCGGATATTTTCTTTTTCGGCTTAACACTCCCCGGCGGACGTGGAAATCGGCCCGAATAGGAGTTTTGGGGCCGAACTCGGTCGCAACAAAAATCAATACATATATAGAATATTCGTGCGCGTGTGGTTGGTTCATTCCCGTAAAACTAAGAACCCCAGCGCCGACTATATCGGGACGCGCGATACATATTTTATTTACAGAAAACTGTAATTTAATTGCTTTAAATAATTTGTTTTATGGTTAATAGATGGCGTTAGAAAAATTCAATAATATAAATAATGTTTTGATAAATGCCGTTTACAGGAAACTGTAAAATAGGAATCTGTACAAATGATAATTTATTATAATTTTTTGATTAATAAAATTGTTGCAAAAAAAACGATTTTTATTTATTCCCACCTAACAAACAATATTAATTTTATATTTGAATTAACTCAAATTATTATTAATTAAAAATACATTGCGGAAAGAATTTCGTTTTCAATTTTCACATTTACCTTCGTCAATGTCATTTAGAGGTCATTCAAGGTGAACTCAAGGAGACATCCTAAAATTTTCGTTTTCAATTTTCACTTTTACTTTCGTCAATGTCATTTAGANTTGCAAAAAAAACGATTTTTATTTATTCCCACCTAACAAACAATATTAATTTTATATTTGAATTAACTCAAATTATTATTAATTAAAAATACATTGCGGAAAGAATTTCGTTTTCAATTTTCACATTTACCTTCGTCAATGTCATTTAGAGGTCATTCAAGGTGAACTCAAGGAGACATCCTAAAATTTTCGTTTTCAATTTTCACTTTTACTTTCGTCAATGTCATTTAGAGGTCATTCAAGGTGAACTCAAGGTGACATCCTAAAAATTTCGTTTTCAATTTTCACTTTTACCTTCGTCAATGTCATTTAGAGGTCATTCAAGGTGAACTCAAGGTGACATTTTTAAAATTTCGTTTTCAATTTTCATTTTTACCTTCGTCAATGTCATTTAGAGGTCATTCAAGGTGAACTCAAGGACACATCCTCAAAGTTTTGAGAAAAATTTTCATTTTAACTAGGTCAAGGCCAATTAACTTAAATTATTACATTGCCGAAAAAACTTTGTTAGCGCAGTTTCAAACCAGCGAAATTTGTAATATCAATCATAGATGGCGTAGATTAAAAATTTGTATTGGTTCGAAACTCGGCTAATAAAAAATTATACTGGGTGTTAAATTGAATTAAAACACATTGATTTATAATAAATTGATTTATTGTAATGAAATTAAAAGAAAAAAAAGCACAACTTGCTTATTTCATGGTGTTTGTAGTACAAAAAGTATTCTTACAATTTATTTAAAGTAATCAACGTTAATCTTACACACTAAACGCATTTATTTACAAGATTTATGAAACTAGATTAGTTTTCAGTCTAAACATGCTAAAACTCAACAAACATCAAGTTACTCAAATTCATTTTGTGTTAATGGGAATGTACCAAACTTTTTTGGCAAAATAACCAAGTAATTCCTATTTAATTATATACATTACATCTATTTACAATCCTTTTTAATACTTAATACTTTTCCTCTAATAAAGAATCGATTACATATCATCAATAAACAACACGGAACTATTATTCGATTTACTCACCTCGTCATTTTTATCTACTAAATCGCAATCCTTTTTCACATCAATCGTTTTTCGCCTCACCCGCTTCTTCTTATCATCACTCCTCAAAAACGCATCCAAATTCTCCATGATACTCGGCTCCATAAATCGGAAAACAACACTTTTCTTGCCGTGTCTTAACTCGATATGGCTCACGATTTTCCTCCACGTCGTAAACCGTTGCGAACAATAAATGCAGTTAAAAATTAACTTATCGTGTTTAGATTGGTGCGAGATCATTTCCGCTTCGGAAGAAAAATTTTCTTTGCACTCATCGCAAGTGTTAACATTTTTCGCATCATCACTTAACATGCTTATATCAACATCCATCCCTGAATGTTTCAGGAAAAAATGTTGACTCACCGTGACCATGCTAACAAAAGGTTCGTAACAAATATTACAACGATATCGGTAAACTCGTGGAATTTCCGCCGGATGTTTTTGTTTCGAATGATCCGATTGCTCATCAATGGTTCCTATAAATTCGCAATAATAGCATTTAATTTTCATCTTTTCTTCTTCTTTGTAGGAGATTTCGGCGCGTTTTTTGGCGTGCTTCAAATAATGCGTTATTAAGAGTCCTTGGGAGGGGTCGATTGCCGACATGGATTCTTCCAAATTCTTGCAACTTTCCGCGTAACGGGTGTGTTGTTTAAAACTGTGCAAAGTTATGGTTCCGAAATTGCAATGCTTGCAGGTGTAGGTTTTCTCGATGAAATGTCGCGAGATGTGTTTCCAACGCAAAAACGTTTTATCCGATCTAAAATTCATTAAATTGAGACAATTAGAATGGAAAAATTCAAAAATCATTCAAATTGATCGTTAAATTTAAATTTAGAATCAAAAATCGTCTCATTTGAGCCCAAATTCGAGTTAATTCGGATTAAAATTAACAAATTCCGGTTAAACCGGAAGTAATGGAATGATAGTTCAATTTGATCGTTAAATTTAAATTTAGAATCAAAAATCGTTTAATTTGAGCCCAAACTCGATTATATTCGGATTAAAATTAACCAACTTCCGGTTGAACCGGAAGTAAGGCTTTTTTACGATTTATTAACGATTTTAAATCGAATTTTTAATAAAAATTTCTTTAATTAAGCGAATTAATCGTTTTAAATCGATTTAAAAATTAATAATCGTTTTATTCGAGCCCAAATTCGATTTAAAATTAACCAACTTCCGGTTAAACCGGAAATAACGGAATGATAACTCTAATTAATCGTTAAAATTGAATTCAGAATCAAAAATCGTCTCATTTGAGCCCAAACTCGACTAATTTCGGATTAAAATTAATCAACTTCCGGTTAAACCGGAAGTAAGGCTTTTTTTACGATTTATTAAAGATTTTAAATCGAATTTTTAATAAAAACTTCTTTAATTAAACGAATTAATCGTATTAAATCGATTTAAAAATTAAAAATCGTTTCATTTGAGCCCAAATTCCACTTAAAATTAACCTACTTCCGGTTAAACCGGAAATAGTGGAATAAAAAGTCTAATTAATCGTTAAAATTAAATTCAGAATCAAAAATCGTCTCATTTGAGCCCAAACTCGACTAAATTCGGATTAAAATTAACCAACTTCCGGTTAAACCGGAAGTAAGGCTTTTTTTACGATTTATTTACGATTTTAAATCGAATTTTTAATAAAAACTTCTTTAATTAATCAAATTAATAATTTTAAAACGATTTAAAAATTAAAAATCGTTTCATTTGAGCCAAAATTCGACTTAATTCGGATTTATATTAACCAACTTCCGGTTAAACCGGAAGTAGGGCTTTTTTACGATTTATTAACGATTGTAAATCGAATTTTTAATAAAAAATTCTTTAATTAATCGTTTTAAATCGATTTAAAGATTAAAAATCGTCTCATTTAAGCCCAAACTCAACTAAATTCGGATTATAATTAATCAACTTCCGGTTAAACCGGAAATAACGGAATAATAACTCAAATGAATCGTTAAAATTAAATTCAGAATCAAAAATCGTCTCATTTGAGCCCAAACTCGACTATATTCGGATTAAAATTAACCAACTTCCGGTTAAACCGGAAGTAACGCTTTTTTTACGGTTTATTAACGATTTTAAATCGAATTTTTAATATAAACTTCTTTTATTAGACAAATTAATCATTTTAAACCGATTTAAAAATTAAAAATCGTTTCATTTGAGCCAAAATTCGACTAAATTCGGATTAAAATTAATCAACTTCCGGTTAGACCGGAAGTAAGGCTTTTTTTACGATTTATTAACGATTTTAAATCGAATTTAAGAATGATGAAATTATATCAATTACAATTAACACTCACCTATAATTGCAGAACAAACACAAATATTTCTCCTCAACCCCAACTTTTAACCCTTCCAACTTCAAAATTCTTGCTTGCACCCCAACGGTAATCTTAACCCAATTCTCAATTTGCTCGTCGATTTTTTGCAACACCACCCCTTCATCGTCCATCTCAAAACCATCAGCACCTTTATGCTCCACCCTGTAATGATTCGAAACGACTTCGCGGGTTGCATCGCAAAAATCGCACATCGTACACTTAAAAGGGGCGCATTGCAGCTCTTCGTACAAATGAGATTTAAACTCCAACTCGGTGTCCGAGCCGCATTTATCACAAAGGGGGCACTTAAATTTTCCTTCCCACGGCGTTCCATAAGGACCGTAAGTTCCAATTAAATTCCCTTTAATTAAATCATTTTTCGATAACTTTTCGACATCTTCAATCGATAAATCGTTCGAATCCAATAAAACTTTTTCATCTTCTAAATCAATTATCGGAATGATGACGTTTGACGTTTTCGGTGAATTTGACGTTTCGAGGTTTTGTTTTTTTTGAGGTTGGTATTTTTTTTGGGGTTGATTTTTTTTTTGGGGTTGGTGCTTTTTTTGAGGTTGGAGTTGTTTCGTTTGACGTTTCGGGTTACATTTAACCTTACTTATTTGTTTTGGCGAATCTAAATCGATTATTTCCAACGGATTTTCGTCGATTTGTAATTGATATTCAGATTCGCTGTCGTTTTGGTCATTTTCCGATTCGTTTTGAGGTAAATTTTCTTGTAATTCATTTTTTGACACATTTTGAGATAAATTCTCGTTTTTACTTGTATTATCGTCAATTTGAGATGAATCGTTATCGATTTGAGTTGAAATTTTTCTCGAATAAGTTTTTAAATTCGAATCTAAATTGATTTTTGCACCCTCCTCAACGTCCAAATCGATCGTTTCAACCTTTTCGTCCTCAACACTCGAAGATAAAGCCTTAATTTTCGCCGATCGAGTACTCCTTTTCACATTTACATCAACTTTACAAATAATTTCTTTTAAATTATCCTTCAATTTATCTTTTAAACTCCCCACATCCTCAACAACACCTTTTTTTTCGCAATTTTCATCCTCAATAATTTGAATAACCTCATCATCTTTATTAACTTTTCTCTTCTTTTTAACAACCTCCTCTAAATCATCATTCGACTTCCTCTTAATCAATTTTTTCCTGCTTAATGGAGTCGTTTCTTCCAGCAAAATCCCTCGAATATGCTTAACGCTTTTATTTCTTTGCCACAACGGCGTCGTATTAAAAGCATCCTCGTTTTGTATCGCAGATTTCGCCTCTCCCTCTTTATAATAAGAAACGATAAAATCAACAGCTTGCCCCTCATGATTAACAGTAAAATGGCTCGTAAAGCTTTCAACATCATCACTCCCAACGGGGCATAAAGCGCATTTGTACTTCAAATCGATGTTGTGTTTACTCTCAACATGATTTTTAATCTCGGATAAATCGCCACAACGAAATTTGCAAATTCCACATCGAAAGGGGCGATCCTTCTCGGTTAAATTCTCCTCCAAACTTAATTCCTTAATCTCTCTCACAACGATTAAATTTTGCGGCTTATCCTGGTGCTTATCAGAAAGATGCCTCTCGATTTTATGCTTTAAATTATGCGTAAAATCGCAAACGCTACATTTATAAAGGTGAGAATCATGCAACTTCATATGCTTCAAAACAACATCGACGTTAATCGTTTTATCCTCAATCAAAAATAAGTTGCAATGCACGCATTTATAACTCATCTCGTTTCCATGAAACGCCAAAATATGCCTCCTCAACATCCCCTCATCCAAACATTGATAATGGCAATTCTCGGCGCCACAAACAAAGCGATTCGGGACGGGGATAAATCCAGGAATATTCACCTTAATCACGGGAGTGCCCCCCATTCGCCCCCCGACGTGGGAGCTACTCGCCAAATTCACCATCTTATCGAACATCTTCTCATTTTTATCCAAACAAGGAACCGGATTAACCGGCGCGCTCTCTGGGACTTCGTTTTGAGTGACGTGCATTTGTAAATGCCGCTCCATATTCGTTTTAACCTTCGTTTCGTAATCGCAAATTGCGCATTTAACGGGCTGGGGGTAAATCGGCTGTCGAGGGAGCTTCGAGATATCGTCCGGACCAAAAGTTAATTTTAAAATTAAATTATTCGAGTTTGATTCCGTGGTTACGGTCGATACTTTTAAACTAATGTCGTTTATGTTTCTTGCGGTCTGTCGGGGGCGCAGGACGAAATCGTCCGAATCGGGATCGGCCTAAAATTAATCACTTTGTTAGTATAAAGAAACGATTTAGTATAAATAATAAATAAAGAAAAAAATTGACGTTTAATGACCTGTATCTGCTTTATCGGCTTTTGGATACGTTCTTAATTAAAGTAATTATTTTATTAATGTAAATTAATTTATTTATTTAAATTGAAAAAAATGTTTAATTAATTCGTTTATAATTAAAAAATTAATTTAAATAAATTTAACAAAAAAAAATAAATAAATAACTAACAGAAATATTCAATGAAATGAGCAACAAAAAAGAATTGAAAAATTTCTGCTTTATCGACTATGAATACGTTCAATTAATAAATCAATGAAATGTCAAAAAATGAAATATAACCTTCAAAATTATCATATTTAGTGATCTTATTATTACCTAACGCGATTTACTAACGATTTTGAATCTAATTAAAAAAAAATCCTTTAATTTGTAGAATTCGTCGTTTTAAAAATTAAAAATNCATTAAAAAATTAATTTATATAAAATAAAAAAAAAAAAGTAAATAATTTCGAAATATTCAATAAAATGAGCAACAAAAAAGAATTGACGTTTAATGAGAAGTTTCTGCTTTATCGACTATGAATACGTTCAATTAATAAATCACTGAAATGTCAAAAAATGAACTCTAATCTCAAAATAATTAGAAATACATTTCTACACAAAATTCTGAAATAAATCAGTAAATTAGGTGGATCCGAATGTAACGTTTAAAAATAAAAAAGATTTTTTAATCTATAGTGGAAGGGATACAGAAAGATATCACTCAACAGAAGAATAGTTTTAGTAAATAGTCTTCAGCCAGTAGTATTGTAATATCCAAGCACTTAGTAGTGTTTTGGCAGCAGTATATAGTCTTCTGAAAGCATTAAATAGTCTTTGCCAACAATATTTAGCTTTCTCCAAGCAATTAGTACTCTTTCCAACAATATTTAACATTCTGAAAGGAATTAATAGTTTTTTGGAAACAGTATCTTGTCATTCCAAGCAGATAATAGTTTCTCCCAGATGTATTTAATCTTCTCCAAGCAGGTCGTAATCTTTTTTTAGTAGTATATAGCGCTCTGAAACGACTAAGTAGTCTTATGGAAGCAGTATCTCGTCTTTCCAATCAGTTTGTATTTGTTTGTTAGTACTATTCTAGTCTTTCTAGAGTTCTTGTTAGTACTATCTCAGTATTTAGCATTCTGGCAACATTAGATAGCTTTTTAGGAAGCATATCTCTCCATCCAAGCAGTTATTAGTCTTTTCCTAAGCTTAACTAAGCTTTTTTGAAGAAACTTAAGCTAATTAACCGGTTTTAAACCAACAAAAAAAATTGACGTTTAATGACACGTATCTGCTTTATCGACTTTTTGGATACGTTCTTAATTAAAGTAATTATTTCATTAGCGTAAATTGATTTATTTATTTAAAACGAAAAAATGTTTAATTAATTCGTTTATAATTATTCATCAAATAATTAATTTAAATAAATTTAAAAAAAAATAACTAATTTAGATAAGTTCAATAAAATGAGCAACAAAAAAGAATTGACGTTTAATGAGAGGTTCCTGTTGTATCGACTTTGGATACATTCAATTAATAAATCATTGAAATGTCAAAAAATGAGTACTAACCTCAAAACAAATCTAATAATTTAGTTTAATTGTTAAAAATATTAAACATTAATTAACAAAATTGGATCTAAGATTGATGAAAAGAAAAGAAAAAATCAATGAAACTTAAAAGGAAAGAATTTTACCTGAAGAATTGAAACAAGGAGGTACAAATAACCTAATAGAAGACAAGAAATCAGCCTTACAAAATACAATAATCCACATGACTATAATAAATGCAAATTTGACAAAAACACAGAAATGAACATTGAAACCCAGAAGTGTTTTTTTAAATAAATTAAAAAAATTAATGAATTAATAACTTACTTTTCGTCCAGAGAACATCGCCGGTAAAACAATCGCACAATTAACATTATGAATACTCCTCATATGAACCCTCACCGATTCTTGTTGCCAATGTTTAAACGCGCACAAAGAACATTTAAACCTTTTCCTTCCATGTTCTCGATAATGCTGTAACAACCCAAGAAGCGATCTTCGTTCCTTCCCGCAATGAGCGCACAAATACGGCTTTGTAGCGCAATTAAAAATGTGCGGCTTTAAAAGCGCCATCGATTCGTAAGAATTTCCACAATTACACTTATAAAGTGCGAGTCCTGTTAACTCCGCCGAAGGCATTTTATCGTCACCCTCTTCTTCGAGACAAAGTGGATCAGAATCCTCGAGAATGTTTAAGTCATCGTCAATCGAGAAGATTTCTTGTTCTTCCAATGGAAGAGGTTTTTCTTTTTTCGCTTCAATTTGATTAAGATGATTCGGCGAGTCTAATTCGGGGATTGATTCCGGGTCGGTTTCCAAGTTTTTTACTGTTATTTCCGTTGAATCGGCTACGTTCGGTTTAGAGGTGCAAAGATGCGCTTGTTCGGGTAATTGGATTAAGTTGTTGGTGATGGGTTGATTTGATGCGAGGACTTGATCAGGACGAACCTAAAAAATATCAACATCGTGTTATAAAATGTGTTTTCGCAAAAATACCGAAACACAAATGATTCATTCCCTCCCGAACGCAAAATCTACGTGCTTTTAGTCACGTACGCACTCGAAATTCGCAACCGGGCTTAATTCGATTTTAAAATCAAACTTTTCTTGAACTAATTGTAACGAAATGAAGTTTTTTTAAAGAAACTTACGCAAATTAATCGGGGAAATAAAATTAAAAAGTTAAAATCGGCGGTTAAGAGATAACCAATAAAAAAATTGACGTTTAATGACATGTATCTGCTTTATCGGCTTTTGAATACGTTCTTAATTAAAGTAATTTTAATTAATTTATTTATTTAAAATGAAAAATTTTTAAATAATTCGTTTATAATTATTTATTAAAATAAATAATTTAAATTAATTTAAAAAAATTACTAATTTATTATAAAATTAGCAACAAAAAAAGAATTGACGTTTAATGAGACGATCCTGCTTTATCGACTTTGAATACGTTCAATTAATAAAGCATTGAAATGTCAAAAAAATGAAATCTAACCTTCAGAATTATATTAAAAAAACTAGATAATTCTACTATTTTGATAAAAAAATGTACCTTTTCACTTGACAGTGTGGATTCTATTTTGGAAAACGTTCACTTTATTAATACCATAACATATTCAATGATAAAGAAAATGGCAGAAAACGCAAAGAGAAATTTAATAACCAGTTACAATAGAATTTTGAAAGAAGGAGATGATTGTACCTATTCTTAAACCAGGAAGAAGGTCTAATAAGTCTAATAAGATATGTATTAGAAAAGTCTTTGAGAAAATTATCACTAACAAATTGGAATGGTGGTTAGAGTATAACAAGGTGTTGGAGGAAACACAATTTGGATTTAAAAAGGGTAAGGGAGTAATGCACGCTAATTAGCTATTGAATCTGGGGAAAAAAAGGCAAGTAGAGAGGATTACCTCAGAGTAGTCAAATAAGTAAGTACTGTTTAACGTTTATGTTAGAGGATTTAATGAAATGTTGAAAAACACCAATGCTACTGTTATATATTATGCAAAACTTACGTTAATTAATCGGTTTTAATGAAATTAAAAAGTTAAAATCAACAAATAAAATTGACGTTTAATGACATGTATCTGCTTTATCGACTTTTGGATACGTTCTTAATTAAATTAATTATTTTATTAATGTAAATTAATTTATTTAAAATGATTTTTTTTTAATTAATTCTTTTATAATTATTTATTAAAATAAATAATTTAAATAAATTTAAAAATTAATTTATTATAAAATTAGCAACAAAAAAGCATTGACGTATAATAAGAAGGTCCTGCTTTATCGACTTTGAATACGTTCAATTAATTAATCATTGAAATGTCAAAAAAATGAAATCTAACCTTCAAAATTATATTAAAAAAACTAGATAATTCTATTTTGATAAAAAAAATGTACCTTTTCACTTGACAGTGTGGATTCTATTTTGGAAAACGTTCATTTTATTAATACCATAACATATTCAATGATAAAAAATGTTTTCCCAGAAAATGTAAAGAAAAATTTAATAACCAGTTACAATAGGATTTTGAGAGGAGGAGATTTACCGAAAGATTGGGAAAGTTCCATAATTGTACCTATTGTTAAACTTGGAAAAAGACTTAATAAAGAAAAGTCTTTGGGAAAATTATCATTAACAGATTGGAATGGTGGTTAGAGGAGCTTAAGAAGGTGCTGGAGGAAACACAATTTGGATTTAGAAAAGGTAAGGGAGTATATATTATGCAAACTTACGCTAATTAATCGATTTTAATAAAATTAAAAAGTTAAAATCAACAAAAAAAATTGGCGTTTAATGACATGTATCTACTTTATCGGCCTTTGGATACGTTCTTAAAGTATTTATTTTATTAATGTAAATCAATTAATTTATTTAAAATGAAAATTTTTTTAATTAATTCGTTTATAATTACTTATTTAAAAATTAATTAAAATAAATTTAAAAAAAAATAACTAATTTAAATACGTACAAAAAAGAATGAAGTTCCTATTTTATCGACTTTGGATACGTTCAATTAATTAATCATTGAAATGTCAAAAAATGAAATCTAACCTCAAAATAAATCTAATAATGTTGTTTAATTGTTAAAAATATTAATAAAATAAACATTTTTGTTAAAAACTCACCACATTTTCATTGGGAACAAACATCCTATAGTAGAAGCAACACGATTTTTGGGAATGATTCGCAGCTTGATGGCGCCCCATTTCCTTGTAAGTTGTCGTTGCCTTTCTGCAATAACGACATTGGAAAGGCCCGATTTCCTTTGTTAACCAACGCTCCGAAATCGATTTTTCTTCTTCCGCCGATTCATGAGATTCCTTTAAATGCTTGACATATTCATCAAAAAAGAGCGTTTTATACGAACAATTAAGCGAATCTGAAAAAGGATTAAATTTAATCAATTAATTAAAATAAAACGTTTAAATAAAAAAAATTAAATTAAAAGTAGAAACGTCAAAATGACATTTTAACCTAAAAAAGTGACATTTTAACATAAAAAATGACATTTTAACTTAAAAAAAGTGACATTTTAATTTAAAAAAGTGACATTTTAACCTAAAAAAAGTGACATTTTAACCTAAAAAAATGACATTTTAACCTGAAAAATGACATTTTAATCTAAAAAATGACATTTTAACCTAAAAAAGTGACATTTTAACATAAAAAAGGTGACATTTTAACCTAAAAAATGACATATTAAACTAAAAAATGACATATTAAACTAAAAAATGACATTTTAAACTAAATATGACATTTTAACCTAACAAATGACATTTTAATCTAAAAAATGACATTTTAACCTAAAAAAGTGACATTTTAAACTAAAAAATGACATTTTAACCTAAAAATTAATTAAAATATATTTACCATCATCATTGCAAGTATAATTCAAAATAACATCTTCGATTTTTGGGCAACCCATCTCCCCAGAGGCAGCTTTATTGGTAATTTTGAGTGGTCGCAAATGATAAACGTTTTGTTCTGAATTAGGGTGTTCCATCTCTCGGTGTAAAGCGACGAAATAAGCGCAAGTCGCGCGATAAAAGCAATCACCGCAAGCATATCGACTCTGTCCATGACGCACCTCCAAATGTATAAAATAAAAACTCCCCAACACTTTATAATCACAATATAAACACGGCACCAAAATGTTGGTTAAAGTGGGATGTTTTTGTGTGAAATGCCGTTGGAAATCGATCAAAGTGATCGTTGAGAAACCACAATCGTATTGAGGGCACTTATAAAACGAATTTAAATATTCTATATTCAACATTCTTTTTAAAACTTTCGGCGATTTCCTGTTATTTTTTTCATCTTCCGTTAAAGGGATATCCCTTAAAATAATCTTCCCCGGCGAAATCACCGTTTGAAAGGGCGGTTTTACTTTGAGATTAGTTTTTGGCGTCGCCAATGATTGCACCAACGAAATAATCGGCATTTTAATTTCGCTGTTATTATCGTTATTACGTTCCGGCGATTTCTCTTCAACTTCTTTCACCAGCGGTATTAAAGGGGGCGGCGATAAAACTCGATTCGAATTTTTAGTCGCCAACGACGTCACGTTGGTGATAACAAAAGGGAATTTCGAACAATCGGAACCTTGCGATAAAACGTTTGGAACATCGTGCGGTAATTTAAAGGTGTTAGGTTTAAATGGGTCGGTTTCAAAGAAATCTTTATGTGCCGTGATGACGTGGTTGAAGACGTCGTAAACGGAAACGAATTCACCGTCGTATTCGAATTTGATGGAGCAAACGTCGCATTTACCCGTGTTAAAAACGTAAACGTAGGTTTTGTGTTTTATTTGGCAATGACGTGAGAATAAGTTGTCGTTTAACGTTGAGTATTTGCAATGGGGGACTTTACAGACGTAGGTGAAAACCCCATTTTTTTTTATCACGCAAATTGGGCCCACTAATAAGGTGTTTTTGAAAGCTCCGCTTATTGAGAATGTTTTTTCTTCTTTTAATTCTGTTTGATTGTCTTCCGCGGTTGATACGTTTATTAATTTTTCTTGGAGTCTGTTTATTATGTTTGATACAGAGATGTTTTCTTTTTTTTGTGGCATAACTTCGATTGTTTTAAACGGTAAATCGATTACTTTTTTAATCGATTTTTCTGGTAAAGTTTTTTCTTCTTCTTTTGGTGGATTCGGTAACGATTCTAATTGAATTGAATTTTCTTCGATCGTTAAATTTTCCGTGGTGATATCCAAGGGGTCCATTTCTTTGTTTTGGTCTTTATTAGTTAACTGCAAAAAAAAATTAATTAATTACATTTGAACGGATAGACGAAGGATATTACAAAAAGAAATTTGTAACTCAATTTTGTAATATTTGTAATCTTCATTAAAAATCCTTTAAAATGAGTACAAACACGACATATTTATGTTCAATATTAATGAAGTTATGATCAACTTCCGGTTAGAAATGTCAACGTCAATTTTGACATATTTGTAATGGTCGTGAAAAATCCTTTAAAATGAGTCCAAACATGATACGTTTAACTCCAATATTACTCGAGATATAAGCAACTTCCGGTTTGAAATGTCAATGTCATTTTCACAAATTCTTAATTTTTATAAAATGTGTTAAAATTTGTCACAAAAACAAAAATATAATAAAAAAAAATAAAAAATTGAGATTAAAAATTAATTTGTTGCTAACTTCGGGTTTAATGTTTTTTATTCTAACTTTTTTGTTTTTTGAGATACATACATCATGTTTGGACTCATTTTCAAGGTTTTTTAATAAAGAATACCATGAAGTTGTCCATTTGCCTATTATATTATGTATAATTAATTATTACTTATATATAGTTAGGTTAGAATCTGTCAAATGTCAAAAATGAATTTAATAATTTTAGGATAAATGTTGAAATAACCGTAATAAAAATCAAAACGCATTTAATTTGATACCAAACATGACCTATTTAGATTAAAAAATGAAAAAGTTAGGTTAGAATCTGTCAAATGTCAAAATCGAATTTAATTATTTTATGATAAATGTTGAAATAATCTTAATAAGAAACAAAAGCCTTTTAATTTGATACCAAACATGACCTATTTAGGTTAAAAAATAAAATGTTAGGTTAAGAATTCAACAAAAAACCCGCCATTTTGTTTTTCTTGACGTAATTTCAATATTTTCGTAAATATGTCGAGTTTGGATTCATTTTAAAGGATTTTTAATTTCCTTTAGGATGCAATTGGTTAAAAACGATTTTAAAAGATTAAAAAATTAATAACAAATAATTTTTATTCAAAATTTTTTTTATCTTATTTTTTCTATTATATTCTTAATCTTCATCAAAATCTCTTTAATTTGATACCGAACACAACTAATTTCTGATAAAAATCAAAAAGGTTAGGTTAGGAATCAATAAAAAATCCGCCATTTTGTTTTATTTTGACGTAATTTTTATATTATCGTAAATAGGTCGAGTTTGGACTCATCTTAAAGGATTTTAAATTTCCTTTATGATGCAATAGGTTAGAAACGAAAATTTGTTAGGTTAAGAATGAACAAAGCTGCCAAACGACAAAATATGACATTAACTGTCAAAAATATGACACTTTACACATTAAATTTCGAATGTTTTAATTTTTAGTTTTACACTAATCACTAGAACTAACACAAGTTAGTTTTTTAGTTTTTTGATAAAGAATACATCATGAAAGAACACCATGAAGTTCTCCATTTATATGATAACTAACTTCAGATTTAAAATATCAACCTCAATTTTGACATATTTATAATCTTCATTAAAAACGCTTTAAAATGAGTACAAACATGACATATTTATCTTCAATATTAATGAAGTAATGGTCAACTTCCGGTTAGAAATGTCAACGTCAATTTTGACATATTTGTGATCGACGTGAAAAATCCTTTAAAATGAGCCCAAACATGATACGTTTAATTCCAATATTACTCGAGATAAAAGCAACTTCCGGTTTGAAATGTCAATGTCATTTTGACATATTCTTAATTTTTATAAAATGTCTTAATATTTGTCACAAAAACAAAAATATAAAAAAAAAAAATAAAAAATTAAGGTTGGTATTAATATTTAAAAATTAAATTGCTATCTTCATTGTTGCTAACTTCGGGTTTAATGTTTTTTATTCTAACTTTTTTGTTTTTTGAGATAAGTGCGTCATCTTTGGACTCATTTTAAAGGTTTTTTAATGAAGATGACAAATATGTCAAAATTGACGTTGACGTTTCAAACCGGAAGTGATTGTATCTCCATTAATATTGAAGTTAAATATGTCGAGTTTGGACTCATTTTAAAGGATTTTTTATGAAGTTCATAAATATGTCAAAATTAAAAGTTGAAAGTTTTTTAATAAAGAATTCATCATGAAAGAATACAATGAAGTTGTCCATTTGTCTATTACACAGGTTTAAAATGTCAACGTAAATTTTGACATATTTGTAATCTTCATTAAAAATCCTTTAAAATGAGTACAAACACGACATATTTATCTTCAATATTAATGAAGTTTGGTCACCTTCCGGTTAGAAATGTCAACGTCAATTTTGACATATTTGTAATCGTCGTGAAAAATCTTTTAAAATAAGCCCAAACATGATATGTTTAATTCCAATATTACTCGAGATATAAGCAACTTCCGGTTTGAAATGTCAATGTCATTTTGACATACTCTTAATTTTTGTAAAATGTCTTAAATTTTATCACAAAACCAAAAATATAACAAAAAAAAAATCAAAAATTAAGGTTGGTATTAATATTTAAAAATTAAATTGTTATTTTCATTGTTGCCAACTTAGAGTTTAACGTTTTTATTGTAACTTTTTTGTTTTTTGAGATAAATGCATCATGTTTGGACTCATTTTAAAGGTTTTTTAATAAACATGACAAATATGTCAAAATTGACGTTGACGTTTCAAACCGGAAGTGATTGTATCTCCATTAATATTGAAGTTAAATATGTCGAGTTTAGACTCATTTTAAAGGATTTTCTATGAAGTTCACAAATATGTCAAAATTAAAAGTTGAAAGTTTTTTAATAAAGAATTCATCATGAAAGGATACAATGAAGTTGTCCATTTGTCTATTATACAGGTTTAAAATGTCAACCTCAATTTTGACATATTTGTAATCTTCATTAAAAATCCTTTAAAATGAGTCCAAACATGATACGTCTAATTCCAATATTACTCGAGATATAAGCAACTTCCGGTTTGAAATGTCAACGTCATTTTGATATATTCTTAATTTTTATAAAATGTGTTAAAATTTGTCACAAAAACAAAAATATAATAAAAAAAAATCAAAAATTGAGGTTGGTATTAATGATTAAAAATTATGTTGCTAATTTCAATGTTGCCAACTTTAATATTTGGTTTTTTTTTTTTTCGAGATAAATTAATATGTTCAGACTCATTTTAAAGGTTTTTTTCAATAAAGAATACATCATGAATTCATTTGTCTATTATATTATGCATAATTAATTATTACTTATATATAGTTAGGTTAGAAACTGTCAAATGTCAAAAATCGAATTTAATTATTTTATGATAAATATTGAAATAATCGTAGTAAGAATCAAAAATCTCTTAATTTGATACCAAATATGACCTATTTAGGTTAAAAAATGAAAAAGTTAGGTTAGAATCTGTCAAATGTCAAAATCGAATTTAATTATTTTATGATAAATGTTGAAATAATCTTAATAAGAAACAAAAGCCTTTTAATTTGATACCAAACATGACCTATTTAGGTTAAAAAATAAAATGTTAGGTTAAGAATTCAACAAAAAACCCGCCATTTTGTTTTTCTTGACGTAATTTCAATATTTTCGTAAATATGTCGAGTTTGGATTCATTTTAAAGGATTTTTAATTTCCTTTAGGATGCAATTGGTTAAAAACGATTTTAAAAGATTAAAAAATTAATAACAAATAATTTTTATTCAAAATTTTTTTTATCTTATTTTTTCTATTATATTCTTAATCTTCATCAAAATCTCTTTAATTTGATACCGAACACAACTAATTTCTGATAAAAATCAAAAAGGTTAGGTTAGGAATCAATAAAAAATCCGCCATTTTGTTTTATTTTGACGTAATTTTTATATTATCGTAAATAGGTCGAGTTTGGACTCATCTTAAAGGATTTTAAATTTCCTTTATGATGCAATAGGTTAGAAACGAAAATTTGTTAGGTTAAGAATGAACAAAGCTGCCAAACGACAAAATATGACATTAACTGTCAAAAATATGACACTTTACACATTAAATTTCGAATGTTTTAATTTTTAGTTTTACACTAATCACTAGAACTAACACAAGTTAGTTTTTTAGTTTTTTGATAAAGAATACATCATGAAAGAACACCATGAAGTTCTCCATTTATATGATAACTAACTTCAGATTTAAAATATCAACCTCAATTTTGACATATTTATAATCTTCATTAAAAACGCTTTAAAATGAGTACAAACATGACATATTTATCTTCAATATTAATGAAGTAATGGTCAACTTCCGGTTAGAAATGTCAACGTCAATTTTGACATATTTGTGATCGACGTGAAAAATCCTTTAAAATGAGCCCAAACATGATACGTTTAATTCCAATATTACTCGAGATAAAAGCAACTTCCGGTTTGAAATGTCAATGTCATTTTGACATATTCTTAATTTTTATAAAATGTCTTAAAATTTATCACAAAACTACAAATATAATTAAAAAAAAATCAAAAATTAAGGTTGGTATTAATATTTAAAAATTAAATTGCTATCTTCATTGTTGCTAACTTCGGGTTTAATGTTTTTTATTCTAACTTTTTTGTTTTTTGAGATAAGTGCGTCATCTTTGGACTCATTTTAAAGGTTTTTTAATGAAGATGACAAATATGTCAAAATTGACGTTGACGTTTCAAACCGGAAGTGATTGTATCTCCATTAATATTGAAGTTAAATATGTCGAGTTTGGACTCATTTTAAAGGATTTTTTATGATGTTGACAAACATGTCAAAATTAAAAGTTGAAAGTTCGAATTTTTTGAACTTTTTACTTTAAAGGTTTTTTTAATAAAGAATACATCATGAAAGGACACCATGAAGTTTTCCATTTGTCTATTATATGATAACTAACTTCAGCTTTAAATTGTCAACTTCAATTTTGACATACAGTGAAATTCTCCTAACTCGAATCACTAACGGAGTGGAAGAAAACTTCGAGTTATGGAAAATTCGAGTTAGAGAAACACATTTAAACACATTTGAAGCCTAGTCAAACACTTGAGCTTACGAAAATTAGAGGATAATTCGAGATATAGAAGTTCGAGTTAGGCGAATTTCACTGTATTTGTAATCTTCATTAAAAATGCATTAAAATGAGTACAAACACGACATATTTATCTTCAATATTAATGAAGTTATGGTCAACTTCCGGTTAGAAATGTCAACGTCAATTTTGACATATTTGTAATCGTCGTGAAAAATCCTTTAAAATGAGCCCAAACATGATACGTTTAATTCCAATATTACTCGAGATATAAGCAACTTCCGGTTTGAAATGTCAATGTCATTTTGACATATTCTTAATTTTTATAAAATGTGTTAAAATTTGCCACAAAAACAAAAATACAATAAAGAAAAATCAAAAATTAAGGTTGGTATTAATATTTAAAAATTAAATTGGTATTTTCATTGTTGCCAACTTAGGATTTAACGTTTTTTATTCTAACTTTTTTGTTTTTTGAGATAAATGCATCATGTTTGGACTCATTTTAAAGGTATTTTAATGAAGATGACAAATATGTCAAAATTGACGTTTCAAACCGGAAGTGATTGTATCTCCATTAATATTAAAGTTAAATATGTCGAGTTTGGACTCATTTTAAAGGATTTTTTATGAAGTTGACAAATATGTCAAAATTAAAAGTTGAAAGTTCGAAC